CCACTAGTAGCGTGAAAGCGCCGGCTTTTTGGCTGCAAAAAAGGAGTTAAGTCTAGCTTTATCTAGCTAAAGTTGTTTTGTCTCGATATTGTTTTTCCAACTAGTTGGATTTTAGTAAAACAATTATGGCCTCATTGCCTCTGAGTCAATAGCCCATTCGGCCTTCTTCCTCATGGGCTATTCGTGACTCAGAGCCCATTCGGGCTCGAGGAATAATTGTTAAATAGTCTCTTGTTGGAGGAAAAAAAAACGTTTTGAGAAAGCAAGGCAAGGTTTAACAAAAAAATAACTTCGGCCGTTTGAAAAAAAAACTTTGAGTGTTGTGTATGAAGATCTATGAATGAGCAACTCAACAGAATGTCGAAAATGTTTTTTCACTTCTAGTTTCATGATTGTTTTGCCCTGATTGATTAGTGGATAATAACCGCTTTTCTCGTTGGCCAACGGAGGGTTATAGCCTCCCCGCAGACGTCCTTTGGGCCGGTTCGTTTGTCACGCATTCATGAACGGAGGGTTTCATTTTTCACGCTTTTAAACATTTTGTGGAAAAACGGCTGTATTCACAGGCTATTTACTTTCCTTTCTTAAGAGTTCTATATATTTAAACAGAAACTAATAAGGGTTGAAACATGTAATTCCCGTTCAATGCTCGTGAATATTCATTTTTCTAAGTGGAAACCGATTCGCGTGTTATCCGACTGTAACTTTAAATTATTGCTTCGAATCAATACCATATGTTTCTTCTGTAAGTTTCTGTCTTTCGGGCCGGGATCCGGTAAAAAGATAGATTCGGTGAATTCCGAAAATAATTAGTGCAAAGAGGCACGCAGCAACTTACAGGCTTCATAGTTCATATTTTGGCGAATTTGTCTACCCAAGCGATCCTAAAACGCTCAGCGCATAGCAATTCATTCCCAGCCTACTCAGGTTTCTGCAGTTGGCTATGGTTTTTTTCCAAGTGTAGCACATGTCGTGGGTCTTTGGTTATGGGTAGAGGTCGTGGGTCGTGGGTGTAGGTAAATGTCGTGGGTAAAAAAAAGTATAGAAAAAATAAAGTGACGTACCGTAATCGAAAAACAACAACGCGATTATTTACCCCTTAGGCATTTTCACGTAGTAGTCGTGCACTGACGGCCTAAATAACGATTTAAAACCTCTATACAAACTCTTGTAATATTTCTGTTAAGCAACAACGATTAACGATTTAGCGATTCTCACTCGTGAGCTTTGGGTACCTGTACTATTTTTTGCTTTGCTGACCGCGGGAAAGGGGATGGGACTGGTGTGTACGCAAAGATTTTCATTTAATGAATTTTACATCTTTCTGCTTTTTAATATAATTATTATTTTGGGTTCAATTTTTTAAATTTTTTTTTCAATACTTTTTTATACCCTCGACATTTAGATCCATTTAGCTTTTTTTTTCTCGTCCCATGACCAACACAAATGCTAACATTCTCGACGCCAGTGCATACGCTTTTCACTCCACGCCGTCATGCGCGCACAAGAGCTCTGGGGTCGAGATTGGACCAACATGACGAATCCTAAATTGATGAAAAATACGCATGCACTACCCGTTCCAGTCTGCTGGCAGACCGATTCCACACCAAAAGAGGCGGCGTTTCGCGTTTACATGATGCCGTTGCGAAATTTCTTACCGGAGTGATCGTTCTTGCTCCGATACAAGAGGGTGCTAATGGCGGTACCCATTTCTCAGTTAACTACTATTTTTTCGGCCAAATATCAGTTAACTACTATTTTTTTGGCCAATTCTCAGTTAACTACTAATTTTGGTTAGCTATATTAACTTTCACTTTCCTACAGCGAATATTATTCCGTCATAACTCGAATTTTCCTTCTTTGAGCAAGTCTATCACTTTTGGGGGTAGCTGAAAAAATCAAGGTATAAATTTACATGAACTCTGCCACTAGTACAATTTATTAGTAACTGAAAATGTAAGTCGTATAACCATCAATATGACACCAGCCTCATAGATCCAGACGCACCAGTCATGATCTCGTACTGATCTTCCCGACATGGTCATGCATGTCCTGCTATAAACTACTTCAAAGTCACCTTCCTTGGTACTTTAATGATCACTATCTGATCGGAATCAGTCTTGTACTTATCTGGTTGCTGTACGTCCTGTATCGTGTTGTTGGCCTAAGTTTCGATCCATTTTTAATCCTTGTAATCCATTGCAACAGAGGACGAAAAACATTATCAATGCCAAAATATAGTCTTAAATAACAAAACTGGACCACTATTTTTGGAATTCAATTGGTGAATTCAATCACTGTTTGCACCCATGGGAGAGACATAGTTGAGAGTGCTGACAAAGGCGTGAAAGTATTTGACATGGGACAATTCGACTTTTATTTTCTGAGTGTAGCCCTCTTCGAACTCGTAGTTCTTTTAAGCGATTCCTTTACTGTGGTTCTAAAGTCTTGGGCGTAGTTCAAAGAACTAAATGTTTTGTGTTGAAGTGAGAAACCGCATGTAGGTTTTCGAGCTGCGTTGTCAGAAGGTTTTTTTTTACCTCGATACAGATTTTGTTAGCATCCTCTTCCGCGTCCCGCAAAGTTACCTTTTTCGCAGACGTACCTCATTCGCGTTTTTCAAAAGCCTCATAAAGATATCCAAGGGTTTTAAGAAATGAAACTGCCCAAACTGTTTCAGTAAGACCGGTTTAAACACGATCATTTCTTTCTATTAGAAAGGTCTCAATAGTTAGACTGGCTCCAACATCGGTTACAAAAATGATTTCTCGTAAGTACAAATTCCATGTACCAGGGGCTGCGCAGGGGGAGGGGCCGGGGGGCCGGGGGGCCAGGCCCCCCCGCCCACCCTTGAAAAAAATAAAATAAATTAAATTGAATTAAGAAAGACACATTTTCAAATAAAAGGAATCTTTGATGGAACAAGAATATTCAACTGCAGACCTCGCCGAAGAATCCAAGTTTATGATTAGTCCGTTTCGGTCCTATATCATGCATATGGTAAGCCTTAAAACGACTATCTCTTCAAACTCTGCACTTAGTCGTAGACTTCCGCGTTTTCCTGTAGTATATCCACAAACAATGGAGACTTTTTTTTTTTACCAAGGTTCTCAAATCTGCACGGAGCTGCGACTTCTGAAAACAAATTGAACTCGATGACATAGACAACATGAAGTTTCAGGAATTACCTCGGCAGAGTATGATAAATGAAATTGTCCCGATCTGCAAGTTTCGGCTGGTAAATCCTGCAACCATCACAGCAGGAAAAGGTCCTTTTCGGCAGCTGGAAGGTTCAACAATGACTAAAGAAAAGTTCTAAACAGCCGCAAGGAGAGGACGGACAAACTTTTGAAGTAAATGAAACACGCGTAAATTATGATTGTGCTGTGCATGGTTACACTTTTTTGTTACTAACCCCTTTCTTGTTAAACTATTAAAAAGAATGATTGATGAGTTGTAACTGTATTAAAAAATATTGAGTCGGCACCAACCCCACAAACCTCTCCCCCACCTCCCCAACTACACTTCAAAAGGGGTAGACGACCCCCGCACGTTGAAAGCTGCTCGGCGGGCCCTATGAACTTGAAAGAAAGACTGCTGATTTCTTTGAACCCTCAGAAATTCTTTTTAGCTAGAACCAATGTCAAGAGTCACAACTTTTTTATTTGAGTAATGTTTAACTTAATTGACGATCTGTTGGGTCCGTGAAAACAGTATTTTCCTTTTCCGAACACAGAAATCTCGTTAATATCAGAACGACGAATTATTCGTTGAGTTGTCTACAACCAGCGCTTTGACTTACGCTTTCTATTTGTCAGGTACTACCCTGGTGTGCCTTTTGCACATAGTAATATCAGTTAATGTGCCACCTGGTCACCAGCGGGACAGACAAATGTCAGAAAATAACATTTCTGTTTGCAAAACTTTGTTCCTTTCATTAATATAATATCACTTAACTGTTAACTTTTCATTTATCAGTTAACTACTATTTTTTGGCCAAATATCAGTTAACTGTTAACCCCATTCGCACCCTCATACAACAACCGGAGTGAACTCACGCTGTGACTCGCACCGGCATTTTGTGGTGGTATCATGTGAACAAATACAGAGCCCCGGTGTCATGTAAACACCCCCTAATTCCACTTTTTGTAGAGGCGAAAACACAAGACGACGACTTTCTTTTCCTCAATTTCGATACAGTCTTTAGAATAGAACACCAGAAACATTTGCTAACATTTGAAGAACTGAACGAGTTGGAATAAGCGGCATAGAGTTTGAAACAGTGTGACATTTTCGTTGTTGCCTATGCTCCCCATTTTTTTATGTCATGTCGTTTACCTAGTTTGAGTGGTAAATTATCTCTTTTTCTCCTTCCAAATACAGTACTTGCGAAAATGAATATTCGCGAGCATCGGACAAAGCAAATATATGAGAGTTACACGTTTTAACCCCTTACGAGTTTCTAATTAAATTCAGTTACGCTCCATCTGATGACTGCAGCGAGACTAGACTGCAAAACAGTCGGTTTTTTTCTCAAAATCAGTAAAGAAATCGGTAAAGCGTGGCGTAAGAGTCTTACGCGCGCGAAGCGCTCGAGCCTCATACTCCCGTAGGGCGTGTGAGGTGAGAGAAGAAAAACCGACTGTCTGTTTTCCATACAACGAGTTCGTTTCGACCAGGGGGTTCAAAAACGTCGTCGAGCTGTCAAAAATCTGTTCACAGCTCCGCCCTCTTTGTGAATTTGATACACTCGGTGATTGGTTTCGAGGGAGAATAGCGCGTGTTATAGTCTGCACTTTGCTTCGAATCTTGACACTGTAATCCAGTAATTCTAAAGCAGTTTTTAGCGTTGCTTCTCTGTGAAACGTAGTGTATATAGTGAAATGTAGTATATATAGTGGAAGTGGCAGTACGACAACAAAGCCTGTGCCTGCTCCTCGGAGAGGGAGAAAGCCACCACCCACAAAGTAACGAGCGGCAGATAATCAGAATGGTAAAAGTCAGTCAATTACCATCATGTCGCTTATTAACACAATGTTTTGGAATTCAGACCTAAACATGTTCATTGCAACCGGCTGCAGATCAAAATCTTCCATGAATCCATCGATATTAAAGCCACATCGATTAGTGATCTGAATTCTGTTCACCAGCCTTGCTTTCTGTTTGAACACGAAGAAATAAAAGCGATGAATTCCTTGACCTGGTTGAGGGTTTGGTGGGTTGTATTCTAGGAAGTAAAAGAAAGGAAGAACCTTGTCACTCAAAAGAAATTTTATTTGAGTGATGTCAGTGATAACTAACGTTGTATTAATTTATAAGCCGTGAAATAATCTCTAGCACAAACTATTTGCGGCGGATTATTGAGGGGTGACCAGGTGGGCAGGTAGGTGGCGGTCACTCATCACTTGGCCTACTCGTGTATGTTCCGCCACCCGCGAACAGAGTACGAGTCTTTTAAAACGATTCAATTGCGAATGGTTACTGGAGATAACTTTGCCATCTTTCTTTTTATTGCCACGTTTTAACGTTTTAGAGGGTCCACAATAGGTTTGGCGGGATGCGGGATTGGACTATTTTTCGTGGTGATACTCGGAGATGGGGGCTAAAAACAGAAGCGGGATGCGGGAATTTTAATAACTAGCGGGAGCGGGATTTCCTATTTTTATGCGAGAATCGTAAGGGATAAATAGTGGGATACGGGAATTTAGTTTTGTCTAGACAAAAAATTTATTAGCGTTGACTGAAAAAAAGTGTTTCTTTAGTGTGTATACCGCCTTTGTAGTCAAGCTATGAGTGTCAAAGGACGTGAAGCCTGTCCAAATTATCACTTTTGTGTGTTGTTCGTCTTTTCTGGTTTTGCTATTTTCATCGTTTTCGTTACTTGGAAAGAGGTATCAAATCACTGGGGTTAGAAATCACATTCATTAAGTTCCTCCATTGATCTGCACCGATTCCTGTTTTGTTCACGGATTTGACCTTTTCTGCTTTTGCCTGGACGGACCTGTCGGACCTGGACGATTCTTTGGACTGAGGGTTTGTTAAGTAAGTCTGGCCACGGTATGGCCACACCAGCACTGATGGGAGTGGACAATCACGACAAGGTGGTAGACATCATAAATTGTGTGGCTCTGTATCACTAAAAAGCTGCCAGTGGGAATGCGTTTCTTCCGAAAGAAATATTCAGAGCTCCTTTTTCAAGGCAGGTGAAGACCTTGAAAGTCGTAAAAGAAACAGTCAAGGTGAGTCGACCTGAGTTTTAGAGTTCAAGAGAACTCAAGAGAGGTCTGAGTTTCAACGACCTCAATATCCTTGTATATACGGTAACCTGGAATATCAATGGACTTTTTGCCCTGCGCTACGGTAGGGTAGGGCAGGGTAGGGTAGCCAATTTGGATGGAAAAGCAAACTTCCTGCTTGGAAGGGTGTCCGCATTTCGTCGTGCTATTCGATTCAATAACAGGTTTATGTTTTCATAAAAGATACCATTTTCTCAGTCTTTACAACCTGTGTTTATATACATTTTCCTACACTCCACATAAACAATTGACAGAATTGGCTTCATCGCCTGATGGAAACTAGTAGCAAAGCAGTCGAATCATCGTGTGACAGACAGATAACATCAATCTACCTTTAAACTCCAAAAATACAGGACTTAAAATATCGACGTAAAAATGTACCGATGCGCGGACGAAAAAATAAGCAAAACAGAAAATAAAGTTACGGTCACTTATTGTGATGTTGAGAACCTTGACCATCAAAACTGACAATTGTTAGAAGGTAAGTCTTATATAACGTCTATTTCAATAATCAAGCAAAAAATCTCGTATAAAAATGGGGCGGGATCGGGATTCAGGCGTAAAATAGATCGGGATGGCGGGATTCAGAAAAAAAAATGCGGGAAAGCGGGATTTGAGAACCCCTATTGTGGACCCTCGTTTTAGGCAGGACTTTCTGAGAAATCGTGCTGATTTACGAAGCAATTGTTCATAGCGTTCCTAAGTTCCTAAGAGATAATCAGTTTCTGTGACAGTCTCTTATTCGCCACTTTCACAATGCCCATATTTCACCCTGCTTTCTCCAACATTTTTGTGTAGGCATTCTTTTTAGTATCTCCTGCGGTATGAAAGCCGCGCCGAGAGAAAGCGAAAATAACGCTTATGCAAAATTTTGAGGGGTAAACAAGATGTATTATGGCAAATGATAATGGTGACAGTATCAAAACGAGGTTAAATGCTCAGCCTTTGATATGGAAATGATTTTTTATTCTCATGCAAATAAAACTCATTTTCACAAAAACGGTTTTGCACTTAGCCTCATTATCGAAGTGAGGGTTTTTGGAACTCGGAAGTGAGCTGCGTGAGCTTCCGTTTTTTGTTACGTGTCTGTAACAGCCAGTCACTCCTCAACAAACTGACCTCCATAGATATTTCCTCCTCGGATCTTACCATAGGCCAGATACTTCCCCTGCGAATTGAGAAACGGTTGTTAGAGTTGTACAACAGAGCAAACAACAAAAAAGATATTTAATGTTTGAGCTGAAGGATTTTACGATCAGTACGTTAATAGAGAAGTTATACATTAAAGGCGTAAAAACAGTATGGAGACTTCGCTCGTTTTAATACAAGCTGACGCAAAGCTCAATTCTACATCTTTTTCGGTATTTTACTCCAAGTAGGTCAAAGTATTACTGAGAGTCAAAATTTCTAATCAGTATCAAAAGAACTGGTCTGGGAACGGTGAAAAGGGGAAAGAAGCATTCCTGAAATGCCTTCACAATCTCGTCCTAGTCCTTGCGCCATTGCAACCCACCGAAAGGAAAATTTCACGTCTTAAAACGACTAAAACTCAAAATGAAAGTCGGCATCGAAAATAAATATTTTTGCCGTCATTATTAGGATACTATATAGATCTTACTACAAAAATATCATAGACTCAGGTAAATGAAAATGTATGTGTACTTTTTAGTTTGCCAGTAATGTAGCAGTTCAAAAGATTCAATCGGTTTAGTGTTGGTCGTTTGTTCTGCAGTATATTTAAGTTGTTCAAGTGTGCTGGTAATATTAGAGAGATCTAAGATTCACGTTTATTGCAAACTCCGTCAGATTTAAGTTGAGAATTTCTCAGAACAGAAAATAAGCAGATAAAAACTGTCCAAAACAATTCTCACGGATAAAACTGGCGTGAAACTACTTATTTTTGAGTAGAAGTAATAAACATTACACGACAATTAAGGGAAAAACTTGGTCACGTGGTGGTACCAGTTCACGTTTGCCGTTTGGCGTAAACGTGAATCTTAATCTCTCTATTATTAAGTTTTAGTCTTTTTTTAAGGAATTAGACTGACCTTAACATTACCAAAAATAAAGTGGACCCAGTGACGACAATGTGGATTACGAAAGGAGGGTGTGTCAGGATCCAACATGGCAACCAAGTAAAGAGTTTCGTTGTCCTGAGATAAAAAAGATAATGGAAAGATAAGGCTAGAATGACACTACTGCATCAAATACGAGGAGAGTTACATCTGATATACATAGCATTCGAACAACAACAGAGTCGAACCCTCCTTTCTGAAATGAACCAGACATTCCAAGTGTTTGGATATCAGATAAAACACTCTTGAGAGTCTTTGATTGCCTCACTTTATAAATTATTCATAAAGAATTTGCAGGGCAAAGTTTGCGATCGCGTTTGCAGACTTATTTACGGTTGTAGTTTCAACTTTGTTTTCTCGTTATAAATTCAGACCGATCAGTGTTTGACAAATTTCCGAGTTTTATAGCTTACTGGACTACGCTTACTCAAATACGAGGGGAAGGGTTACTGATTTCAAAATTCCGGCAGCATCACAATTTTCACCTCATTAAATTTGATGCAAGACCGAATGCGCTTTTCATTTTGCGTTAGAGATAGCATTAGTAAAGCTAAAATATTGACAATATATCTCTCCTGATACAGAGTGAATGTGGAGTCTTGTACTGTGGTTCTAACCTTTAATATAAGTCTTTGGAGGAAAGCCTTCATTATATTGTGTCTATTCAAATAAAACCTCTTTGGTGGTAGTTTCACAAGGTATAATTTTCTAAAAGGTTACATTTGCTTTTTTCTCTACGTTTTTCATGTTTCGGTCACTTCTGGGAGTGAAAGAGTTAAAGAGGATAAAAAGTACAAAACCAATTGAACGTACCTGCGAAAACTTTACGACCGGAATGTCCTTGTTCACCTCATCAATAGGGACCATTTCGCCACAGTTTCTAGAATTAAACGTCTTCTCACCGATAATTACTTCAGCAATTGGCAGCTCCATGCCGTTATAGCGAAAGTCTTCACACAAGTCTTGTGAGTTAGAATGGCTATCCTCGAGAAGACGAAGAGTATAAGTCGGAACAAAAACAAGTGAAAAGATAAACATTTTGGACGAGTTCATTGTGTTGCCAAGGCAAATGAAGACGGCCTCTGTCTAGGCCGAATAGTCAAATTGTTTCCTCTTGCGAGAAAGACGTGCACACGTAACACGTGCCGCACGTGAGCACGTGGTCTGCTCAATTCTTTGTATCATACGAAAGCACTTTTTTATGGCTTTTTGGGCTGTTTAAGAAGATTCTAGAAGGGGGAGCAAGTTTACGATGGGTTTACATGCAGAAATTTCTATTCGTGTGGTGCCCAAGAAGAGAAGGATCGAGGAAGAATGAAAAATGGCGGGCGAGAAAAAGAAAAATGCAATTTGGGCCCTTCTGTTCTCTTTGCTGGCGTTAGTAACTATCGTAAAATTCCGAAAATAAGCCTCTCCAAATATACCCCCCCCCCCACCAAACTGGTAACGTAAAAAACCCTCCGTTAAATCGCCCGTCCAAATATAAGCCCTCAGGGGGCTTGTATTTGGAAAATTGCCCGCAAATACAAAGTAAAACAAAGCAAAAACGGTAACTTTACTTCCAACTATAAGGCTAGCCCAATCGATTCTGAAACGCAACTTTTCCTCCGTAGATAAGCCCCTCAAAAAGGGCCTTTAAAAAATATGTCCCGGGGCTTATTTTCGTAATTTTACGATACTTTTCAGCAGAATTAACGCAATTATCAGCTCCTGGTAACGACAAAGGAAATGGGCGGCCTTTATTGCCCTGATTAGCTACTGAACGACCCACTGCAATTTTTGTCTGGTTTGTCCGTAGTACTAGGATCTTCCTAGCGAATGCAGTTTACATATATGGTACTCAGGGGGGTACACTAGATTTCAAGTGACAGGGATGATCGAATGGGGGCAAAAAATTTAACCCCCCAAAAATATCATGGCCCAAAATTTAACCCCCATAAAATCCCATGCCGAATTTCCGAGCCTAAAAATTTCCAGAGGAACCACGCAGCCGCGATACGCGGGAACTATCACGAATCTTCAGATTGTTTTGAATACCCAAAAAAATCCCTACTTAAATCAAGCTACCCAAAAACATACTTGCCAAAATTTTCCTACTCCAAAAATCCCGAAATTGAAAATTTCCACCACCCCCAAAATCCTTCGATCACCCCTGTCACTTGAAATCCGGAGTACCCCCTGGGATATGGTGCTAGGGTCTTCCTCGCTCCACGTAAATAGCCCCTTTGTCTACACTTTTCGTGCCAGCTATCAAGCTTGGTGCACGTTTGAACGTAGCTACATTAAACGTTTGACCAGTTTCAAACTATGCGCAACAACTTCCAACAACACACAGGAACATGCAATAACATGCAACAGGATGTGTAAACGGACGCAAAATGTAACATCTAACAACGTTCGTAGTTGTTGGTCAACAATGTTGCATCCGTTATTGAGGATTAACTCTCACAATTTCTTGTTCTTTGATAAGGAAGATGAGGGTAACAAAAAAGAAATTGCAGGTAAAGCAGACAGGCCTTTTACTTTAATGAAAACTAAACATCATCACATATGGCTATAAAAATAGTCAATACCGGGCCATAACGTACTGTGTTCAACAGTTTTAGTTTGTAGTTAAGCTGGGAGTAAAATGTGATTTGCCATTCCACAAAGAGCTGAGTCAGCAAGATTCTCGTTTAATCTTTACGACTTGAAATGTTATTTGTTAGGTCAAAAGGAAAAAGTTCTGAAAAATGTACTCAGAGAATGTAACATCGAATCTTGTAAAGAGAGTTCTTTCAGGCCAGTCGCCATTTCTAAACGCTCACACACTAACAAAAATAAAGTGTGGCACGACAGAAAACACGAAAGACTTGTTCAAAATAGTAATAAGATGGAATAAAGGAAACTAAACAAGATATTTACTGTAAATGCTTTTTTCTCGCCCGAGACATCAATACTTTTCTTTGTAATGGCTTTAGGAAAAATAAAAAACACCGCAATTTACTCGAACCAAGAAACTAAATTCCTCTCATTCAATGAGTAATGATCAGTCTGATGCATTTCTAGTGAAATAGTGCCAAGAGCTGAAAATCCCACATAAGATCTGCGAAAGAGCTGTGTCCATAAAGGCTTTAAAGCACCTTGTCATGTGCATCATGAAGGTTCAAAATGTTCGTAATCGGTAATAATTCTCCTTTTTCATCCCTGTACTTTTCTTCGAACTTTCTAATGTCACTGTTACACTCGTACTTAAAAATATCCACTATTTTATTCCAGCGCGAAATCTTGCTACGCTGGCTGGCTTTTTGAGTAGGAGTCCATTGACAGAGTGGAGGCATGTCTCCCATGCCATTCTCCCACAAGTAGATGACATCGAGTGCGGTGACCTTCTTTGGAAGAATAAATTCTGCGCCCACTTTTTGAGGCGAAGAATCCCCTCCTACCATTTCCGAATCACTAGCAAACTCTTTATTTTCATCTTCAACTAACTGATCGTTCTCAGAGCGTACAGCGGTGAGCGACTCTTCCACTCGCGTAATCTGATCTTTTCCTGCCGTTTTAAAGCTAGTTAGACTTGACGCGAAACCTTTCGGCAAGTACGAAGGTGGCTCGTTTTCCAGATCGTATTTGGACAGGATAGCGGAAACCGGCAATAGTTCACCTTTCGGATTACTAAACCTCTCCTCAAACTTCTCCCAGCTTCCACCGCAATCCTTGCGAAAGATGTCCACGATCTTCTTCCAGCGGAAGAGTTTTGTTTCATGACCAACTTTGTGAATCTTCTGCCATTTACTTACGGGTGGGAATAATTCGCAGCCTTCTTCCCACAGCTGCACTACTTCCTTGGCAGTGACCTTGCGCGGGAGCTGGTAGATCTCGGTATCAGATCCTTCTCCGGCTTTCTTGCCGGTTTGCATTGTACCTGAAAAAGGACTGGATAGACTGGAAGGCGATTCGCAAGCGTCAAACATGGCAACGATGGTGGTAACAGGATACAATTCGCCGCGCTCATCAGAAAATTTGGACTCAAACATGCTCATGTCCCCTTTACAGTGGTACTTGTAGATGTCGTATATTTTGGTCCAACGTGAAAACTTACTGCGCTGTCCAGATTTTTGAGCCGGGGTCCACTTATGGAGCGGTGGTAGATCCCCATATCCTGTCTCCCACAACTTTATAATGTCTTTAGCGGTGACTTTTCGGGGTAAAATGTGACTGGTTCCTTCCCCAGGGTTAGGATCTTCAACCTTAACTTCACCAATGCTGTTCAAAGGCGTTGTACTGGTGGCAGACAATTCTTCACTCGCTAAACCGCTATCTTCCTCTTTGCTCCCTGCGATTAAGCGGCTTCGAGCTTCAGGGATATCGAAAATGGGACCCGAGGTTGCGTTTTCAGCGTCGTACTTTGCAATAATCGATGAAATTGCCATGAGATGACCGCGATCGTTCGCATACTTTCCATAGAAGTGATCCCAGCTCCTGTTACAGTCCTTGTTAAAAATCTCCACGATCTTGCGCCACCGAAATATTTTAGTCTCTTGACCAATTTTTTGCGCGCGTGTCCACTGGCAGACAGGAGGGAATTCTTCACAGCCCTCTTCCCAGAGGCGAACAATATCCTTTGGCGTGACTTTCCTGGGAAGATAGTAACGCACTTCAGTGGATGGCTGAGTCACACCACTGTCCGTGACTTTGGAATCAGCGTTACCTTCGCCGTCGTCGACATCTTCGGATTCAGAATCCAATGAGTTACGAACTCGTTTCTTGCCTTCGTCGTCGGCCTCTTGTTGGCTGTTGTCTCCGCTCGAAGAAACAGTTTCATCAAGCTCTGTTCTGCTTCTACCGAGAAAGGCTGGCGTTTGCTGCGTTTCATACAACGACAGTATCGTTGTTACAGGAAGAACTTCTCCTCTCGCATCCGAAAAACTCTCCTCGAAGCTCTTCATGTCGCCGTGATAATCAGCCTTGAAAATATCCACGAGTTTTTTCCACCGGGAAATCTTGCTCTGTTGCTTTAGTTTTTGCGTAGGTGTCCAATCTTTTATGGGTGGGAACTCATCGCATCCATTTTCCCACAGATTAAGCACTTCTTTTGCCGAGACTCTCCTGGGCAATTCGTAGCTTTGCACAGCTGGTTTAGACGCTTGCTGTGAGAGCCCAAGAAAAAGCTTCCCACTTATCTGGGGCACGTTTGGAGTGGGTGTGGTAGGAGACGCCCCTGAAGGTTCCTTTTGGTTAGTGGTATCGTCGAGGACCTCTTGAGGAGTTGTCGGCGTAAGGCGTTGAATAATGGGTCCTCCACTAGCTAATAAATGGTTTTGTGCTTCCACGAGGTCCGACAGCTTCTTGTAAGACTCTTCCAAAGCTAGATTGCGGTTTTGGAGAACCTTAACCTGAAGTAAAAGACAAATAAATAGGATACTTAAATTATTGTCATGTAGTGCACCAGACGAAATCTAAAAAGTTCAAAGCCCGGCCTTAGTTAACACTTAAACCAGTATCCATCATACAGTGTAGCTGTACCCTTAAAAGCAGGAATGACAAAATGGATGAAATTCGCCAATATTTCGCCCATCATTTACAAGTATATATATCACATACATGACATTTTGACCATTTGCAGCGATACATGTATGTATGCCCTTTGCAGGTTCACACAGTCACAGACACTTTTAGACAATAAGCAAACCCTTATTTCTCCCAGAAAAAGTGGAGCGAGTGAAACACCCAAACGCGCAGGAAATTACCTCCCACGAGAACACGCAATATGCAATTTCTTGCGCACTTGCATCTTTCATTTGGCTTACATCTTTAAGAAAATTTAAGGAACTCTTCATGGTCCGTGAAAATTGCGCGGAGAAAACCCAAAAATAAAATGTGAAAGCATTAGAGAGTATTTAAGTAGAAGATGTTGATCAGGTTTAAAAATGACGTCACGTTTATCTATGGTCAATCACAAGTGCAATAAAAGCGACGGTAATGCTCTACCAAAAACATGAAAAATTCAAATCTTTTGCAAAAAGGGTGTGGTCGCAATAACTTGTTACCCAAACAGCACCAAATGAAAAAGCCACTGTTGATTTTCACTGTTTCATAAACTCTATGAGCGTATAGGAAGTATGGGATGCTCTAGATACATAAGGTCAGTAGAACAGTGCTCTACTTTTTACGATTAAAAAGGCATAATTATTGCAGTAGCAAATAACATAATATAGGCCAGATACACGAAAACTACACTGAATTCATGTACATGTACACATTATATCCGTTATCAAAGGCTAAATTAACCATACAAAGAAGTTCCAAAGGCGACACAATTTTTTTCTTTGTACCAACAAAACTGACTTTAAAAATACTAAAAATGTTGAACCTGTTGTTCAAGGTCCTCAAGTTTTTTCTGAAACTGTAAGGTGACTTGTTCAGCAGACACTTGTTCTGGCAGCAACACATCCTTATTTGGGATCAATCCCAGAGCCACCTGCGGCATTGGTATCGGGCTATTGGCACTCACTTGTACATTGTCTAGTGAATCTGAAATGAGAATCAGAAAAAGGAACAAAATTAAAAAATTAATTTGTTTGTTCTGTTCTAAATGTACATGTCACTTTGGTGGCAACGTGTTTAGCAAACCTGAAAGTCTTCCCAGTACATTGTAATTCATTAATTTGAACCTCTAGCAAGCCAACTACCTCTCCTTACATAATTATTCCATGCGCAGTAAAAAGGTGAATACATGTAACTATTAGTAGCCTCGCTTGCAGACGTTCTTGTGGCTCATCATGCCAGGGATATCTGATGAGGCCCTAAGAACGTCTTCAAGGGAGGCTACGGAATATTGTAAGAGATGTGCTAACTTCTTTAGATTGCTGGTAGCCCTTCATACAACTGTATATGACTACTCAATCAAAACATGAAGGTCATGATAATAAAGAAAATGATCACCCAGTAAAAAAAGTCAGCAAGAAATTCTCCTCATTAGTACAACAGGAGATGTATGGAAAACAGTAATGTGAATATGTAAGTTGATATCAGGGCATGAATGTTAATAATATGACAAGTATATCACAGTATATTGGGCAGATAACTGATTTAGGTATCCTGGATGTGTTGTCGCTTTTGAGAGGCAGATGATCATGGCCTGATGGGGTATCAACAGTATGAAAGTAATTTGAACAATGTACAGCTGTTGACACCTTCCAGTGCATGTGTTACTTCATTGTGAGGATCCTCTATGGCCAGAGGTTGAAAAACAGGCTGTGTCTGGTCATGAATGAGAACATCTCCTTGTGCAGGTGAGGCTATTGGAAAGGGCCCCTCACCAGGCAGGTCATGAAATATTTGCACTGGCATTGAGTCAATATCTTGCTTGATTTCATCACTGATGAATTTGACATCAGATCCAAGGTCTTCCTTTGGAATTTTCCTGACTTCATCGCCGTCATCTTGTTCGGTTTTTCTGAAAAGTTGAAAATAATAAACATGCAAAATTTTATACATGTATCTACGTACACTTGTACACTGTAGATGACAGTGTATAAATTTAATGATAATTATAACTTATTATCATTCATTCAAATATTTCCCTGATTCTGATTGGCACACGCATAATTCACCACAACCAGCTACTGATGACCAAATTGGAAAAATTTAGCCATTAATCAACCCATGACGTCAAAAATGCAGCTTTCTTGCAGGTTAATGCACTGTCAACCAAGAAGACCTGGGGACGAGGTTGAGTTGTTTTGGTTGTGAAAACAAAAATGGTGGACATTTCACTCATTTCAAGAGTAAGAACTAGGCTAAATAATAGCTAAAAACATGGCAAGAACAGCAAGAAGACAACTCGAAGGACGACATCTGCTATTTGGAAAATATTTGCGGAGCTGAACAACCCTAAACGTGCACTATGAGTCTATCGAAGATGAACTTAACATCGATAGAGGTAAGCATGTTTAGCTATGTTTTTAAGCAAGGAATTATTTTGAATGAATAATAAAACAATTACGGCCTAAGGCCTCCACAGATAACACCCTCCTCAATCTCCATAATTCTTCATAAGATACTCAGCCTCATTCATTAATTGTTAATTATTATTCATTCAAAATATTTCCTTGATTCTGATTGGCTAAAAGCAAATGCACAATTCACCATAACCAGTTACTGATGACCAAATTTGGAAGGGTTTTGTGTTTCACGAGGAAATGATGTCAAAACTGCAGTGTTCTTGCAGGTTAATGCACCATTAACCAAGAAGACCTGGGGACGAGGTTGAGTTGTTTTGGTCGTGAAAACAAAAGATGGCGGGCATTTCACTGGCAAAACTATAGCTAAAAACATGGCAAGAACAGCAAGAACACAACTCGAAGGGCGACATCTGGTGTCTGGAGAATAGTTGCGGAGCTGAACAACCCTAAACGTGCACTATTGAAGGTGAACTTAACATCAATGGAGGTAAGCATGTTTTAGCTTTGTTTTTTAACTAGGAATTATTTTGAATAGATAATAAAACAATTATTGAATTCGGCTTTCGTCTCATATGAAGAATTATGGAGATCTCACACCCTCCTCGATCTCCGTAATTCTTTATAAGATACTCAGCCTCATTCATTAATTGCTAATATTATTAATTTGCCCTATGTGCACATTTTCTAGCCTGCAGAGCAGGTATTTTTTTAAAGTGGGACTCAAAGGTACATGGAAAAGGGGCAGGCAAGCAGGAAGGGCGGGCCCTTCCCTATTTTGACGCATCAACCTCTCCCTTGGAATCATTTTTTGGCTCGCCCCAACTCTAGTCAGTCGAACGTCCAAATTGATCAAACAGCGAAATATGCCAGTGCTTTGCAGGCTTCATATTTTCCTGTATGTTCGTCTCATGTACATATGTTGTAGTTCATTTTTTATGTTAAGTAATTTTTGTTTTTCCTTTGTTTCAACTTCATTAGCATACAGTACATTATCATACTCCAAAACAAAAGAAAAACAAAAATTACGCGACATAAAAAAATTATCCTTAACATACATTTTTTGATACAGCATGCTGTAACTAAAGAAACATCAGCCACAAATTAAATTTTTTGTGCAGATGTTACAGCAATATTTTCTGTTTAAAAAGTTACGAGAGCTTCAAGTACATGAGTACATTAAATTTGAGCAGCAGGACACAAAATTTGCCCCTACAGGTTAATAGCAGTGAAAGCTGATCTTGCAATAATTTTATTTGACCTTTTTACTGGACAATAATTGTGTCCAGCTATTTCCAAAAAACGTTAATGTATATTTTTTACCTTTTGAAACTGCTATGCTCTGTTGCAACAAGTAAAAAGTCACTTTCATCCTAGGGAGGCAAAGTTATCAAGTGTTACTTGAGGAAAAATTAATACTACTTACATGTACATTGTAACATGGAGATACGATGATTATTTCCATAGTTAAAAATCACAAAATCACAATATGCTCGTAGCTCGTCAGTACATTATCCCTTTAAATCCTAAGAGTGCTCAACATCCATTTTCTCCAAACGAAATCGATACTCTACATCATCAATGGAAAAGGTCACGAGAAGTAAGAAAGTAATCACCAAAGAGAAAAAGCTTTGATCATTTACGTTGTCCATACAGAATTTTTTGGGAAAAAATCAAGGGCTTTTCGAGGACTAAAATTATTTTTTCAAGGACTTCTTTTCCCCAGTAACATGAAGTAACGACCTTTAAAATGCATAGGTGGAGGGGGGTTTGTTTATTGCAATACCTTCCTTCTTTAAGGCAAGCTTCCTAGGGTACTTCAAATAATGCAAAATGAACTATGCCGGCAACACCGAAATCATAAGAAAACACTTTCATGATCACCAAGAAAATTTGTGTATTGCTGTGCTTCCAATCATTCCTTTGTGCAAACATTCTATTTTTAATGAAGGTTATAATTCAAGGAGCTTTCAAAATATTCAAGGACTTCTGTGGAAAATTCATAGACTTTTCTAGGATATCCCACAATTTTTAAATTTTCAAGGACTTTTCAAGGCCCGTGCAAACCATGTTTTATCAAATTCTCTCAACTACATGTAATTCTTTACGAAAAATGAAGACCAGTCAAGCAAATATGTACGTGGACATTAATGGGGCTTGAAGGGTTGTTGAGGGTGTTCAACTAAAGCAAATACTTGTAATTATGAAAGTGGGACATAAACAACTTACAGCAAAGAAAAAAACACACATGTGTACATGATGCAGGGCTGTCACTAAGGGTGAATGGCCAGGGGTTTCTCTCAGCTACCATGAGCATGACCCGGCTACTTTCCTACATGTAGTTAATGATGTCCCCAATTAGCCAACTGTTAAGCTAAATACATTGACACTAAAATAAAGTTATTATTATAGGAAGCAAATAAAGAGATCTGGAACTTGCACAAGCAGGGCAGGAAAAAAACTGAACTCTGATTACCCGTGCCAAGTAAATTTTGACCTTGGGCAAGTAAAAAAAAATAGGTCTTGTGGCCTGCTGGACAAGTGAAATTGGCCTCAGTGGTCTTGTGAGTCAGTCTGAAAGTATATGCATCAGGTTGGTTAAGGGTAATTTGCAGACAGAAACGTTTTCAAAACTGTAGACTGCAAGTGAGCGACTGCTTGCTCCTGTTAGAACCATAGATGGATAAGACATGGTATTCCCTTCTAGCAGGTAAATATTTTTAACTGTCGGCAAGTGAAAACTGAAATTTACTTGCCCACTGGGGAAGTGCATATCAAATTCTATTTCCTGCCCTGACAAGAAACTTTGTACTTGTAGTTGTCTAATTTCCTGCCTTTTGATTGCCTAAACCTGGTACATGTAACTTAATGCTTTTGATCGGTTGAAGCGAATTTCCCACACGATATAACCAATCAGAACCATTCCCTTGATCTGGGTAGGGATGTGTCACGCTACTTTTGAGATAATTATATGCCTGAAAATGTACCGGTAACTGAATTTAAATATGCTCGTTAAGCTCATGCTGAGAAAATTTTACAAAAGTGAACTGTTTTTGTGTTTACCAAAAGTTGGTCACATGATCAACTAACGCAAAAGGCCTATTTAAGTCTTGAGCTCAGATTTTGAAGCAAGGGTCTCAGCATCTCCGTGAGACATGGGTTTTACCATTCAACACTCCTCCTTAGGGGTCCAGTAATAGAGGCCTGACTGGTCTGAGAATTTTTCTAATTTTGGGAGGCAAAAAGTATACCTAGAGACTTAGGAATTAGCCAATAATTATTTGCACATATTGGTGTCTTTTTTAAAAATAAACTACAACAGTGCAAACGAAATTTCTGTGGACAGCATTTCGTCAGTGGGCACCTATCCACATTTTTCAGTCAAATGGTTAGCTACGGCGCTCCCTCTCGCCGTTTTTCCTTTGTCGGAAGGGTGCGGCTACACGTAGGCTACTGCCTCTGGATTCCCGGGTTCAATGTCACGCAATACAACAGAAAGACTTTGTTGCGGGGATTCGGTGGAATCTATTTAAGTTTTTGACTGAGCTTTACAACTGACAACCGGGATATGTTTCTTTTTACCGATTTTACTTAAAGAAGCATAGACCTTATCTTGCCAATTTTTTTTGTAAGGACTACAACCGTAACAAGTTGTACCAGTCAAAGAAAACAGCCCGGCCGTGCTTTGAGAAATGAAGCAAACGCGTTGAATCAAAATATAATAGGTGGATCAAACCAAAGTAACAAAACGAGCTAATGCTTCGAGCTACGCTGTATGAAAGTAAAGATACAAAACACATTACGAAGTGAATAAAACAGAATATCACTCACCAGTCCCGAATCTGGAATACTGCCTGCGTCGTCTGTAATCTTGGAAATGATCGACTGAAGGTTTTCTTCTCTTCTTGAAGGAAAAGATCAATAAAATCACAAACGGAACGAAGCCGAATCTTTAATCATGGATGCAAAGACAATAACCAGAAAGTACAGATTACCATTCGCCCGATATATCGCTGAAAAAGAACAAGTGATCAGTTGTCAATCCTTGTGTGTGTCACTTACCCTGAACGAGCATCCTGGGAACTTTCCATTTTCTCGTTTTTTGCGAGAGGAGAAAGAAAGAAAACCCTGCATGCATGCAAGTTCGAAATGTGAGAATGAAAGAAAAGAAAGGGCGTTGTCCGAGTGAGAGGATTGGAACTAGTTTGAAAGCGAGGTTGAATCAAAACAAAATGGCGGTCAAAATGGCGGGTTGTGGCTTGAAAAGCTCAGAGGATGACACTTGAAAGCAGAGACCTTTAAAAAAATCTGGAGACGCTGTAAGAAATGTCTTTAGCAGCTGCAGACAAGCTGCTCAAGATTTTTGATGCGCTGAAAAATTTCCGCGAAGGAGTTCCTGTTCAGGACCCGAATCCCTTGGCAAAGTAAGTTTTTCCTCCCCTTGAATAGATTAGGGGATGATTATGTTTTAATCACCTGGTTTTAAATATAGATTTCAAAATTATTCTTGGATTCACGCTGTATTGCAGGGCGTACCCAATCGATGAAAATCGATGATCGGAAAAGCAATCGATCAATCGATGCCAATCGATGCATGTCAGTTAATTGGCATCGATTGGTATCGGCCAATCGATGACCAATCGATAATCACACAAAAGTGTTCATGAATCATCGATTGTCATCGATTGGGGTTTAATATTTTCTCTGATCAAAAAGATTACTTCAATGTATCACATCAAAACGAAGTTATTTCGTACGACATTTGGTCCATTTGACAATTTTAACTACGCAATGGTTGCGTCGTACCTAGATCCGATGCAAAACATTTAATTCATTTTTCTTAGTTTTCCAACAGGTCTCTGCCCACACGCTGAGAACATGGAATTGTCAGTAATTGTCATGGTTTTGTCATGCACGTAAAATTGTACAGCCTTCAACGTTTATCTATTATTTTGATGAAAAAAAAGAAAGAGTGATCCACCTGTTACTGCTTTTACTGTTTATGATTGATCTGATCAATGCGTACATGGCAAACGCGATTTACCTTTACGTCATTAACACACTGATGTCAATTCAAGCAACTTTAATTTTCGAGGAACTAACTTGTCTGTTTTCCGTACTGCTTGCACTGTTGCTGTTGTTGTTGACCTGTTTTATGTTTGCGCAAGTAAATGTAAACTGCTTTTGTGGCGACAGTTGCAGTCTAATAGACATGGGTTCTACTGTTTATGCCGAGGGCTACTAATGTGCCACTGATAGGTGTGAGGTACTTTTTGAAAGCGTTATAAAACTATTAATATCGTTATAGTTTGAAAGTGAATTCCTGTAAACTGGACTTCAAAGTTGCAAACAGTTGACACTTTTGGCCACCCCTTCAAAATTTATACGCCCGTTTACACAGGCGATTTTTTGGTGCAATTTATGTCGCGATTTCCACTGCGTATTTTCTCGCGATCGTGCTGCAACGAGTTGATTTTTATCACTAGCTAGAATGTCTACGAAACGTGGTAAATGCGTAAACACGCCTTACAAAAAAAAGATGATTTCGTTTTTTCGTAAGGTCACAACGCCTTGTGATAACAGGTAGAATTTGAGTTGCAGCGCCGACCGAGACAACAATGACCAAAAATCGCAACCGAAACCACGACAACACAAAAATCGCCTCTGTAAGTAAACTGTAAGTGTTTTCACGTTATGTGCTAGTTGTTTGGGGTTCAAAGTTCAAGTTTATTGGTTTTTTAATAAAATCAGATTGTTGTAACTTTCATCGAGCACAAACCAGAGGAAAGGACGGAAATGCGAAAAGACAACTTTATTCAGTTAAGCAGAGTTAAGCTGATTATCTGTCAAGTTGTAAAAAAAACTCGATCTTCTGCCAATGTCCTCCACGATGTCATTGTTTTCGTCATTAAAATGCATCAAGAGACTGTGCCTTTGGAAATCTTGACTGAAAATAAAACCTATCAACAATAATAACCAATAGATGAAAATTGGTAAAAAATCGATGCCAATTAATCGATTGATATTGATAATCGATGACAATCGATGCCAATTAATCGATTGATATCGGCAATCGATGACAATCGATGCCAATCGATGACAATCGATAATCACACACACCTGGACGATCGATTGTTCATCGATTATCAATATCAATCGATTAATTGGCATCGATTGTCATCGAATGCCATCGATTCCCATCGATCATCGATTTCATCGATTGGGTACGCCCTGTGTATTGTGCTATAGGGTGGTATATTTTACGCTAACGTAGCATGTATGTTAATGTGGAATGATGCTGTGTAAAATGTAGCTTCTTTGAAAAGATGCTGACTTTTAATTATCAAGGTTGAACTTTAGCACGTAAGAATTTTATTAAGATAATCGTCATGCAAAATTTAATACCTAAGACTTAATAGCAATGACTTATACTATGGCGAAGCATTCTGTTTTGTCCAGGCTCTAAAATTTCGCAGGTTGGTTTTATGTAATGTACCTTTTTCTGCTTTGTACAAAGTAAAAAGAATTGTTGCTAAAATCTGCAATGAATGACAGAATTTTCTTTTCTTTCCCTCTTCCTCCTTTCCTTTGCTGTGCCCCCTCTTTTCCTCTTTTCATACCTATGTCTGCAAAGCGTCTGTAGGAATGTGCATTTGTGGAGTACTTATTTGTAGAGGAAAATCAGGAATTTCAAAATACCGTAAAACTCCAAAAATAAGTCCCTCCGTAAAAAACTGCATGTTAAATTGCCCCTCCAAATATGAGCCCTCCTGGGGCTTGTGCTTGGAAATTGCCGTCAAATACAAAGTAAAACAAAGCAAAAACGGTAAATTTCCTTCCAACTATAAGGCTAGCCCTATCGATTTTGAAATGCAAATTTCCCTTCATAGATAAGCCCCTCTGAATACAAACCCCTCCAGAAATAAGCTCCTCAAAAAGAGCCTTAAAAAAAATATAAGCCCCGGGGCTTATTTTCAGAATTTTACGGTAATGTTAGAATCATTAATTAATACAGAAGGGCTGTTTCCAAAGGTTTGAAACCTTACCTCTTACTCTGAAGGGAGGGGGGAGGTGGGAGGAGGGGGTGGTGCTACTGGTTATGCTATTTTAAAGAAGGGACTTGGAGGGGAGGGGAGGGAGCTAGTCCCCTTCTTAATTTTAAGAGCAAACTTAAGCCTTACAGGGTGGAGGGACTTAAGAGATGTTTGGCTAGGGATGTGTTGCTTGGACCCTGGAACCCTTAGCTTATACCGGACTTGGTTCAGCTGAATTTTGCCTCCCTAAACTAGACTTAATTCCCAAGATCACTCCCTATCCTAGGGTCACTATTTTCCATAAATTACAGAGGTTGACACTTTCTTTGCTATTATAATAATATGTGCATTTTGTAGGAAAAAGGAGAGTCTGTTGTCCAAGAAAGATAGAATATCCCACCTTAACAGTGTTCCAGAACTGACATGTTCTTCAGCAATAAGGTTAGTTCAAGCACAGTACATTAAGCACATTGAAAACTGACCAAAATCATTGGATCAGATTCTTCTTGTGGATTCAGTTGTTGGAACAACATTACATTATTATATTCACTTTCATAAAACAAGGCAGGGTTGTATGTGGTAGTAATTATACATGTGGTCATTTTGTTACTAGCATTTTTCAGCAAAGGTTTGGGGCCAACTCTTTAATTGCCTGGCTAAAGTTTATATAATTATTGTATACCATACAGTCATGTACTTTACTTGGAGGAATATTACTTTTATTTCACTGAGAAGGTTTTGGATATTTAGGTGGCTGTAATGGATCAATATTTAGTAAGGGATTAAAATGTTGTTTTCAAAGGAGGTTAATGTTTACAATCAAGTAATTTTCTGTTCCTTGTTGCTACATCAGGAACCTGGGGGAATTTCCCAAGATCTTAGCCATAGCAGTAGACTCTTTGTTATGCAGCTGCGATGATCAAGAATCTGATGTCCGCTTGGTTGCTGGTGAATCTCTTAACAAGCTTATCAAGGTAAACAAGGCTTCAAAGGAAGCTGAACTGCTTGTCAATTAAGACAACCATCCCTCAAATTTACCTGACCAGGACAGTTGAATTCTTGTTTTTTAAACTCGAGAAAATGGCTGAATCCTTTTACATGTATTGGGACTTTGATTAATGATTATTGATTGTTGATCGAATAATGATTATTGGGAAGTACAGTACCGTAAGTGTGGCACAGTGGTGCATCAGAGCCCTGGCCTCTCACCAATGTGGCCTGCATTGAAATCCAGTAGTCGATGCCATTTGTTGAGTTTGTTGTTGGTTCTCTCCCTTGCTCCAAGACATTTTTCTTTGGGTACTCCAGTGTGCTTCTGTCCTCAAAAACCAACATTTTCAAATTCCAATTCAACCAGGAATCAGGTACTTATACGTGAAGAATCACTATGTGGATGTGCTACCTCTAAATCGTTATTTATTTATTATTCCATATATTATTTTAATTACGACTATTTTTGTAGAAGATAATACAATAATTGTTTTATTATTATTATTTTTACATGTGTTATACATGTATGCCCAACAGGCAAGTGGCGTGAGCTGCATGAAAAGTTACTGCCTCAGCTGAAAAATATGCTTGAAGATTTTAAACCTAACAGTTTCCTGATTGTTGTGATTGACTAAAATTACTATAGGGCAATCAAATTATGTAGAGTGGAATGTTGCCCATGAGTAACCTAATACAACATGGCATTTAGTCCTTTAAGTTAAATAAGACTGATATAACAGCTTTGTGTCTTTTAAAAGCAAACAATAGATCAGATGTACATTAAAGTTTGGTAAAAACAAAACACACTCAGGAGGGAACACTTAAATATCATTGCTGGAAGACTGTCTTTCTCTCTCAAACCCTTCATTTTGCACTCATTTAGTTTGAACAATACTATTATGCTTTTATACATTGTGTGTTGTAGCGCAGCTGTCGTGCACACTCTCTGTTCACTGTATCCATTTCATTTTCTTAAGAAAAAATATTTCAAACTCACTATTTGAGCTACCTGAGTTGTTAGTCAAAAAGAACTCCTAGCAACCGCTGCTATGCAACAGGTTGGACAACCAAAATATTCTTTGGATAACTAAAACAAGTCTTGTGGTCACCCCAGAGGCAACTTGATGTGAAAAAAATTTTGTCCATGGATGTACCCTGTACCTGTCTTGGGCAACTGAATTGGCCTTTTTTGAGTACTGGATAAAGTAATACAGGTATGCTAAAGAGGTAATACATGTACATGTAGGATTTTTTGACATGTAACCCAGAACATGGCTATTTCATATTTTTATTTTTCACTGTACAAATAGGGATTAATGGACTATAGCTTGGGGCGCATACATGTAGAGCTGTACAAAGAAATCAAGAAGGTATGTAAAATTTAATGTTTAGGATTCTAGAAAAACTGTTAGATAAAAAAATATTATGAAACTGAGATAAAATCCAGAAGAAGTACATTGTAAGAAGAAGCAAGGTGAAGTGGACTTCCTACTTTGTCTAAACCTATACCTCTTCACTCAGGCTCATTCTCTTCTTAGAATTAGGGGGGAGGGTGGCTCTAGTAAAAAGATGTCAAGTGAGTTCTGATAAACTCCTAGATTCTCCTTTGAAATTGCCTTATGTTTGCTTGTGAAAGAAATAGAGAATTATTTGTTTTTCCACACACCCTTCCCAAAAAGGGCTGCCATACGTAACCCATAAGTCATTATAAGGCACAATAAAATATGGCTCTTTAACCAAAGGTCATTGGAAGCACCCTTTGTTAAAAAAATACCTTATTTAGTTTCCTTTTTTACAAAATAGTTCAATGTGTTCTCACGCCATAACAAACTATTGTATTAATTTTTTAGAATGGCTCAGCAAGAAGTTTGAGAGCTGCTTTATCGAGGTTTGGTGACCTGTGCCATTTGATAAGACCTCAGAAATGTCGGTAAGCTGCCTGACAAGGCTGATAAAAATTAAAAAACCTTTAGTTATTTCGAGGAGGTTTCAAGGATTATGAATAAATAATTATTCCACTGTCAAATCACTGGACTTCCCTGGGACCAGAAAAAATGCAGCTTTTTTATTATTGTACCGGGGCGTTGATTGCAGTGATGTTACAAACTTTGAAACTGGCCCTTGAAGTTGGCAAATTGATCATAACTTATGGAATCCCTTGAGGCATGTCCAGATGCTTCAGTCGATCAGTCAGTCAGTCAGTCAGTCAGTAAGTCAATCAATCAATCAATCATCCATTTACTGCATCCACCTATCATCCAATGAACTAACAAGCTTGTTCAAAATATGTACAATTACATGTAAACATAACATCTACTTAAAAAGAGAGAATTTAAAGAAATTCAAATGGGTTAATGAACTGTATCATACATGTGTAGAAACTACAAAAGCTACACTTGTGTACATCTACTAGTACACTGTAAATGAACCATTATGGGGGTGTCTGTTATGTCCGTTTTGTTAGATTAAGTGCAGAAAATAAATTGCAGGTCAAATTGATGTAGTTCCTTTCAGCCCTAGTCCCTCTTGGTCAAAATAGCCTTAGCAGCATCTCACTGAAGTGAATGTTTAAGTCCCCAATACATCAACAAGGCAAAATACACTGTTCAAACCAGTTGGAATCATTTGACCTAAAGTTCCTATTGAAGTAAGCACTGCAACAAATGCCAAATTTTATCAATGGAAATAATATTATTTACAAGCCCTATAGAGAGGAGAAGACATAGTGTGACATCACATTACCATGGTAGTAAAATTTTTGGATCACAACAAAAGGGAGCTTAGGCAACAACGACGGCGACAGCAACGAGAACGGCAAAAAAAACAATAAGTTTATATTAGTAAAACAGCAACTTTAATTTGCATGTGCATCACATTTTTTAGCCATTGTTGCACGACTGCAACATGAAACTTCCTAGATCGTGTCCGCTTTACAGAGTAGGTGAACACAACACAAAAAGTTTCTTTTTCTGTTTCTAAACTCAGATACAGTCCTTTTGGATTCAATCCAGAACATTTCGCCAACATTTGACAAATTAAATGAAATTGAATAAGATTGATGAAGTTTGAAACAGTGCGAATATACTTTTTAAGTGAATTTTCTGTTGTTTGTCATCCAAAAATTTTGCTACCATATCAACATGACGTAACGACTTCTCCTCCCTATTTATCATGTGTGTTAACAGTGCATTTTAATTTATTTTAACTTGATGTGCTCTTTTTTCCCCAGACCTTTTATTGCAAATTTGTTGCCATGTATAGCTCGCATCAGCATTCGTGTGGAGGATGCCATACAGGTATTAAGATAACAAGACTGTTGATTTGAAATTAAATTATTAGAGAATGATTGAATGCCTTCGCATTATTACTTATCTGTACATAACAAAAAAGTAGCATTAAATCACGTTAATTCAATGAGGACATGTATCATTTGAAAGATCTCTTTCCCCTGTGGAAGTTGCGTGGAGTTCAATTAAGTTGTTCATGTCTGATATAAAAAATTGACAATGTGACAAGTAGTACAAGGGGGGGAGTGTCATGTACCATCTGAGGGGTCACCCGGACCACATGCTAATTTTTCTCGTTATATTTACAGCATGCAAAGAAAGTAGTATCCGATAGCCTGGGGCTGGTGGATTTTGGTATCGGGCTAGTGAATCCTGTTCACAACTTCCCTAGCCTTTATATTTTTACAGGCTGCCCCCTTCGACCTAAAAAACTGGCACCTGCTACACTGTACACAGGCCAAACATGCCTTATGGGCAAGTGAATTGTTTTGAGGTATTCAAATTACAGAAGAACTGCAAAATCAATTTTGCATATCAAAAAGTTTTTGGGGCTATACTAGTTGAAATGATGTTTAGGCTAGTAAATGCTAGCTTCAGCTTGCCCAAATGGCAAGCTGTAAAAATGACTTTCTTTGCACCCTGTGTTTACCTTAACATGCATATTTCATCTGTCAGGTCAGGAGCCTTCTTTGTCAGGTCATTGACCTGAGACCCGTCTCTTTATATCTGGAATAATGAAGGGATGTGATACATGTTGTACAGCCCCCAAATGCCTAACCAAATAAAAAAATGGATAACCTAAAATCAAACTCCAAAAAACTAAGGCACTTTTATGAATGGTGATTGCACACTTACTTCTGTACCCAGGCTTCATGTGATCCACACAGCAATTTTAAAAATTGCCAGGACATTGGCCATGTTTTGGCTGTGTTTGTTTGTAGTCCCACGCTATCAATTGTCATCAGTAAATGGTTCTTCTTGACAATGTATTTCTCTTAAATTAAAGGAAACACTTGCCATTGCCATGCAAAAGATGATGTATGTTCTGGGTAGTTTCACAAGTGACACTGAAGTGAAGGTGGGCATAAATTATTTACTTTAACACTTATTAAAAGCTTTTTATATGACAGTAGATCATCGCAGTTATAGACGCAACTTTTGCAGTTGCGAAAAGAAAGCCTGATCTACTTTCATATAATAATTTCTTCACCCTGCAATTCTCATATATGATTTTCATATATTCATAACTTCGTCATCATCCTTTCACGGGTTTATAACGAACCAATTCAACGACCTGCTCCCTGTTGGCTTGTTAGCTCAGTTGGTAAGAATGCTGCACCAGTATCACAGATGTCAAGGGTTCGAATCCTGTACAAGCCTGAATTAATTTTCAGGCTTTCTTTTCGCAACTGCAAAAGTTGTGTCTATAACTGCGATAATCTACTTTCATATTTCTTCACCCCACAGTTCACATATATGATTTTCATATATTCATAACTTTACAGCTTTTTATCTAAATTGAGAGGCAAGTTTTCCTACCTAGAGGTAAATGATGATTTATTTAATGCGAATAAGCTATTAATTTGGAAATTTCTCAGATATTTGTTTTGATATTATAATATTTTCTGTTTTGTTAAAAGCAATTATTAAAAACGTTTCTACCAAACCTGCGATCCACATCTGCGACAACCAGACGAACAGCAGCAAGTAGCCTTGTCATCATTTGCCGCTTTTCTCGGAAACCAACTTTTTTCTATGAGTGGCTGTTGAATATTCTTTTGGGTGAGTTATTATTTTTAAAAAAATATTTCTTCATTATCTTGAAAGTTGTGACAAGTGAATAGAAACATTGGGTTTAATGTGCAATTTATTGGACCGTTCAAGTTAGACACAAAGTTCAAGGCATCATAAACTTGTCCAACAAAATTGTGTATGAAATTATTGACTTAATGCTTGACACATTAAATAAAAAAATCACTTTTATAGGTTACACTGCATTCTTGTAAAATTCATAATACTTGTTCTTTACACTTCCAGTAATTGAAAAATATGTACTTTGTCAACTCCCATTTTGATTTTTCTTGTTAATTATTTTAACCAGGTATGGTATTGCCATTCCATGAAGACAAAGATTCCAATGTTTATCTTGGTGTTCTTATGTGTTTACGGCACATGATCCCTAACTTGAATAGTTCTTCCTCCAATGAGCAGAGAATGAAAGGTTTACGTGGCAGCTTTGGAAGTCAGAGATCATTTTCTAGTGATAGCCCTCATGCAGATGAACACATCAAATCAAACCAGCTTCTACAGGTTTGCACAAAATAGTTTTGAACCTCCATTAAGCAGCAACCTGTTAAACCAGCCACCCTCTATTAAGCTACCAGTAACCAAATTCCTAAAATAATTGTAGAAAAGGATTGTAAAAAGGATTTAAAAACGAGTGGGAGTGTTTTATCAGGCGAACTTGAAAAACTTGAGGCGAAGCCTAGAGTTTTTAAACCTGATATAGTTCGCCATTATCACATAGACCATAATGCACCTTGTCCGCCCCAAAAAAAAAAAAAAAAAAAAAAAAATTGTATAACTATTGTTTCCAATTTCTCCTGGGTATTACAGTCATCCCAAGAGAAATTGAAGACAATGGTTGTGCAAAAATTTTGGGGGGTAAATAACGTGCATTATGGTCTATGTGAAAAATAATCATGTGGTGAATACATGACTGCGAGTTTTTTGAACGGCTTCAAAATCTCTGATATAGAGTAACTTATTCTTGAACTAATGTTTTAATTTTGTGGTTATTTTGGTCTAAAACATTGGTTGTAAAGTTTAGCCGTGTCTTTATCAGTTTTAAAGACACTCATTAAACATTAATTTCTTTTGTTTTTTTTTCTCTATGAATTATTAGTGTCATATATTTTTTTTATTTCTTATTAGGCTTATGAAGTGATTATGTATTGCACAAAGCACCAAAATCATAACGTGGTGACAGCTTCCTTAGAAACACTGCTTCAGCTTCTACGCACTCCTCCTCCCACTCTCTTGTCTGTTCTTTTGTCCTGTGAAGGAATCACGCCAACTGCCAGTTCTGATACTTTAAAAGAAGGTACTACAGTTTATTATAATAATTGGCAATGCATATAATAATAAATAGAGTATTAATTAATAAGGCAGGTACATGTTCAGGGTACAAAGTTATGTCATTTTTGAGCTTTTGTGACAACTATTTTGTCTCTTAAAATTTGGTAGATGTACCAAAATTTTAGTAATAAAAGTAATAATTGTAGTATTTAAGTATGTGTAATCAAATGGTGACGAGTTAAATTAGGGAATAATTTCACGTGCGTTTTGTCCAAAAACCTTAATATCATGGGTGACGAATTACGTTGGCAATTGAGGATTTTGGACTTGTTTATCCTGGATCGTATCGATCGATCGTGAACTCCAGTCTCTCAAACGTTTAGAGCTAAAATTTGGCTTAAGTTTTCAGAATTTTTCGACAACATACCTCTAAGAATCCTTCTTGGTGTGCTCTTTCGTGTGTTCAGGTTTTCTAAAGCATCTTTTTATGCCCTGACATCTTCATTCATGACATTTTAAAACTTCGTCACCATCTTGAAATGGAGTCGTACGGCAGGTTACCATGGCAATTTAGTAATTTCACATGTGAAATTACAAATTAACACTGAAATTTCGTGCCAGAATTAAGGAGTAATTCGTCACCTATGATATTATAATGATTAATTAACTTATAATATCATAAGTGACAAATTACTCCACCTTAATTTTGGTGCAAAGTTTCAGCATTAATATTATTATAATTTCACATGAGAAATTTTAAAATTGCCTTGACAACCTTCTGTACATCTCAGTGCCAAGTTTTAGAATCATGTAGAATGTTGTGAATGAAGATGTCAGGGCATTAAAGGACACTTAAAAAACCAAACACATGAAAGAGCACATCACGAAGGATTTTAATAGGTATTTTGTCAAGAAATTCTGAAATTATGTACTTACATGTAAGCCAAAATTCAAGCCCCGCCGTGTTCATCGCGAGGAGTCCTCAGTCGATAATCATTTTGATGAACAATGTCAAAAACCTACGATTGTGAGCCTAGTCTGTCACCCATGGTATTAATGGGTAATCAAATGGTATACTCATGAAATTAGGGAATAATTTCACTTGTGCTTTGTCCAAATCCTTACTATTATTATTAGGATTTGGACAAAATGCACGTGAAATTATTCCCTAATTTCACTCATCACCATTTGATTACACATACTTCTTCGTTGCAAGTGAAGGAATCCACTGGAAAAAAGGCAGTTTCATAAGCCATTCTTGGACTTTAACATTAGAACTACCTTTGCTGCTGCCATACATATACATACTACATTGTACTCCTACTACTCTCCATGGACGGGAGTAATTCTCCAGTGTCAATATTAATATGATGACAAGTTATCTACACAGCTTTATGTGAGCAGTACACAATAGTACGTGTAATTTGTGGAGAGACAACCTGAAGCAATGTTCTTTGTGGAAAAATTAATAGCAGAGAGCGATGCTTCTATAAACTGGCCACAACTGTCTGATATGGTACTGAACCTTTTTATAATATTTTCTGACAACTTATTCACTGTATTTGGTGTCCTTCTTTAGGCTTGGAGAGTCTTGATGAAACACCATCTGAGGCTGATTCAGGTACAGATGAAATTGAAACCGCATCTACCACAGAGAGTACTTGCAGTACTGTAGATACAGGAATGGGAGGTTCTCTAGCTGCTGATTTTGATGGTGAGCAAGTTACAGCTGATGAAATGCTGAGGTCACCCGAGCTGGATCATCTGCGTTTACATGGGGACTCCACAGTTAGTGAAGCTGATGAGGCTAAAGAGGAAACAGAGGAAGGAGATCTCTTTAATTACATGTCAACTGCAGAGAACTTGGCAAATAGAAAGTCAACCAGATCTTTGTCAGATCCTGGACAATTAGCTGATAAAGATACTGTTTCAACTAGTGATACTGCTTGGACTAACTCAAGAGACACACAAGGAACTTATGATTTTGTACCTCGTAAGGATAGTGATGGCTTGGAACAAGAATTGACGTCATCAAATGATGATGATGTCATTAGAACAGAGTCAATATCCACGCAGGAAATAAGACTGCTTGTTGAGCGTAGCTTTCAAATCGATGCCGTGGCATGTTCAGGAGTTCCTCTTGTTCACTGCACTCGTTTGATGTGCTCATTTCTTTTGTCTGGAAACCCTGGTGAAATGCTCTCAGATTCCAGTGTGCGTGTCAGTGTAAAATCGTTGGCACTATCTTGCATTGCTCAAGCAGTCAAACTATACCCTGAAGCTTTCTTGGTGCGGGTGTTACCTGAATCTTCAGGGGAATCTGATGAGGAAGAAATGCACAGATCAAGTCCCCAGCTTGTGCGAGACATTCTTCTTTTTAGTGACCATGGAGACCCACAGCTGCGGGGAAGTCTAGCAGCTGTGATTGGTAGTGTTATCAGAACTGGGCTAAAGAAAGGAAGGTGTGTTTTAATTACTGCATTGTTTTTAAAAGGAGCTACAAACATCAGTTGGTCATCAGATAACAGCAGAGCTCCATGTGCATACTAAGTGTGCATAAGTGGAGCCACAAAGCTAAGAAAATTTGGTTATCTATCCATCCAAGAAATTTTGGTAGTCACGTGACCGCCTCCTTCTGTCCCCACCACAGGGTAACCAATTTGAAATGCCACACTTTCTAGCTAGTGTGGGAGCCTGCAAACTGATATTGCACATCCATGTTTATTGAGAGCAGCCATGTCTCATGAAATCCTATCTGCCATTGGACATGAAAACCAGACAGCGCCTCTCAATACTTTGGAAACTAAAGATTTGCATTATTCTTTAATGAAAAAAATAATGATGACCGACAGCTTTTCTTGTTTGTCTGATTGAAAAGGTTGACTTGGTGGGACAAACTGATGTCCTTGCTGAATCCGTAGTAGAGTGTTAAATGTGTTTTGTGGTGTTGAAGTTATCTCAGTAGATTACTCTGTGTTATCAAATTTGTAGGCTTGATTTTGACACTTGGTGCATTGACAGCTGTCAAGAAATGGAGACAGGTATTAGAATCTAAAATCTGGTAGCCCTTTGTTTTACAAGCACAGTGAGCCTCTACAAAGGCTCAATAGATGTTACTGTTTTATGTTGGAGTGAAGGAAACTCATTGCTCCAAGTGCAGATTCCTAAGATTAATGTCATATTTTCTTTTCATTCAGTCTGGTGTTTTCTAAAACTATACTTATTTAAAGATAAAAATCAATATGCTCACAATATTATTATTTCTCTGTGAATCAAGGTTATTCTTATTTGCATTGACTGAAATATCACTTTAAATAAAAAAAAATATAATTACTGGCTACTTATTAGACCATTTGACCATTTGTTACCGTCCATTGGAGCTCATGCATTAACAGCCACCTTTTAAAGTGTCTTTTTATTATCATTTTTTTAATTATTATTAAATGTTCTCAAAACATAGCCAAAGTCTTAAAGTCTTAATGATGCTGACAGTTTCGATGACTGTCAGCCATCTTTGTCGAAACTTGGAAATCGTCAAAGGTGTCAGAAGCCTTAAAAGGCTTCTGAAGGTGACATTATTGCGATAAACGTGCCAAGTTACTCTGTAGATGCCCCTCCCCCTCCCCCTCCTTGGTGCGTTTATCGCAATAATTAACACCTTCAGAAGCCTTTTAAGGTGAGCTTCAGAAGCCTTTTAAGGCTTCTGACACCTTTGACAATTTCCAAGTTTCGACAAAGATGGCTGACAGTCATCGAAACTGTCAGCATCATTAAGACTTTACGACTTTAGCTATGTTTTGAGAACATTTAAAGAGATATTAACTACACTAGCCTGATGAATTTCGTCAAGTATTATTATTAGTATTATTATCTGATAAATGCTTTTCAATTTTTTTTTACTCATTAAGCAAATTTTCTGTCTTTAACAAAGTACAGCACCCCTTTATAACTGTACATTAAAACTACATGTATTTCCTGGGCTGTGTTCTAGCTGCAGCCAGTGGCCCCTGGCACTTGATGTTTCTTCCTACCGGGCTACTGGGCAATCTTGTAGCTTTCTCATAGAAATCCTATGCTGGGTACTGTGGATTTCACTGGTTCACAGCACAAGGCTCCCTTCCATTTTTCTTAGAACACCTTACAGCCTTAACTTCAATGACCTACAGATGTGATCATAACATGTTACCACAGACCTTTAAATCAAAATCTATGTTGAGGGGAGGATTTGAATCCCATAAGATGGGTCTCTGCAGACTTTTTCTTTGTTCCAGCTACACTCATTATTACATGATAAACATCAAAACTTTTCTTATTTTAATTCTTCTTCTGATCATTATTGTAACAGTCCCTCTGGCACTTGAAGACTTGGTCCCAGTGTTGAAGTCGATTCTACAAGATGAATCTCCCGTTGCTATAAGACAAGCCTGTTCCTCCCTTAAGGTAAACACATCTTGCCATCTTCAAACTTTGCATTGATTTGAACACATGAGCTTGGTAACCTCGTTGCCAGGTTCCCCTCCTACTTGCTTCTGGGAAACTACCCACTTCTCACTTGGGCAAAATGTTGGCTTAGGGGAGGGGTAGGTTGGCAGATCCCCAGAAACGTATGATCCCTTGTTTCTGCAGGAGACGAGTACATGTAGGAGAAGACCCTGGGAACCTGGTTTAGAAGCTTGGAACATTCCAAGACAAAGTCAGTTTCAGTCAATCCTTCAAAAAGTTATATAAAATGGACATTTCTGTTAAAGGGACAGTTTTTCTCTCAGGAAAAAACACCACCCTGAGTATTATGTTGAATTGGAAATTTTCACAGTTACTGGTAGATTACTTTGTTCCTCAGGTTAATTTCCTTAATAAAAGACAAATGCAAATACTTTTATTATAAATTAGTAACTTGGTGATAAAAAAGGCAAAAGCAAAACAAACAGCAAAACAAAATGAACAGATAGCATTTATTTAATGTTACAGGTCAAAATTAAATTCAGGTTAAAATTTTTTAATCTAGGTTGATTCTCAAGTCCCCTTGTCTCCTAGCCCTAGTTATTCATGAATGATTAGGGCTAGGAGACAAAGGAAATTGAGAATCAACTTAGATTAAAAAATTTTAATACAGACACTGCGGGGGCCATAGAAAGTGTCCATATTAACCTGGTTTTCGTAGAGTGGGGTTTGAACATAGAGTAAATAGGTATTACTTATAATGTTGAACCATTGCAGTACCTGTAATTGTGTTGTGGAATTGAATTTACTGCCGCAAGTTTTGTTTATGGCAGATACAAAATTAATATTACTGGAGACATTTTAAAGCTGAACTGGCTCCCAGGTGATCATGATGAGAGAAGGGATTTTAATTTGCTTAAGTTGACTTTTAAAGCACTTCATGCTAAGCAGTGCATGGCCTTCATATTTAAAGTTACTGAGCGTGTCTATATAAAAGGAACGTTCCAGGACACTATGGCTGCTCTAATTAACTTCCTGGTGAATCTTAAAATGTGTGGTGATTTTAATCTATTTACTTCGCTCATTTTTATGTTCTTAAAGAACTGGGCACAGGCCAGCTTATCTTAATAATAATAATTATTAATTATTGTATTTTAAGTTTTACTCATATGATCGTTGTAAATATTTTCTCTTTTAATATTGATATTTATCTATTTTTTTGGTATATGTTTATTGTAAATGTTTGATGCATACTTTTATTTAGTAACAGATAAAGAGCCACAATGTGGAAACCCTGTCATTAAACCTATTACTTACTTACTTACAACGTGTATATATCTGAAAGCAAATAAAATTTCCTAGGTGCTATTTTTCCTCAGAATTGTTTCTCTGTCCTATGCTCAAGCAAGCACCCCAAGATTGCTTTAGACCTGCTGAATACTGTTTTATCCTTGAGAAACAATACTTACTGGCTGGTTAAGGTACAGACTTTCTTTTATTTTTACTTACATAGCATGGTGATTTAGTAATGGCTTGAAATGTTTGAACAACCTTGCTCACCAATCTTCAAACAGGGAAAATCAATTGATACTCTTACTTGTTTAAAACATTTGTGCTTTTTCTCCAAAACCTTTCTTTTAAAGAGTAGCCCTTATTAAAGTTTTTTTTAAACCATAACATTGTGAAAGCTTATCTTTTATTTTTGTGTTAATTATAGGTTGAATTGCTTGAAATACTTGAGGAGGTGGATTTCAGGTAGGACAATGGATGAAAGTTACATTTCTCTGACACATTTCTGTAGTCGTACATTAATAAATAAAAAAGTTTATAATAATGGCATTGATATAGTTTTTTTCAAATGAACTGCAGTGTTGAAATGCCAGATCTTTCATTTATTTCTGTTGAATTGTACACTAAAAGTATCCAGTGTGAATAATAATGATAATATTAATTTACTAGTAGTTCTATTATTTCTTTTCAGACTGTTGACATTTCTCAAAAACAAATTTGAATACCTGCAGGAGTCCGGAAAACAGAGATTGTTTGTAAGAAATATTTGATTTATTATATAATGTTAGAAATCGTTTTGAATAGCTTGCTGGACAGTTTGATTTCTTCATATTAGAGCTGAATATCAGTTGATGTGCTGGCTTCAATATGATTGTGCTTTCTACTATTTTCTCCCTAAAACACTCAAAAGCAAACAATTTGCCAAGTACAAATTTGCTGTTTACTCTATCATGATCTTCTATGGAGAAAAACAAAATTTTGTTTGTAGCCATCTATAAAGGTGAAATAAATCTTCAGCAGGGGTGGGGGAAGAAAAAATGCAGAAACCTACCCAAAATGCCGTTAGTGTTGCAAACTTTAAGATGCTTGTGAAAGTTGGTTGAAGGGTTGGAAATGTGTGGGCCCCTTCTTGCCTCAGTGGTGCTTAAAAGGATAAAAATACAGTGAAACCTGTACATACATACATACATACATGCATACACACATACATACATGTTTTATTTATTTGGAGTCTTTCCAAATAACTAAAATTACAAACAACAAAAAATTCGTAACCATATGTGGCTAATAAGTTATATAATGGCCCTGTATATAGTGGTCACCCTGTATATTATGGTCACCAGATGACTTCCCAAAATAATATTTTCAGTTGGCCTATATAAGGATAAAAATACAGTGAAACCTGTACATACATACATACATACATGCATACACACATACATACATGTTTTATTTATTTGGAGTCTTTCCAAATAACTAAAATTACAAACAACAAAAAATTCGTAACCATATGTGGCTAATAAGTTATATAATGGCCCTGTATATAGCGGCCACCCTGTATATAATGGTCACCTTGCCATTTCCCTAGGGTGACCATTAATTGTACACAGGTTTGACTGTAGTACTTTTTGCATAAACGTTTGATATTTTAGTTAACCAAATGTTTTGAAGGGAAAGCGAGGGTGTTAAGAAGAGTTTTAGGGATTTTGTACTTTCCATGTGAAGTTTATACCAGCCAAATGAATAGCAGGTTGGAAGCGTTTTGATGCATTTGTTCCTTAATCTTCAGAAAACTAGCTTGCAAGATGATTTAATCAACAGAGTGGTGCTTTATTTGTTGGAAGATGATGACATCAGAGTTAGACAGGCATCTGCAAAGTGTTTAGCTAGGTATGGTCATATGATAACTTCTCTCACCTCAATGCAAGGAGTTTCTCTTTTCCATTGTCCCTATCATAAGTGTGTGATCACAGACGCTGCTTCTGTCTTAATCAGATGCCCAAATGTAGATTCCTAGGCATTCTTATCTCACACACCACAAATACATGTAAGACCACAAATGTTATCCTACGTTTCTCATCATTTGCATTTTCACTTCCACTCGCAATTTTACTCCCATTCGTTTTGTCATTTCTCTGTTTCCATTCCCAATCCTATTTTTATTGTCATACTTTTACTTTCCTAACCAGGAGCACAAATGAGGTGAGATAATCTTGGACAGCTTTTAATCAGTATTTTGGATCAGTAGTCAGTACTTTTAAACAATCATGATTATTTCATTCATATTATTTTCCAGCATTGTTCCTCACCTCTTCTACTCACTCAATAATGACACACAGTCTGTTGTCATTTCTGCAGCCCAGAGTCAAATCAGTAAGTTTTATTGTATTAATGGGTAACTTTAGCAGATATTGAGTTGCCAGAAAAAAGCAAATGAAAGAGAGAAATTAGGAAGGAAGGAAGGAAGAATGAAAGGAAATAGATACATTTTAAAATGTAAACCAACTTGTGCATTCATTGGGGCATTAAAAATGTATTAAGGTGGATAGAAGAAGAAGAAAATTTTCTAAATGATATTATGACATCAGAACTTTTTGCTTCATTTGCAAATATTATCATGTAATGCTAAAATTTCACAATTTTTATCAAAATCTGCTCATAACTTATCTGGCATACTAATTTTACTTAAATGCTGTGCTGTTTTTCTGCTGTTATTCCTGATGCTGTTCTTTTAGCAATGCATTTCAATATTACCTGGCTCTTGTTTGGGGATATGACACTACCTTTTGTTAATATTTGGGATGTTTTAGGTGGACTGAGTATTCAGGAGTCGCAGAGTAAAGGTTATACCCAGTCAGTTATTGACACAAACCTGTCAAGAATAGTGTCTCTTATCACAAACAGGTTAAATCATGCCACATCAAGAACCTCCATGGTATGGCAATCAAACAACATAATTATTTTTCATTTCTGTTTGCTAGTTGTTGTTATAGTCTTTTTGTCTTCTTGATCCTAATCCATACTTCTGGTCCTCTCTGTCTTATTCATTAACCCTCTAAACCCTAAGATCAAAATTTGAATTCTCATTTGTTGCCTCTATTCATTTCCTAGAGAGGAAGTGGGGAGAAGTTGATAAAATATCAAGCAAATTCATCTTGTGTGATCATGTCTGTAATTCTCATGACCACTCTGTTGTACAAAGCATTGATATTACAAGGAGAAATTTGATGCTGATCACTCTTAGGGCTTAAAGGGTTAAGGTTTTATTCAAAATATTCTTTTAAATCTCCTTGTTTTAATTTTGAGTTTTATTCTAAGCTTAGGAGCTCTTATTGGCCAACAAAGGAACTTGTTAGCCTCTTTCAGTTATTGTTTATGAATGACAGACAGAAGATGAAAGATAGAAATTACAACCTATTGAAACAGTCTTTTCCTACCGCTAATTTACAATCCTCTCTCGGGGATTCGTAACTTTTCTGTTACACAACCTATCACCTCACAACGCTGATGAAGTTTGAGTGACTCGGACGAAGTATTCGTTTCGTTTTTTTGCTCTGAGTTTTGGAATTGTCTTTACTAAAAGTATTTTCATAGAGAAATGCTTTTCAAGAAGCATTTGATTTTTGTTGGTGCCATTGACCAGGAGAAACAAAGACTGAAACAAAAATATCTACCTCTTAAGCTTGTAAATACTGTTTTCCTGTAAAGGTCAAAATAAAACTTACAAGCTAAAGACTTCTAATGATTTACATCCAGAACCCCATGACTAAATGCAACAGACATTTTAATTAATTTAAGGTAATCTCATTTTGACAGCTTGGTTGTATTCATGTTTTAACACTACTCACGGACGCGTTCCCTGTTGCAATCCATCCTGAAGCTTGGGGTTGCAGTGTATCACTTTCATGCAAAAGTCCCCTACCCACCCATCCCATAGGACCATTCAGCACACCTCCCAGACCCTCAAGTCCCAGTGCTGCTTGTGCAGGGGGAGGAGGACCTTTGTCATTAGCTGTGAGCAGTATGATATCTTCATGGCTGGCTTATGACTTCTTTGCACATCAGCAGTTGTTACAGGTAAGTTCTGGTTTTACTTAAATCATAGTTTGAGCCATGGTCTGTCTATATTATGATAGTTTTTATTATGAATAAGGGTCTTTTAATAATGGTTATTATAAGAAATATTATGTGGATAAATTTGGTAACAAATAGCTATTGAAGTTTGATGATGGTATGCACTGGATAAATCTCAGTCCAGTGGATACGGCAAATGATTTCCTTAAATCTTATTTGCTGGATAGTGGTAATTTGTTCACGTGTTTATAATACTCGCCATGTATACTAGTGGTATAGTAGCTCTCTCCTTCGCAGAGACTTTTGCTGGATATTCCAATAAAAATTGCAAGTAGTTAAAAAATAATAAGCGCGCGGTGGACGATGGGAAGAGAGAAAGGGTGGCATCATTTCCTGTCTTTCCCCTTCCCATCGTCCCTCGCGCTCTTTCCAGTTTTTCCTCTCCCCAGCCTCCTTAGGACACAAAGAGGTCAGCGTCTCTGTGGAGGAGAGTGGTATAGTCATCTTTTAGTCCGTTCTGTGCTACAGACACTGGTTCCCATGGCCTTGGTGCACTCTTACTGCTCTTACTTCCTTTTTCATAAAACAGATTGCAGGAAGTATCTTGTTTGGTGCAGGCTGTAGTGGTATCCATGTGGCACTAAAGCTGTACTCTGAAAGAGGTCCCCATGATCAACCGCTAAGTTCAGCTGAGAACTGGAGCATATTCACTGATGGTGCTTTGGCACCTCAGGCAGAAAAGCTAATCTATCATATTATAAGGTAAAGTTATAGATTTCACTCTCTACGGGTGATTGTGTATGGAATGTGTGCTGATCAAATTAAGATTTGCCTCAGAAAACAGCCATCGTTTCCTGACACCACAACTGGTTTCCCGCAAAATGACGTCTGAGGGACGAATGCAGAAATTCCATACTGATGACCTGGGTAGTACTTCTGATTTGTTGAAGCAAATATCCCTCGCGGCACGACTAATCAGAAGTGCTTTAAGCACTACCCAATCTGAGCAGTGACACGTCATCAGTATGCAATTTCTGCTCTCATCCCTCAGACGTCATTTTGCGGGAGACCAGTGGTTACATCGCGTAATGTTGGCTGTTTTCTTAGGCTAAATTGAGATTTACAAACTAAGGTTTTGATGTTTGTATAGCCGCTAGTTTGCCCGTTGGATTTTTTTATCGTTTAAAAAAATCCTATGGGCAAATGTGACAGCTGTTATTTGTTTGCTGCAAATGAATCCACGTTTAGCATTGCAAAACGTTTGGACCTACATGCAAGGCGGAACCAAATTTTATTGCGAACCCAACCCTGCAGTGATGCTCATTGCAGTATTCAAAGCATGAATGCATTGGTGAGAGGCGATACTGCTGACTGCTGAATCACTCCTATACTCACACGTGACTTCTCCCGACTCCCCCAAATGGAGGGCTTTTTCGCAGGCTACGTTACCAGTGGCGGATCCAGACCCTCAGGTAAGGGGGGTGGGCTCAGTTTTGTCTAAAAATAAGGGAACCCGGACCCCCGGGCCTCTCCCCTGGATCTGCCACTGGAGTCACTCAAAGTCTGTAAACAAATAGGAGGAGAGAAAAGGCAAAGGAAGCAGTTCTGCTGAAATGTCTGTGTAGTGAGGATTGGCCAATCAACTAATTACCTGAATATATAGATTGAAAGTTAATTTCAAAGTGTACTTTTTTTTTTCTAGATTGCTGAACATTTTTGCTCATGTTATTGACAATATCATCCCCGGTGCTCATTCTTTTAAGGTACAGTTTTATTTGACACCTAGAAATTTGAAGAAGGAGTTTCTCCTTTAATCAAAAAAATAGGTAAATAGCTCAATATCTGTAGGTTTGTCTTAAGTTGAATTTACATGAAACACAGCGAAAAAATATTGTCAACTTCAACCTGACGTTTGCTATTTGCGATAAACGTGGATGTAAAATCTCTTTAATAATTCAGAGAGATGTCAGATATTTAAGGCAATGTCATTGCTTTGCATGTGAATGCTTTTAAAATGCAAGGAATACAGAGATTAAGTTTGGTGATTGCAATGCTTGAAAGATGTTTTGAAAGATTTAGAATCAGAATTGACATGATTGTGAAGAAGGGGAAGAAGCATTTACAACTGAAAATTATAGTCAGCAACTCTGTGACCTCTATGAACTGAACTTGTACGGTAAATGGAGAGAAGAAGTGGTTATTTCACCTTGCCATGGTAGCAAAATTTCTGGATCTCAGCAAACCGTGGTTCTGCAAATACATGTATGGCAGAAAAAAAACGAAAAAAAAAAACTGACATGTATGACTTTCCTGAGCATGACTGCCCTCAGGACAAAATGGTGGCCCATTTTTTTCTTTCTTCGTACGACAATGGCCGTCTCTGTGAAGAAAGATTGTTGAGATCTATAAATTTTGCTGCCATGGTAATGTGACGACACACTTAACCCTATTGGCTGCCATAAGAGATTCAAAAGCTGAGGGTTCTTGTTATTCACAGCTCCTCATATTGTGTTCCTAATAAGGGATTTGTTCTTATCTAGCTGACATTTCCAGGCCAGAATAAAGATAAACAACAAGCTGCAACAGCTATTCCTGGTGTGGCTGCTCCCCAGATCACTCCCGGTTCCAGTCCAGCTGCATCTGTTCCCAAGAAGCTGCTGACCAAGAGTAAGCGGGCTCTGTCTGAAGCGGATCTGCATCAAGCTAGTGCAGATAGGCCAGTTACACCTTCTAAGAGCCAAACAGGAGTAACTTCGGGTTCAGACACTACTGAGCACAACACTCAGAGCCCTCCGCCTAAGAGCAGCATCGGAACTTTTCACCATTTACCTCACTACATGAAGCTGTATGAGATCATCAAAGGAGCTTTTGCTAATAATCAGGTGAAATAAGTTTTGAAGTATTTAAGCGCGCACGCAAGCTGTCCTTTTGGGCTATCAAGTGTTAGAGGGTTACGTGCATTGCAAACAGCGAGCAAAGTACCATTTGAACAGACTATGTAAGTCAAGCGGTTGCATACCAGGCTTAGAGCAGACCTGGCCGGACCAAGACGCAGATTCTTTTTTAAAATTAAGTAATTGAGTACAAAGTGTTTTCTTTGTTACACATCTGCAAATGGTAAGAGCTTCTAGTCTTTTCGGATAAGTACAAATGATTATCATCTTGCATCACATAAGAGGTGTTCTGTTTCTTTATGATTGTTCGAAGACTACATGAAAACCAAACTTTATGGGTCAGAAATGGCACTGAACAGCGGAAAATATGCATGACAGTGATGCGATGTCGAGAGTAGAGGGTCATTGCAAACGCCTATCAGGTCTGGGTATATGACAACTGTTATGTGACAAGTTGCGTATTCGAACAACTTTTCACGTATGAAACATTGATTTATATATTTATCACATTTGAACTGGTGGGTCAGATTTTCGGCGTTGGTCAAATAAAATTAAGCAATTTCCTCATGTATGGAAGCAAATGCAAGTTCATGCATGCAACTTGCTTGTATGGGTGGGACCTAATATAGTGTGATACAGGCAATTTAGCCTCCCAAGTAGACGCTTTTATGGCTTCGTCACGGGTTTCTCCCCCACGGACTTTCGTTTGGGATGATTGCATGACTAGCTAAAAGAACGTCTGCGTTGGAGGCTATAGCCAATTTTGGCAGCACTTGTACTAAAGTAAACACTGGTGTGATAACCAGTCTCTTGTCATGCTTCTAATTGTAAGGAAAAATTGTTTGAAGCGTTACATGATTACTCTAATTTATATCCTACCAGGTGTCTCTGATAGATCCATCTCAAGACAAGTTTTGTCAGTTTGTGAATGCAGCATTGGAGGCTTTGTCCCTTCTTCTTGAAGTTACGGCGTTTTCAGACATCGGGAAAGTAAGATCGCGATTGAACATTTGATATTGCATTCAGAATAGATGTCACGGCAATCTAATTTTATTGAGACCACTATCTGCCTTTTGTGTTGTAGCATGTTGAAGAAATTCTTAGCTATTTACAAGTTTGTGTCAAAGTGGAGGCGACTAAGACTTTCCTGTGTGTTCAACAGGTAAGAGGTATTTAGATTCAATTGAGAGTGAATGATTAGCTCACGTAGTTACAGCTCTTATTCTTTAAACTTTTGTGTAATGTGAGTGCTTTCAGTCCAAAAAAATCCTTAAATCGAGCTACAACGAAAGTAAGGGACAGTTTAGATGTAGATAAGAATTACGACGTGCACAGCCGCATGATTAACGTAGCGTGGACATTGTAATTGACGTAAAGCAAAAATGTCAAAATAGATTTCGTGTGTTGTTTAATAACTTAGCTACTGTAAGAGTTATGGGTGTGAAATGCTTCGTCAATTCTTTGTTTAACAGCTGTTGCGTGCTATGTTTGGTATCAATGCCCTAAGCCAGCCTGAACTCGCTCAAGCATCCATGGTCCCTCCATGTTTAGCTGTCAGTCATGTTACATTGCCAGCACAAATTGATCAGTTGCAGCCTGCAGATGATCAATTATACCAGTCGTGCTTCGTTCAGCCAGTGGCACTTGTTACACAGTGTCTGAATAAGTTAAAACCTAAAGAGGAAGGAAAGGAGAAAGGAAAAGATGAAGAAGTCTTGGGGTACGTGAGCTATTATTGTTAATTAAGCTGTTAATGTGGTTGTATCATCATCATCATCATCATCATCATCATTATCATCGGCATCATCGTCATCATGAGCATCGTCATCATCATCATCATCATCATTATCAGCAACAGCATCATCATCATTATCAGCAGCATGATCTTCAGCTGAGCATCCGCATCGTAAGCATCAGAATCAGCATCATCATGATCAGCATCACTATCGTCATCAAAAGAGAGATTTAGGGTCACGTTTACCGTTTCACGTTTAATTTGTACCACATGACCAAGTTTTCCCTTCAATCCTCTTTTGCTGTTCATTACTTTTACAGACAAATTAGTAGTTTCACTTTAGTTTTATCCACAAGACTGAACTTGGACTTTTGTTATCTACTCATTTTTTTCTTTGAGATTTTGAGAAATTCTCAACTTGAACCTGACGTTTGCCGTTTGCCGTAAACTTGACTCAATCATCATAATAACAATCCACATCAACATAATTCTCATCATCGCCATCATCATCGTCATTTTCATGATGGCAAATTGAATGTGTCCATGCCCTAGACCAGCATTGCTATAAATAACGAGACAAAGGTAACACACTTAAAAAGATACGTGGAAAGTTAGTAATTTGTAGTTTTACAGTATTTTACCCGTGGCTCATGTGGCAAGAAAGAAGGTGTCTACAATCATTAATTGCCATCATTTGTACTGATATCGGGAAGCGTCTTCCATATATGGTCAATGCTCACTGGTTATGAAGAATTAGCCAGGGGATTTAAGCCAATCAGAAACGGTACAATATTTTGAATAATAATAAATCTAATATCTAACGGCTTGCCGAGCTGGTTTTCAGTGGGGCCTCCAGTGATAACTAAAATTAATTTGGAATTCAAGAGACTTTTTTATGTTTGTGCATGTTATTTTTTTTACCCTTCTGTTGATTTAATTTGTTTTTTTCAGTGGAATTGGTTTGTTTATCAAAAAACTCAGAAAAAAATCAGCGACAAATGTTCGACCGGCCATGAAACTGGACAAGGTAAAAGTAACTTTTATACAGCTCTAGTCCTTCTAGGAAAATAACACGTAGTTTGCATTTAACCGTTGGTAATTGTTTAACGTGACTTAAATGTTTGACTGTGTGGTGAAATTAGGTACCGCTTAGCCTCAGAAAAGAAGCGACAATTCGAAATCCCCTTCCGAAATCACGACCAAGTGAATGAGCGGAGAAATTCCAAATGGATGACGTGTCACTACCCAGATTAAGGTCGTGCTTCTGATTGGCTGAAGCAAGTTTTCCTCGCGGCACAACCAATCAGAAGTACTACACACATCTAGGTTTTGACATGTCATAAGTATGAAACTTCTGTGCTCGTTACTCAGACTTCATTTAGCGAGGAAACCGGTGGTGACGTCGCGAAATATCGGCTTTTTTCTCAGGGTAGGCCAGTGCCAGTGGGTATAAGGCCTTGACAGTATTTATTATATTCATTCATACATTTTGCCACGTAGAATAAATATTACAGGAAGAAAAAGAAAAAATATTGCTAAGATTGAAAGTTGACAGGGCAGGAAGAGCTACAAAAATAGTTCAAAATAAAATGTAATAGATGGGCGAGTTTAATTTATAGCTCTCTGCCGAGCAGCCAGGCAGTTTTATTGTCAAATAATCTAGCAGCTTTAACACAACCATTAGTGACACTGTTATACGGCATTAGCCTCGTTCTCATTAGTGCCTCTTCACATGAGCCCAGTTGACTGAGCTGACTCAGTAACCGGGATGAATTTTGCCTTGGGCTCATATGAGAAATTTCAGCCCGGTTTCCGAGATGAGAAAAGGCCAAAGTTCCTGGGGACGAGTTCTGGCGCCAAATTCGAGAAACAAAGCAAACATGGCGAAACACAAAAATTTCGCGCCTATTATAGCTACGGCAACTCTTAAAGCTGTATCACTGCAGTTGAATGGGATGCTTACGAAGTGGAAAGTACAGCAGGTAGTGCAAGATGATGCCATCCGGACCGCCAGAATTCATCTTGGTAACCGGGCTGAAGTGTTCATATGGCAAAATTTCCGGCCCGCTTACCGAGATCTCGGTTGCAAAAACCGCGAATTCTATAGCCGAGTCGGCCCGTCCTCTAAAATATGAGCACATCGAAAATTTTACAAAGAATTTAGAGGTGAGGCGAGATCTCGGAAACCAGGCCAGCCCGGTCAACAGGGCTCATGTGAAGAGGCCCATACTCCAAAACTTGACGTTGAGTTTGGGGAAGGGTGGGTGGAGATTTTCCCAGAATCTTACTCTGGTGAATTCATCATCTTGTTTCACCCTGTTACATCACCACTTAGTGAAGTATTTGCTCATGTTTTTGTTTTTTTTTTCCTATAGCAATCTCCTATCCACTCATTTATCCGTTGGTTTGAGCCATTAGTGATTCGTGCATTGAAGGAATACACTCTGTCAAGTAGTATCATCTTACAACAACAGGTTCTGAGTCTACTGGCTCAGCTCATCAAACTCAGAGTCAACTATTCATTACTGGATGCAGATCAGGTCAGGTGACTACTTTTGCTATAAGTAGTGTGGATTAGTTACAATGTAAGTTTATAAGTTAGTCAAGACAAATCCGTCAGGAACCTATAGGGAGATGATGACGATGATGATGATGATGATGATGATGATGATGATGATGATGATGATGAAGATGATGATGACGACGACGATGATGATGATACTAGTTTCTAACCTAGTAATATTTCAAGTAAAGCGATTTTTCGTAAGACCAGGAGGAACTGCTTTGACTTGACGTTTCATTCACAACCTTATTTTATGGCTACAATAGTACGCGCGCTCCAATTGGCTGTTTGTTATAATGACCGGGCTTTACTAGCCAGGTGTCCAAAGCTTATACAATCTGTGTTTTTGAACACAAAACTTGATAGTGGACATCCATGTTATGGTCAGTTGACCGCTGTCAAGAAAGGCTATCCGCTGACCAGTGCCACATGACTGTATTGCGGGCTGAACTAGACTGGGCTTAGGTCCAAAATTTCTCATTGTCAAAGAAACTGTCTTGTGGTTTCGATCACATCGCCAGGTTCGTCTCTGTTCAGTGAACACGACCTCGACAGGTCCTTTAATATGTAACTTGTTAACCTCGTCCGTTCGGTCATTATATGGAAATCTCAGACCTCGGCCGTGGTCAAGGCCAGTGGCGGTGAGTGTATCTCGACGATCTTATGGAAAAATAGAGGACTTTGAACAGTCTAAATTTGCTCATATGTTGATGGCAGTATTTTTTTTGTCAGGTTTTCATTAGCTATGTCCAGAAACAGTTTGAATTCATCGATGCTGGCCAAATAAAGTAAGTGAAAATATTCGTCCTTCACAGTAGTCTGGATATCGGTTCTTATTGTTAACATAAAGTTTTGCGTACATTAACTTTGACTTTCTTAGACAATCATAGTTCATTTGAGATGCTATATCAAGGATTCCAGACTTAACTATCGATGTTTGAAGCCCTTTCATTGTTTGGAAGGCCACTTTGCTCTTATTTTCTATACTCTTCTCATTTTAACACCATTTTTTTTCCTGACAGATCCTGTGACACATTTCTTCCACACGTCTTCCAGTTTCTCGTTCTTCTCTCCTATGAATGCTTTCAGCCCAAGTTTAATGAACCAAAAGCTATTGTAGGGATGCCAAGGATCATTCAGCTTTGTGATGGGATCATGGCCGGTGGACAGCCAGCCCAAAGTCATGGTACGACAACGTGAAAGAATTAACCAAGGCCAAATGCCTAACTTCAAGAAAAAATTCAGTTTTTTTTGTAAAACACTGATAACTTTTCCCTTCATGAGTAACTAAATTAAGATTTTCCCATTTATTTTAGCTATTCCAGCCCTACAGCCAATAATACATGACTTGTTCGTTCTTCGAGCTGCTGGTAAGAGTGAGATTGGAGAGGATTTGGAGACGCAAAGAGAGGTGGTGGTTTCTATGCTGCTTCGTCTTGTGCATTACCCTGAGGTATGATTCTTTTGGCAGCAGTTAGTCCATTAGCGAGCAAGACAGTTTGTTCTGTGGGTCGTACAGCCTTGCTCACTACAGTTAGTATGAGTTAATCCGTTAATCGGTCAGTCAGTCAGTTTTTGAATCAGCCAGACAGGTATTAAACCAGTCAGATATTCAGGCCTAGTCAGCTATTTCCTCAGAACCCAAGAGTCATGGTGACTCTAGCCTGTGATTTTGCCCTCTTACATCTCTAGTTTGCCCCGTGGGATAGAGGGCTTTTTTCCCTTCTTCGGCTCTTCTAAAAAAAAAAGAAAAAAGAAAAAATAGCGCCTGATTGCAGGTTATAGTGACTGATATCTTTACAATCTGTACCTGTAAGGAAGCCATCTTCAGAGTCAATGGTTAAGACAGTTAGTCAAACAGATGACTCCGCTGACAGGTAGTGAGCCAGTTAGTTGGTCAGTCAATCAATCGATCGATCAATCAATCATTCAATCAATCAATCAGTCTGTAAGGTGTTACGTTACTTTTTTGTCTTTTTCTTACTCTACTGTCAAAATTTTAGGTGTTGGAGATGTTAGTCGTTGTTCTTAACTGCTACCAACGAGATGAAGTCAAATGGAGGAACCTGTCTGGACAAGTCATAGACCTTCTGCTTCCTCTTCTAGCCAATCATAAGGTAAAAATTGGACTCAAACTAATCATGCTTAGTAGAGTCACTCATATAAATTGTGTGTAATTGTCAACTTTTGAGACCACTAACGAATTTTAATTCTTGCGGCGCATTAAACAATTCAAATGAAACTCCTTCCACGATATTTTAACCTAGCGCTATTTGTGTTGCAATTTTTTTAAATTTTAACTGAGCGCTCTGCAAAAGGTTTTAGAATGAAAGCAGCTAAAAATACTGATCTGATCTACCATTGTATTCGTAGGTACATGTTGAATCTGAGTATGGTTTTGAGATGCTTCAAAGTCTCCTTGCTGCTGTCGCTCCTGGTTCATTGTGGCCTGTGGATGTGTTGCTGAGGGTATCATTTTCCAGTGTTGATCCAGTGAGTAAAACCTACAGTAAAAACCCGCGATTAAGAACCTGAAAATTAAGAACCTGTTAGCCTAACATTTGCCATTTATATCCCCTATAAACAAGAACCTGTTTAGCCTAGAAAATGAAAAACAGGTTCTTATTTTTTAAAATCATATTATTGAAATGCAGCTGCAAAACTGTGCAAGAATCCTGTTTGAAGAATTAGGAACTTGGCATTGCTGTGCAAATAAAAGTGCTAATTTATTGATGTAATAAAAAAATAAAAAAAATATCGTTGTATCGCATTTTGAAATTGACCAATAGGCTGATTACCATCTTGTTTTGTAGCTTGTTTTTTTATGTAATTTTTTTTTTACAGAAATAAGAACCTATTTAAGAACCTAAATAGCCTAAAATTGTGTTAACTACCATTTAAATAAGAACCTGTTTAGGCTAACTCCAGAAAATGTAGGTTCTTACTTGTGGGTTTTTACTGTACTAATTTCTTACGCTCTTGAAGAAAACGGAAAATCTGCCTGATGCAACAATTGAACAATGAGGAACAAGACTGTCCATTTCTTTTTTCCTAAGTTTCTGGTAGAGGCCATTGGATACATTTTCCTAAAAAAAAAAATGTTTAAATTAGAAAAAAGAACAATGTGAAGCGCGATTACTGCCTTGTTTCCAGACTTCTTTCTTACAATGCGTTTTTGCGCGCAAAGGACGGTGGAAAGGTAAGAGCGAACGAGACGTTGCTTCGCCTCTCTTGTTTCTCCCTCGTGTATTGCCTCAGGTTTCGTCAACAATTAGTCTCGTTTCACTCTCGCCTTTGTTCGCGACTAACCAAAGTGCGACAAACGACGCCACTGGGGAGGAGGCAGGTGTGATCAGGTGTTTAAGGCAACCACATTCGCCAAAAAATGGGGTTTTACGGCCGCTTCAAACCTGTTGTATTTTATATTTCCCTTTTGAGAGAGGTACATATGCATGTATCAGTTTTTTATTGGAAACACTTCCTGTTCATTACGGAGATATCTAACAACTTTGTTTTCTAATGACTCTGCCTCCCTATATAAGCCCATGCCTACACAATACAGGGTAACTCTTGCGCCTTTACGAAAACCATACCGGATAGGGCTTCTCTGCAGACATACGAACGGTAATTTCAGACCGATTTCTGTGACGGAAGCTGGGCCGCACTGATCTTGAAAGGAGGTCTTTACTGGTCGGATAGGTTTCTGGGCCCACTTTTCGTGGCACCGTGAACAGGAGGTGTTCATAGCAGGTCAGAGTATTTTTCATGTCAACATGATATGCTATCCGGTATAGCCCAAGAGCACTCTTGTGTACTGAGTTTCAGACTGTCTAGTTATTAAGTATCCTGATTGACTAGCCTGTGTCGCAGACGTAATTTAACCTCAGTAATGTCTGCGAAGCAGCGCCGATATCCTTGTTCTGGGTCTCCAACGGACTCAGCGAATAACCCGAAGTGCGTTTCAAATTTCCTTTCAACGTGATTGGCAATAACTTTTTAACAGGGCAATCATGGCGCGTCCTCAAATCCAAGTACACAGGTGGAGGCACAGAACAATGATTTCGGCACAGTTTCGCAGATTGACTTAACCACAGGATTAGTTTCGTCTATGGCGCAGGCTATGAATGACAGGCTTAACTTTTTTATGGCCAAAACCGCGAAAAAAAAAAAAAAAACCTTTGTATAACCAGGCACCGTCCTCAACAAATGTCTTGCTTCTATTCATTTTTTTGCTTTAATTTTAGATCCAGTCTGAGGTATTTGGGCGCTGGTTGGCTACAACGCTGGTAATGTTTCAAACTCTCATGGCTCATGTCTCAGAAGATATTCTGCTGTCTAGAATTGACCAATCAGGTCTCAGACCCAAATGTGCTCAGAAGCCTGGGACTCCTCTGTTGCCAATAGAAGTAAGTTCTTGGTCAAGTATCTCAATTTATGTTAGTAGTAGGGTGCTTATGCAGCTATGACTCCGACGCCAATAAAAACGCCTAAAAAGTGAAACACGCTACACGTGCCGCATACTCTTTTGGTAAATTTCTTTACCGTCTAACTTCACGACTACGACATGAAATTCCCTAATTTCGCGTTTTATGGAGGACGTAGTAAGCACACGACGATGATTTTCATTTTTTTTTCTCTGAACCTTGGATAGGGACCTGAGCAATTCATTTCCAGAGAAATTCACTTACATTTGACCGATTGAACGAAATGGAATAATCTCGATAATATTTGCAACATCCCGAATTCACTTTAAAAGTTACGTTTTCGCTGATGTCGCCATCGTGTTTTGGTTAGCTCCCTAGAGTTTCACCCAACTATTTTAGTTGTGCGTTGCTCTACTTTGTGATTGGCTGCAAAATCGCACATTACCCTCTCTTTTCCCGCGCTTGGCATCCGACCAACTGTATCTCTAAATGGTTCTTATGACTGTGGCTGTTATGATTGGCTTAAGTAATTACTGTACTTAAAGTTAAACAAAGCTCAATTGAACATTGCTTAAATACTTTCCTCTTCTAGGTCTAGGCGTTCGGACTTTAAGTGAGCGCCAAAATTTCCGGCACCATGAGACGAAAGGTTCTTTGTGCGCATACCTAACTTTTCTTTCACTAGATATAATAGAGATAAGGAATGTTTTTCTTTTTAGGTATTTGTAAAATTTCTTTTTTACGTGGTGGAGGTGACTGCCAGTCATGTTAAAAGGATAACAAAGAACACTGAGGAAAGCAGTAAGCGAACGCTGGAAGTAAAGACATTTGTGTTTAAGCTGTTTGGATGCACCTTAACATGTCTTACGCATCTTTTAAAATCAGGTTTGTGGATAACACGTGTACAATAAGCCTAAAGTTAACTTTGAAATGGTTAGAGGTGTTACATGAACCACCTTACAACAACAACAACAACAACAACAACAACAACGGGAATTTAGCCTAGGAAAACAGCCGTTTCTCCTCGCTCCTCGCCGCTGGGGACGTTTCGCGAGGAACACGTGTGTCATGTTTACACATGACAGACAAAAGACAAAAGGCCACAAAGGTTAAATGTAAACGCGCTGAGTATGTAACAAAACAGTCAATATTTGTGGAATATATTCTTCTCTAGAAGAAGCATTTGCGTGTTGCTGAAGCTCGTTCGCAGATGAACACAACAATTTATTAAAATCGACCAGCCGAAACTTGAAATCGAACAAATTTGCATTTGGAATCCCATGACTACCTGATTTGTTAAGTAAACATTGATTTACGTTATCAGTATGGAATTTCTGTCGCTGAGTTGCAGACGTTCCACCTCGCGAGAAGTCCCCAGCGGCGAGGAGCGAGGACAAACGGCCTTTTTCGCAGGTTAACAGGAATTTTCAAGAAAATGTTTTTGCTCGAGAGGGGTTTTTAAAACGCACTGGTTTCTAGGGTAGGCAGCAGCACCTATCTGACCATTATTTAAGCCATTTATATTCCAGTAAGGGTTAGTCACCAGTGTTCCAGCCAGAGCGCGCCATTGCGTGAATCCCGCAAAAGGTCGATAGATGGACCCCACCAAAAGCGTTCAAGGGCCATTATGGCCCTTTCCTTTTTTAAGTGCCTGGGCTTAAAATGGTCTCTGTTACTTCAAGTACAATAATTTTCCAGTTAAACAGAATTTTTAATCTAAAAAACAACGACTCAGTACCTTTGTACACAACATGAAAATCAATCGATGAATTTTCTTGAGTTTACCTGATTTATCGTGAGTGGTCTGGAGACCACTAAGCCTCGACTTGGCTTTTGTAATATCGCAGAAGCTCATGGGTATCCATCATGGCGTCTCGAAAAAGAATAAACCTGACAAACGCATCTTGGAGGTCTATCAAAAGTTTTTTCTCACAAGTAACGAAAAAGTGGATGGAGACGAAGCAGTTAAGAATAAGCGAATGAAAGCAGGTCTTGACGGTGAAGTGGAAAATGAGTTTAAAAAAAATTACTATTTTTATTGCATACATTCTGATTGTACTGTTTGCTTTATTACCGAAGATTTCCTCTATTGTGTATAAAAGGGGACGCTCCATGTCAGCTTCAAATAAACTGACATTTTTATTTCCTTAACTTTCCAACTGCTTCTTCTCTTTTGCATATTAGAGAGATACTGGTACATTGGCCCTTTCTTGAAATATCTGGCCCCCAAAAATTGGTTGTAGGGGCCACTTCGGCCCTCAAGCACAATTTTCTGGCCGGAACACTAACCGTTACCATTGTGCGTCCTTTTTTTAATGATGAACTTTTATTTTGTAAAAAAGCACTGTGTATTCTCATTTATTTTGAAGCTTTGTAATATATTCCGTGCACAGTCATCTATGTAAAAAATTGGGTCATACCATTAATGTTCTTTACTGATTTCAATATCCCTGTAAAGAGCTGTTTTCCTGCACATTCATGTACTTCATGAAAGAACTCAACATTAACAACCACCGTAATTAAACCTATTGAACTTCATATTTCAGCAAACTTCAAGAAAGTATCACAGCTAGCAAGTTCTTCCCCTCTCATTACGCCGTCTGTGGACATAATTAATGAGTGTGTTTCTCATCTGGTGGACACCCACCCAGTATTTGTATTGCAGTGGTGCCAGGTCCTACGGCAACTCAAATACATGGACGCACAATTCTGGTGTGGTTTTATCGATACGGGGACTCGCTTAAGCACAGGTAAAAGTTATACATCTTGCCGACTGAGACTAATAGCAGAAATACAAGGGAAACGTTGTGTAGTACTGATATGATTGAGAGGACTTGGCGGAAATTCTGCGCATTTGCTTACATTCTTGCTTACACCATGAAGTGTACTTCAATTGATTTAGCCTGCGTAGACTAACTCAGTGGCGGGATTAGTTGGAGAGTGCGGTAGTAGCCAGGTCTGTGTCGTTATTTGTAGATTTCACGGCGGAGCCGCGAAAGGATTGGGAGCTAGTCAAACGTAAGATTTAATTTACAGTTCCCCGAGTTAAATCCGCCATGTATAGTGTTATGGACACTTTCACAGGAAAATCATGATTGCTCAGTATCATTATAAGTAACGTGGAATCAAGGAACGTCCAAAGAGCCTTCCCCTAAATTCGCATTCCCGAGTTTTTTCTCTACCATAAGTAACTTTTATGCTCTAAGAATCAATAAATAATTAACAACACAGTAAAAGTTCCACTGAATAGCTTTCTTTTGAAATTAATCTAATGCTTTAAGATTCTCTAAACGTTAATGAACTACACCTCGGGGTACACTCTGGAACCTCAACCTCACCACTAGAAGTGATAAAACAAAATGGAGACGTTTCTATGGGAAACAGTAAAAAAGCTGATTTTCTCTTCATTTGACATTTTTTACTTATCTGCTTTATAGTCTCAGGCGGTGATATTGATTTAGAAGGTCCGACCTTGAATAAGGATGTGACTAAGTTAGGAGTACTCCTGATGTACTGCGATCTTCTTATAACCCAGCACATGGTATGTTTTCATTACCGGGCTTACTTTTGTTTTATGTTCAGACATCAGTTTATATAGGGATTATGCATTGACCAATTTCGGCTGCGTCCATTTCCCGTGGGGTAATCCCCGGGCATTAGCAGGTTTTTTCTTGAAAACCAGTTTCCTAGGGGTGGGGATATTTTAGCTGCCAAATTCTCCCCGGAAAGTATTCAATTGTCGCTCTTTTCGCAGTTTTGGATGTTGACAGAAACAGTTTATGGTAGACGATAATTTTCTGTTCCTATACCATTTCTTGGGCATTCATTCCCAGATAACATGAAGAACTAAATAATAGCGGGAGATTTTAAAGCATAATTTCTTTACCTTTTCAAAACTCAATATTTCCAAACTCCAGTTCGACCGGGAATCAGGTAGACGAAGAACCACTTTGTGGATGTGCTACCTCCAAATCATTATTTATTTTATTTATCATTTATTTATTTATTTGGTAACGGTTAGGTTTTCCTGAATCGTTTCTTTTTTTTCATCAGTACCTTTCGCGAAGCGTCTTTCGGAGCGAGACGGAGTCAAGGTTCTTCGCCTTCGCTATAAATTGCTTGACTTTTTGTGTTAACCCATCAGGACCAAGGAAAGTTAGACTTGTCTCATGCCGGAACTCTGCTTAGGATGTCATTCGAGGACTTAATACTGATGGCTGAAGAACCGCCTGTACATGGATTTCTCAGGTAACAGGACGACCTGAAGGATTTATTTCCGGGCAACGGCAACGGGTGTAAATGAGCCATAGTGTGGGTGGCCATCACGCTTCCGGAACAGTCCAATAAATCAGTTCGACACAACACTTGACCCAGTGTCACGCGGAGCTTTCAAAGGTGCTATCCATGCATTTTTGTTGTTCTTGTGCCCAAACTTTTGGCTGAGTAAACACACGAGAGTTATGGAGATTTGGGGAAAATTAGATAAAACTTTTACTTGTGTAGCTTACAAGTGTGGCTATTGTTTTTAGACTCTAAAACGGTAGCTATAGCTTTATAACTTTATTTAATATTTTGGCCCTTGGACAAGATATGGATATGATATTCCAGAGCAGTGTGTAACAACGCCGTCTTACTTACATGTGCTCTCCTTTCGCAGTATACTTTACAGCAGTCCAGAAGGAAGCAAGCTTTTACTGGACTCTGTCAGTTCCTGCAGATCACTGCCTGAAGCCATGAAACGGGTAAAAAAGTAAAAGTAGGAAAAAGCCTGATAACTTAAGCACATTATATCCCGCGTGGGCCCACATAAAGTAAAAAAAAAAAAAAGAAACAATAAACGTAGTTCAGTGCACGAGATGTCTATAGGTCATTAGTAGTGAGAATAATAAATAAGTAAGATGGCCTTGTATAGCAACTGCCTTTCTGAATAACACTTTAAGCCCGGTGATGAAGTGAGAAAATTGCATGATTGAGTCCCCGACGGTCTCCGACCACACTCGATGGGTGCTCTATGCCGAACCTAGCAAGTAGCCTCACTTTATCTCATTTTATAGTGTACACGCCGGATAATTGGGAGGTCTGGTTTTTTAATACGGGGCCTTTTTTTTGCGCCATGCTTTTGCAACTTTCTAATTAATTTTGTTTGTTTTCAGCCAACCTTTGTAAAAGGTCTGTTGCTCTGTTTGAAGGCAGTGCACCAGTCGCAGTCTCTTTATCTGTTGAGGATACTCACAGAGAGTTTTCTGGACTCCAGTCATCAATCTGTTGTCCGAATGACCGAGCGCATCATTCGCAGAAGGCTTGAGATGTACTCTTCCGGGCAGAAGAGGGTAATTTTATATTTTTTGCAGCAACCTTATTTGTCTCTCAACGTCCTGATAACGTTCAGACCCGAACAGCGTTTTATGCGCTCAATGTTCGCCTTTAAGAATCACATTTTGCTGGCAGTGAAAGTAGTAATATAATTAAAAGGTGGCAAAGAAACTTGACCTGTTTAGTGTGTGGTTAAGACTGCATGAATTGATTGCGGGTTTCAAAGAACGATGCCCTCGTTCAAACGTAGCTGCAAGCTATCAGAAGTTTTAAACTTGTAGAATCCTACAATTCCGTAGTGTAGCCAGAACCTGCGTGTACTGGTGATGGTTTTTAATAACTTGTGTCCGCTCTGATTTAACTTATTTTTTTTGCCGTAAATAACCTCTGGTTTTCCACGCGACCTCATAACTGTCTGTTTTGGCGTGAGCTCTCGCCTGGAAGTATTTCATTGCCACCAATTTGTGTCCTCGCACAAGGACGTTTGTTGATTTGAAAAGTGGGTACCAATCTCCATTGGGATTAGTATCCATGCCCTCCCGACGCTATAGGCCATTATTGGGTTGCGTCTGAGACTGGGTCGGTGTCGTGTCGAATTGACCATGGGACTGGTTTGGGGACGGTAACACTTCTCTATCGGCTTTTACGAATTTGCGCGGGAAACCCCCCCCAAAAATTCGTCGTTACAGTGCTATTTGAAACAATACCGAGCCAGTCTCAAACGGAAACGTCAAAATGTACGTCCAGTAACTGACCATTGACCGAGGAATATTACATTCAATCTGTCTCTTATTCTGTTCAGTTTTTAGGCAAACTGAACAACAAACTTTACTTCAACATTTGTGGTAACTAAGAACTTCCCATAAAAAAATTCATGCTGTCGTTGTACGTGAGATCAAGTCTGTTAGGTTTGAACTTCAAAGCAGTTCTTAATTTTTCAACGTAACCGAAGAAGATTCCCCTTGTAACCAACTCTCTCTCAATGGTTAAAATTACTTTTAAGAATCAAGCAGACCTTGCGATAACATGTGGTGATTGTTTGTTTTTGCTTTACCAGGACTCGGCGCAAGATGTACTAGAAGATGACCTGAGAACTGTTTGTCAGTTGATTGTGTCAAAGAAGACAGCGAAAAGGTGGTTTTGTTAGTATATTTACAATACAGTTAATGCGTTAACTTGTTGTTTGTGAAGAAAATTGAAGATCATTAAAGACAGGCGCAAGGTATACCCAGAAAATGCTTTTTTAATATAATATTGAAATTTGTACAGATGGAGGAGGCGCTATCCACGGAGGCCTGCATGACGTCAATCGTGGATAATTTATCATCACTGACTGACGTCAGTGAAAGTCAATCAAATTATGCTCTAAACATGTTCTTAGTTTATCTGTGAAAGGTTTGAACCCTACAGTACTCACTGGTTATGAAGAATTATCTGGGGGATTAAAGCCAACCGAAACGGAGAAATAGTTTGAATGTGTAATAATAACGTATATCTTGTTCCTTCAGAAATTCGTCACTGCTTTTACTGGTGAATAGAATTCTCGGCCCCAGTTCACCTCCTCAACGCGAAATGCCCAGTGGTGAAGATTTAGTCTCATCCCTGGAAAACTACACAATCGGCAGGGTAAGATGGTAATCTTAAAGAGTTTGACCACCGCTTGGCAAACCAAGTGGGAAAAGAAACTTGATCCGGGTCTTTGTTTTAAACCGTGTAGAGTGTTTTCACTCACGTTGCCAGCATCTCTGCAAATTTATTGGAACAAAAGAAAGCGTTTGCCGAAGAGGACATAAGAAAAGAGTTCAACTCCCACAGTACTGGTTTGGGACGCCAACATGGCCGCCGTTTGACTTCGTGTGAAAACACTCTATAGATCGTTTTCACTCACGTGATCAGTAGCTAAGTAAATTTCTTGGAACAAAGGAAAGTTCTTAAATGAGAAAAGTGTTCAATCCCCACAGGAATTGCTTTGATACACCGATATGGCCACCACGACGTCATGTGAAAACGATCTATTGGCAATTTATAACCGCAAGCGGCTGGAATTCACAAAAATGTCGGCATTTTGCTCACCTGTTTTCCATCATGCCACTAAAAATGTTGCTTGATTAGAGGATGACAAAAATAAAGGTGAATTACATTGCATCACTGCATTGTCACTTCTTGAAACGGTTTGAGCCTTGTCAATTCAAGTTTGACTTCCTTTGCCTTGTTTAACCTTCTCGAGTATATTTAGGTCCATTGAACCTTTGTTAATTTCTTTCTCTTCTCCTTCAATGCTGGTCCGTTTTAGAGATTCAAAACTAAAGTTTACTGAGGGAGGAATTAGGGAGTGATACCTGTATCATGTCAAGTCTTCTTGTATCTTGTGTTTCCATAAGCTTGGCCACGAATTGTCACTGGAGTTGAGTGACACTTTGGCGGTTGTCATCAGCCGGAAATGTTAGTATCCCCCTATGATTTGTGGTTGCTTAGCAGAGGATCTTTCTTCCTTTTATCCTAGGAATGGTTTCGTCGTCTCGCTGAGCAGTGTTGTTTTGGTGGACTTCCTTTGAGCCAAAAAACAAGAGCTGTTATCCCACAAGAGGCCATTCAGATTTTGAGTGTTTTAACTGCTAAAGAAGTATCCGAAGTTATCAATCACGAGGTTGGTTTTCTCAGAGTGAGAGACATCGTAATTCAATACGCAACAATTTTTTACAGCGAGAACCTGCAGGCTTTAGGTATCACTGACGAGTGCTGGCTATGACAAGTACTCTCGAGTGTGAATGCTAAGTTTACTGAAAATTCTGAATGATTTTGCAGTTTGTAGTTAAGTGAACGGCATTTGCATAGTGCAAATACCCAGTACAATGATCGGTCGATCAAGAGGGAATTATTCATTCTCTATCGTCAATAATAATAATTAATAATAATTTATTTCTTATTAGGCGCAAATTAACATCTGAACTGATGATCAAATGCGCCTTACAACTATAACTACTTGTAATAATCACAATAAAGTATAATTAAGAATACCTAAAATTTATAATCTAAAATTGATCAATCTAACTATAACAGGCAAAAGTCTTCCTAAATAAATAAGTCTTTATTGTTCGTTTAAAAACCAAAAAGTTATCGATGTCTCTGACACTTGCAGGCAGACTGTTTCACAGTGCATGGGCAGCTATTGGAATGATCTGTCACCCAGAGTTTTCTTTGTTTTTCTCATGGGCAACTGCAATAGTAGTTCTTCAGAAGAACGAAGCTGGTATTCACATTTCTCCTTTAATCGAACTAGATTGCAGATATAGGACGGCACAAGTTGATATATTGCTTTAAACGTTAAAACTAAGGTTTTAAACTCGATACGTTAGGCAGCAGGTAGCCAATGCAAAGAAAATAAGACGGGGGTAATATGATCATCAGCATCACGTTCATCCTTTGCTGATGCAATAATAGATGCATGGTATCACTTCAGAGGATAATTTGTATTTCGATTATTGGATAAGAAAACTATGGAATGCTACTTGTAAGAGTAAAGACTTTTATTTCCCACTCTTTTTCATATTTTAGCAGTTTGACCTCTCTCTGCTTGAAGAATGTGTTCTACGCGGAATCGAAAGAACTCTTCAGTCGACTGCCCGAAGGCAAAATGCAGAGGTACTATGCGAGTTAAAACAGTTTAAACTCATTCAAAAAATTTCTCAGTTTCTGATTGGCTTTAATCCCCAGCGAATTCTTCATAACCAGCTGGCGCTGACCATATTTGGAAGATGTGGCAATATACAATCGTTGACGTCAGTCACTCTGACGTCAGTGATTGTATGTTGTCAGTATGGAATCATTGACGTCACTTATGAGTTCAGAAGTGAAGAAAATGGTCAGAGTTCAGGGCAACGCAAAAACGGAATAGAAATGGTGAAGAGCAGTTTGTGGATCGCTACGTAAATCGAATTGTCATTCTCAAGATCTTATTTCGTATCGATTGAAAAAAAGACTTAACACAAAAGTGTTTCAGTTTGAATGTACGTATTTATGTATGCACGAGTACTTCCGACAGCCATTTATTAAGGAGTATACGCCACTTCCACATTTCCCATAATGCACCTTATTTGCCCTCCCCAAATTTTGCATAACCTTTGTTTTTCATTTCTCCTGGGTATTACAGCCGTGCCAAGAGAAATTGAAAACAATGCCTAAGCAAAATTTTGGGGGCAAACAAGGTGCATTATGGGCAATGTGGAAGTGGCGTATTGTGCCAAACGTAGTGAAACGAAACTAGTGGCTTCTAGGTACTTAATGCGCACCGTTTTCATTTTTTCGACTTAGAGAACTGATGCACATGCACATAACACACGTAGTGTATTGGTGTGCTAACAGGGCAATCCAATACAGATGTGGCAAACGTACATTTAAAGGGGTCTATTATAAAATGTCTGTGGTAAGAGTTTTTTGTTTTGCTTTTGAATTAATTATGTTTTCAGGATGTTGCAAGCAATTTATATCACAACACAGACCAACTGGACAACAGCGATGTCGATCATCTTTTGCTGGTTTCTAAACTCAGTTTGTTCTCGCATGTCGAGAAAATTGTCCAGGACGTCATTCGTACCCGAACGTTTAGAGGTAATATGATATGTGTCGACTTCATACACGAGCTGAGCCTCGGGAAGTCCCTTTTAGAACTTAATATAAAGATTTAGCCAAGGCCAAAAGGGAAGCTCTAGAGTGATCTTTTAAGGAATGTCTTTCTCAAGGAATTCAACTTTTGCCGTAAGCAGGAAGCAAACTAAATTGCGCCTTAAAAAAATGGACCTGAGCCCGAGATCAATTGAAAACCAATAACTGGACAACGGATAATAGTCACCTAGCTCAATGAGTTGTATACCTGAGCCGATACATTTACGTGACTCTGGTCAGCGGATACCCTTGTTTGACAGCTATTAATTGACCATGACGCAAGGTTTTAGCCAGAATGGTGTCCAGCCGTCCTATGGACGCTCATTTTTGGAGGAAATACAGGGAAAATTCACTTAATCACTTACAATTTTATGGGAAAACATACCCTCTGGAAGTCCTTCTACTGGACGGCCATGACGTCAATGTCTAATTCCAAGTTAAACACAGATAGTATATGCCTTGGACTCCTAGCGAGTAAATGTGACATTTTACATCCGCCAACATGTACGGGTGGACGTACAAATGGTTTTGTCAGAACCAAAATTTTTTAGATGCATAGATAACCAAATTTTCTTACCCATGGTGCTCCGCTGCCTTGTTACCCAATGTTTTACGCGCCATGAAACATGTTTCTTTTGCAACATCACAAAGGCGTTCACAAGGCACCGGATGAATTTTTCACCGACAGAAAAATTGGAACGGACACTTCGTTCGCTCGAAACTGTTCGATATTTTCACTCTGTTCACAAGGAACTTTGAACGGCTAGGCTTCCAAATTTTCGTACGGTCAAGGAGTTTCCGTATGAAGAGAAGGAAGCTCCTTGCCTAGTCCCTTTACGTCGTTTTACCAGTTCTCTCGGTCAATTCACTTCGGTGACATATCCGAGGCGAACGGTCGGACCACATGACCCGAAATGCTTTGGCCGCGCGGAATAATGGGCGAAGTGTCCCAACTCATTTTGTTGCTGATTGTAGTTGCGCGCCATTGATAAAAAGAGCCATTTCAATGCTGACCGGTACTGGCAAAAATTTGTGCTGACCTGTGGAAACAGTACTGTAACAGAATTTGCACGGTCAGTCCATTTAAACGGGTTGCACTGGTAAAAAATTCGAGCGTTCAAAAATTGGCCCCCTTCCCGTGTAAAAGGGGTATAAATCTCTTTAGCGTTACTTAAGTATTTTGATGGTGCCTTAAGTGTTTTGCTGTTATGGCGACGTTTCATGGTAAACAAAGTGAAGTGTTTGTGAAAATCGTTTCTCTGAAGATAGCATGTAATGATCTATACCTTGTGTTAATGGTTTTGTTCTAATTTCAGACAGCGAAAATTCCTCTAAAATCCAATGTGTTTGTCTGGCCTCTGATCGATTGTCAGCACTGTGCAACGATGCTGTATGGTGTAAGAAAGTCACGTGTATTTCCCGTGCTCTTGTGGCGTTGGCTAGTGGCATTCTCATTCTTCCTGAACATTGTGCAATCCCTGAGTCTGGAAAAGAAGTTCTTTTTCAGTTTATCTTCATCCCGCTGGCGGTACGAAAAACAGACGTTTTTATCAAAGTCATGATTGTCAAACGTGTTTTCAAATGATATATTTTGTGATGCAAGATATCAGTCTTAGCTGTAGCAGTAACATATGTTGTTGGATTTGACATATATTTTTCCCTTTTGCAAACGATTGGGTTTCTACATATGTCACCCATTTAGAGCCATGTAATGCAAGTTGCTTTTTCTGTACACTGTTCGTGTGTTTACGTCAGCACTGTTTGCATTGTTTCCAAGCGTTAAATCACTTGTATTTCTAGCGCTTGGTTGAATAGTCGAAAAGTTGGTTGTATTTTCTACGCGTTTTTTACTCCCTTCATTGATACTCGTTCCACGTAGTATCCACTTATTCTTCTGCTTTACTGCTGTTAGAGCCGTTGTACAGCTTTGAAAACGAGCCTTGCTTTTACAAGAGCACCGACAACCATTTATTAATACAGGTTAACAACTGTCAGTGGCTACAAAGTCCTTTACTTCTCTTGTCTGCAGATGGTCCACTGTAACTTCGTGAAGGGAAACCATCCTTGTTCCGCTGAGTTGACGTCTCAGCTCGAATGCCTCGCCAAGGTAATGCACTATAGTATCTGTTTTAAAGTCTTAAAATGCCAACACCTTCAGACGACTTCTTTGACAGCAAGTATAGGGGAGGGGGGGGTGGGGGGAGAGTTTCGCAATGGTGACAGCACTGGCCTCCCACCAATGTGGCCTAGGTTCACATCCCGGCGTTGACACCATTTGTGGGTTGAGTTTGTTGTTGTTTCGCTCCCCTGCTTCTAGAGGTTTTTTTTCATCCGAGTACTTTGGTTTTCCCCTCTCCCCACAAACCACACTTTGAAATTCCAATCGATCTGGAACGCACAGACACAAACGAGGTTTTAAGAACTCCTCAGTGTTTCGGGGTGAAAAAAAAATACGTTTTAAGGGCTCTTGTGCCCTCATTGTTTTAGATATTTGATTTCTCTTCAATTTTTAGTTTCTCAGTTTAGATTGTTGTAAAAGTGTTGGGGAGTTTCAGTTCTTTCCTTTGGTTTGTTCTGCCATCAGTCACGTTCATTTGCTGTTAAACGCAGGTGAGCAAGATAATTAAGTTTCCTTGTGTTGAAGTTTCTTTAAGGAACGGTTGCATCCTTAGAGAGTTTTAGAATCATGTCTACGGCAAACGGCAGATTTAACGGAATTTCTTAAAATAGAAAATGGCCACATAAAATCAGTCCAAAATGTCAGCCCGAACCCGTGAAGGACGCTGGGGAGGGACACCCTCCTCTCTCTCTCTCTTTTACCAGCACCCCACCCCAGGTCAGGGTTGGAGACGGCTGACATTCAGACTGCCCTTGGATTTTTCAAACAAACACATTCTTACTGTCCCTGTATTTACCTTTCCTGAATGGTAATATTTAGAGGTGAACAGTGTATAGTTAATAAGCTCTGTGTGTGTTCCTTATTTACAGTGTGTGGCAGTTCAGACGATAAGGGACTGCACAATTTTAGTGACGAAACAGAGGTTGATATCACCGATGAAGGTAAATAACATCAGTTAATTTCACGGGCAAGGATCAAAATCTCTACTTGCCATTACGCACACGCATCTGTACCTCCTCAATCACTCGTAATCTTATCACGCCCGTTTTAATTTCCTGTCAGACTTAAAATTTACAAAAAGCACAACGCTGTTGTAGCAAGAGCGTTTTGTCCCCCGATAGACCACGCCCGCCTTCCCTACACTTTAGTTAGTACTAGTTGTGTGAAAACAAAACGTTAAATGACCTCTACAACAGAGAGCTCAGGTTCACCCCTCGTGCTTTTTCCCGACTATTCCTCCTGCTTCGTGCGTGTCTTAATGACCTCGTTATGGACGCTTAAGTTAAAATAAACTCAGTTGTACGACAGTAAGGCAGAAAATGATGCTGGAAAACTGGAGTGGTCACTTCATTTGCGTCCACGCTTGTTGTTTCCTACAATTTTCTTTTACATTGTCGATGCATTTTATTTGCAGTTCATTTACTCTTAAAACCTTTCCTTTTGAACAAGTAGTATCATTATAAGGAGAAATTTGGTACTAATCACCATAAGAGCTAAACGGGTTTAGGGAATTGGCTACCTAAACCTTGCAGCCCTTTTTTTCTTTCACTTTTCTTTCTTTTTAACCATTTTCTCTTTTTAGGAATCCAAATCGCTAGGAAAGCTTGCAACGAGATTTCCATTTTAGTCCATCGCCTCCTCGCACTGATGACGGCATCCACTGGTGGAGGGGCCTCTTTCCCTCAGTTCCTTATTGGTCCTTTTCATAACGTAATAGTTGGCTTGGCGAGGCAACCGCTGGTCAATAGCTACGCACGGACTCCACCCCTGGTTTGGAAGATGGGTTGGGCCCCAATCCCTGAAGGACCGTTAAAAACCGAGCTTCCGCCACTACCAATAGAGATACTGAAAGAGAAAGATGTGCTGGATGAATTTGTGAAAAGGGTTAATTTAATTGGTAAGCAATTGTTCAGAAGGAAAAAACAACTTCAGTAATACTAAGAGTGAAGACTGCATAATAATAGCTTGATTTCTTTGAAAAGTTTCGATTTTCGACGATTGTCATCGGTTTTAGCTTACTTTAATTTTTAATTTTTGATTTGGAAGTTTGAGGAAAGAGTCGGTGTGAATTTTACTGCATGTACAATGTTTGTTTTGTGGATCCTGCACCGTGAAGTGATAAATGATGAGCGAAAATCCACTTCTATACTTTTAATCCTGGGGTCAATTTAATAAAACTTTTATAAGTGTAGCTATTGTTTTCAGACTCTAAAATAATGACTACACTTGTAAATTACAAGTGTAAAATTTTTATTAAATTGACCCCTGGCTTAACCCTTTAAGCCCTAAGAGTGATAAGCATCAAATTTCTCTTAGTAATATCAATGCTTTGTAAAACAGATTGGTGATGAGAATTACGGTCATGATCATACATGATAAATTTTCCTGATATTTTATCAACTTCTCCCCACTACTTCTGTAGGAAATGAATAGAGGCAACAAATGAGAATTCAGATTCAGATTCAGATTAGTGTTTAAAGGGTTAATCTCCATAGTTCCTTCCTTCTCCTTTTCCTTCTCCTCCTCCTTCCTTACATTTTGGCGGGAACATATTTCCATTTAGGCCATGTTCCCGCTATACCGGACAGCTTTTACGCCGGCACGAAAACCATACCGGATAGGGCTTCTATTCGCACATAAGATCAGTCTCTGTAACGGAAACTGCGCTGCGCCTTTCTCGAAAGCGGTGCATCAAATATGGGATAGGTTTTGTGTCACACTTTGATATAGTGTGAACCGCTATTCGGACCGTAGTAGATGTGAATAAGTAAAGCCAGGACTGGAATCCATTGAGACGGAAGTAAATATTCGGGAGTGAGGACTGGGATTTAGTTAGTTCACCATTCCCTCTCGGCAAACGGCTCCGGTACGATGTTCGATGTGTGTGAACAACTTGTTCCAGTTCTGTGCCGTTACTGTTTATGCTACTGATACCTGATTGCTTTTCGTGTCGGCACGGAAAGCTCTCCTATCCGGTATTGTGTCAACATAGCCTTATTGTCCGTTCCATGCTATGTTTAGGCTGGACATCAAGACAGCAGTTTGAGGAAACTTGGGCCGCTCTGCTCGGCGTTATTAGCTCTCCTCCGTTACCTGATACAGTGTCTACAGAGGTTTGTAATAAAATCGTTCTTCCTGTTAAACCCTTATCAAGCCTATCTCATGGTTGTCGATAAACACGCCCAAAGGCTCGGATACTTGACATTTACATGGGAAAACCGGAAATTCTGGTTAGTAAATCAATGGTTCACGCCATTCTGTTTTGAAGCTTCAGAAAACGTGGGCTTTAATTTGAGGCTATACAGTTATTCCACTCTTTTTAGTCTGCGTAGCTGATTTCGATATACTTTGGAGGGGGTTGTTCTCCCACCATGTCAAAGTTTGTAGTTTAATGTTTATGCACAAGATTTCCATCCACTTAAAGTGGGAAAGGGACAGTAAGTAAGGCAGTGTGGATAGATGGTAGGAGAACACTGAAAACAAAAAAAGGAAAACATAAAGCAACAACATCAACAAAAATTAGCTCAGAATCGGTACTTTCATTTTTAGCAACCATCCTTAAGTCTAGTTCTGATGATGAATCTCATCAAGTTGCCTCAGCTATGGTCAAATTGTCCTACAAACTGAGAATCCCGCATTTGACATTGCGTTGGATTCCATTATAATTTTCTCTTTTGAGATAATACGAGTACACAATCAAAATCGTTTAGCGTCCCCTTTCTTTCTCTTTTGTAGGAAGACATGGAGTCAACGCATTCTTGTTGTTTGGCAGTTCGCTGTATATCAGCACTGCTGCTTCAGACAACCTTGTACCCAGTTCCAGGGAACCCAACCATCAGTGCCTATCTTCACAGACCGAGACACAGGGACCTGCCGTTCCTGGGCAGCAGGTTTGATATAAATTTCAATATTATGTAAGGTGATTCAGATATTTTGCTTCTCATGACCAAAACCACGGAGATAACTCTAAGGGAAACACTTTCCACCAGCACAGTACTCTGCAGTGTGTCTTTTATGAGGAGACATCTTCACTTGATGCCCAGAAAGTTGTGCCATGTGACAAAAGGAGGCCACTTCCCTTAAGTGATTGTTCCGATTGCATATGAAATGTTGAAACCTCCCTTCATCTCTCTCTCCTAGGGCAGGCAAGAAACTTACGTTTGTTAGAGGAATTGTGGAAGAAGAGTTTGTTGCTATGTGCTGTACAGGGTAATGTTATTAAATCTTAAATCACTTAATGCTAACTCGGCTAACTTGGGTTATTGCTAATTTCGCGTCAACAAAACAAAGCCAAGCTGGACAAAAATAGCCGCAACGCTTAACGCTGAAAAACGGGAAAAGCGCGGAAAAAGTCACACCCGGACTTTGGCTTTATTCTTAAATTGTCATCCATTAAACTGGTGCGAAAATTTGTAACAGCAATCACCATAATGAAAAAAAGTTTTCTTGGCGAAATAAATGCAAAAAAGATCTTCGTAGTTGAAGGTTTGTCATAGCATAGGCTCTTTTATTACTGATCGTAATCACTTTGTAATTGATCGTGGACAAAAACTTAGTGACTGTCGCGAGACAAACGACCTGTCAAAAGTTTTGACGTTACTGGTACACCCAGCTTTATGTTTGTTATTTCTTACTGTATGACAAATCTAATTTTCATGGGTCCCTGCTATTTTCGAAATTCTCAGGGGTGAAATAAGGTTTCCAAATGTTATGTTTTTGTGTTAGCACTGGCAGGTCATTCACCTCCGACGAGGAACTGAGACCAGAGCGCTGTGCCAGCATTCATCGATCCAACGGCTTCATGTGTTTAAACAGCTCAAGTTCTATGTGGATCACCAACAGGATGCTGTTTGATCATCCGCTCTATGGACTCAACATAGATCGCGTGCTAGGTTTCCATGACTACACTTTAGGACAGGTATTAAAGCTATAAGCAACTGATGCTTAGTTAGCTTTTGTTCAATAGCTGCAATCCTGGCCAAAACTCTTGGTACAGTAATGCAGTATTCGTGATTTTCTGTAATTTCTGGCTGCCCTTATAAAACAGTGCAACCTTTTAAAAAATATCTTGCAGTTCTCCCTCGCCACACCCGATACAAAGTTGAAACTGAAAACAATTCTGGATACACACGTCCATCCTTGTTTGTGGGGTGGGGGAGAGGTTGGGCATGTGTGATTTAAAGAGAGCCTCTCCTATGCCAATGGAATGTCCAAGACTTTTGTCCATGATTGAAAGTACGAACGCCACAATTTGAAAATAGCTTGCTTGATTGAGATCCTGCCGTATCTCAAGATGTGAGAATGAATGATTGAATGAATGGAAGTTTATTTAATCTCGGGATTGATGAGGTTGGTTAGAGCTCTAGCAATAATAAAATATGCTAATAAGCCGAGAGAAAACAAATTAATAAAATTATTGATTAGTAAAAGAGAAAGAAACACTTATTTACAATATAAAGCCAAGATTATACAATAAAACTATTTACAATAAAATGCCTAATTTTTGATTTACAATCTGTGTTTTTTTTGTGTGTTTGTTTTCTGGGATACGGCCTGTGAAAGTATCCTTACTCTTTGCTAAACACAGTTTGTTATTTACTATTTTCCAGATCTCTGTTGGCGCTCTGTTCAATCAAGCACAAAACGAACTTCAAGAACGATATGACAGTGAAGATGACAGTGCTATTGTAGTGACGCTACCGCGCATGCCTCAACCCGAAAAACTTGACATCAAATCTTGCGAACAGTTCCTTCTTGAACTTTTTGAACAATGGATGTCACCGTATATTCAACCAAAGACTCCTCTGGCGCTTTTGTCTGAGTCAACGAAAGCGGTGAGTCGGAGAGTGGTAACTAGTATACATGTTGACTCAGTCAACAGTCAGGACTTGAAAAAAAAGTTGAATTCCAGCTTGCCCTTCGGACAAGCCCTTCTCACATGTTGCTTAGCCGGAGTCAATGAATGTGCACCTTAGTTTATGATTTAGTTAGAAGATGACTTGCTCTGTGAGTTGCAATTCATCTAAAACGGTGCAAGCGCTGAAATACTGTCCAATCGGTTACACCTTTGGTGGTTTTGTACGCGGCGGCACGCAGTTATAAATAAAACCAGCTAGAATAGATCTTTTTAGTGACTTTTGCGAAATTTGAATAGGACAATTGCTTGTTAAAGTCGTTTTACTACAACCATCAGAATCCTTAAGTTTGTTGTTTTCTTGTGACAATAAGGGTTACTGTTTTTCAAGCTTCAGCGCGGTTGGCAAATTTTAATTAAGAAAGCAAAAATGAAATGAATTCTTGTAGTAGTAGTCAAATGTCGTCATCTTGAAATATTTGTCATATAAAACAAAGCGGAAGAGGAAATTTTACACCAGTTCTTGAAAGTCACCCCTTGTTTGACATTTTACAAAGTCTCGTTAGCTTACCTGCTTCCTGAAAGAGGAAAGCGGAAATTCAGAGCTGAACTGATAAGTTACAGATGTTTGAACGAACAACGTTATGGAGTATACTTAAAATCACACAAACGTCGGTAAACTTTTCTGTTTTGAATTTCAGTACTCCTTCTTAAGCAAGTTGATATGTAAACATACGAAACTTTCATGGTTACCAAAAAGGAGGTGCTCTTTCAAGTGCGTTTATGAATTATCCGCGGCGTTTGATAATACGTTTTATTTGTTTCATGTAAAATCTCTACAGTATACTGGAACCTGCGACGTTTGAAACGAGGAATATACAAGTTATCTTTCCCTACAGTGTAAACTAGTCAACAGAGTGCTACAATACTTGTCACAAATCGTTCACTCTTCACACCTTTGTTCTCACTCAAATGTGCCCCTCTCCTTCTCCAATGTTGAGCAACGCGTATTTTAAAGCACTAAGACGAATGTAATACCCAAATCAACACTGGGGAAGGGAAAACGCGCGTAAGTGTTTCAAGATTTTTGACGAGTATTGTAGGCTAGTTGACACGAGCCTAGCACTTAGAATCAAATTTAAGCTACGTTTACACTGCACTGGACGAATTTTCGACGGGATGAAAGATTTGGGTTGGACACTTCGTTTACACGGGACCGTTCAATAGTTTCTCTTTGTTCACACGGAACTTTGAACGGCCAGGCGTCTAAATTTTCGTACGGTTAAGGTGATTCCGTGTGAACCGAACGCCTAAACGAGTGTTCAGTCGGCCAAAAACACGTCCAGTGTCCTGTGAACGTTGTTCAATTCATTTTTTGTTATTTGTGCGGTAGCTGCTGGTGTTATCTGACCTGTTTGTGGACGGCACACACTTTGAGTGGGTACTGGATACTCTGTTAGAGTTACATCACAACCACGCTTCTGAAGACGACTTGCTGATTCAATATTTGCTGCCGACACTATGCAAAGCTCTTGCTTTTCTTAAGACGGTAAGCTATAAAGACATCTTGGTTTCGTCGCTACGTTTTTACGTGTCTAGCATTGCTCGAGGATACTACAGTCTTCGGCGGAATTGTTAAGAAAAATGGACGTTGCTATTTCTAGTTTCAAAATTTTGCTCATTGCTTTTAAAGCTATTCACGGCATGGCACCTGATTATAACGATATGTGTCAACATGGCATTTAAAATTTGAAGAGAGTCAAGGCTGAATATTTTACTGGGTAGATTGTGCTCTACCAGAATGCTCTACCACCAAGTGTTGGGAGTATCTTGCCGCTTGGAACCACAAGCATCATAGGTCATTCTCCTGCTGATCAATTTGCAGATTAAAACAAGCTTTTAATCTGTAGTAGAGTATTTATTCCGTTTATTATATTATTATTCTTATTATTATTATTGATATTATTATTATTATTTTAATCTTTTAACTGCTTGTAAATTTATTCGTTTTTAGTCTTTGTAAAGCGCATGTGATCATACTTCATGGATAATCGCGCTATTTAAGTTTTAATTAATTGTTATTGTAATTGTAAAGCTCTTTAACCCTGGAAGTTACAAATACTTCCCTCTTCCCCCTCACACTTCACAACGTCGAAGTCCGGCTGGATCATTTTTGCCGGCCCGGCATTGATTAGGGTGGGGTGGATGGGATGGAGGAAGGGGTCATTGTAGTAAATAATCTGCAGGACGGGGGTCTTGTTAGTAAGAAAATGTTCAATTCATAACATACCTCTCTTTGTCCAAGATTAAGGGTATTCGCTAGTAGACAGAACATTTAATTTATATTCTCGTTAGTAAAAGCAATATTTTGTTTTCAGGAAGGTCCGACAGCTGATAGAGTCTGTAAGATTTTAGAATCCTCACTAAGGAGCCCACATGTGCCCCTTCAGGTAAAATAAATTAGTGTCATTTTGAGTGTCAAGCGAAAAAAAGACTTCCTTTCGTCATTCAATCTGAAGTTACTGTGAAGTCGTCAATAGTGAACTTGCGCAACAGGACGGGAGAGGAAAGAAGAAGGCAAACTTTGTGTGACAATTGTGACAATAATTATTTATGAAAAAAGTTTCTGCCGAACTTCACCTTCCTTATAAACAGAACTTTTTGTAAAAGACCGCAAAACATTAATGGTAAGTGAAAATCACGACAAAACACCTAAGTGATAGACAGCCCTATCACCTTTGTCACACGCAACCGCTTTGCCGTCAGCTGTACCGTCCTTTACTTCTTGCCGTCCTGTTGCGTAAGCTCACTAATAGCTATTACAGGACTCCATAAACTACAGTCATCTCTCGCTTTTTGCACCTTTACCCAGGCTTAATCTTTCGGTCCTGCAGACAGGCCAACTTATTGATTTTCTCCCCTTTGTTAGTCTTTCTACTTTCCTTTTTGTTTTAAAAAAGTATTCCCAAAGGCGTTGTTGCAAACTGCGAAGAAGGATAGGTGATTAACAACTTCACCATGCCGTGTTTTGAGTTCTTTATTACATTTTACAGGAATTTACTAGTGTTTTATGTTTATTTCCAGATCTCTGCCCTCTATGGCGCAATGTATTTGTTAGAGTTCCACGTGACTTCTGTAGGAGCCACGTTGCTACCTGTACTTACCGACTTCATGAACAAGAAGCTTAACACTCTGAATGGGTAAGATAAACTGCAGCAGTGTCTTTCTCTTGAAAATTCTTCTTTCAATTGAAATAGGTGGTTTTTTTCTTTCACCTAATAACCAATCCAGGGATGTGTTGTGTGACAAGTTGTGAGTGAAGCTGCATGGTTAGTAGCCCCTCTATTCAACTTGTGTCGCGATGAGAGCCTGCATCGTGAGTAGCAGTAAGCGCTTGCTAAACATATGTGCAACAAGTATCTTGTAACTTATCTCTCAAAAAAAGGCTTAAGCAACCAAAACGGGGACGGCAACATCAACGGCAACCTCAAAAAGTTTGATAGTGGACTGAAACACACGACGACAATAATAAATTGTTTATTTATTAATATATTTTTCAACGCTCTTTCGCCGGCATCTGGTAGGGAACGTGAATGTACTCTATATAAATGTCGTTTTCGCTGCCGTCTCTGTTGCGACTGCGTGTTGTTAAAGATTATAAGAGAAATAAGCTTTGGCATCTCGGGATTTTGACATAGATAGTAAAAAGACTGTCCATGGATTGTGATAATGCAAATGTTTTCTGTATTTCCCGACTAAGGAGTTTTTTTCCTTCTCAGCGCGGTGTCCCTGGCGGAGCATCACTTGTTAGTTATGTGGTCTACGATATTTTATTTGTTGGAGAGATACGCTGATGAAATCAGTGACCAAGAATTCAAGGCCAACATTCTCAAGGTACTGTTCATTTAATTGGCGGCACGATTTTTGGGAGGGTTCGGTGATGAAGTGTGTGCTTTTCAAAGCCTATTACTGTGGTCGAAATTGATTTATAATTGTTTTGCTAAATATACGTCTATTAGCTTGATAGAAGAGTTTATGTATGAAATCGTCTACCTTTTTCCCTCCAAAAATTAAGTATAGATTTGTGGTTTAACCGATTTCTTTTACCGTTTATTGTTTGAGTAAATTAAAAGTATGTAAACGGAAGCTTGGCTTTTAGGTTTGGCTAAATCTATATATCAGTTCTGTTTATGGCGATTTCAATTCACAGAGTGCGGTTCGTCTCGCGTCGTCAAACGAGGACAGCACTCCCACATGTGTTTACCATGCAATCATGCGCGGACTGGAGAGATTAGTGGTGTCATTTGCTCTTTCAAGTGCAGAGTCTGATTCCTTAGTCAAGCTAAGTGTTGACAGGTGAGTGGGGTGGGTCCGACTCTTTGGTATCGATTGATCTTAAATTGAATCATTTTGCTATCTTTGATCTCACAGAGCCTCCTAGACTGTTCACAGTCTCCTATTGTTCTGTAAGATCATCGGTATGGAGCACCTAGTACAGATAGGTCGGGCCCCCACGAGGTTTTTAGTGGTGGGGAAAATAGATATTTTTCGTGTCTCCTCCCGAACCGTTTTCCGCCCACTAAGTAAATTTGATACTCATCCTCAGGCTACATTCGGTACATTTGAAACCAAGATGGCCGCCCGATAAGCGCTTTATCTCGGTGATCTTGTGGAAAATTTGGAGACTGTTAACAGCTAAGTGCCTCATCCCACCGTAACTGCTCGGTCTCGAAGTAACTTTGACCCTTTCTCAGTTTTTTGCTAAGAGTACTGGTGGTCGAGATGGCTGCCGTTCACGGTCAACTGCCTAATTCCACTAGCCGTAGGCTATCTATCTCGCTTTAAAAAGTTTAAGAATACAAGCTTTTGAAATACCGTCTTCAACAGGTGAATTGATTTTTCCCCTGCTATCTTTTCAATTATTAATGAATTGTACATCAATTGTTGTATTACAGATTGTCAATGCAGAACCCTCAAAGAGCCATATCTGCTTTGGGTTTACTGGTCACTTGCATGTATACAGGTAAGACAAAAAAAAGTGTTATTTACCCTTGTGTAAGGTGTAGCTATGGGGAACTTGATGTCCATCCTTTTGTGTTGGCAGGAAAAATTGGCGACAGACCAAGTGGAATATACCCTCAGCCGGACACTACGGAATTTCCAACAGAAGACATACTTCTCATAGCCATGGAGCGCGTTACTGTTCTTTTTGACAGGTATGTACAAAAGCAATTTTACATTTTACAATAACTGAACGATTTCTTGCTCACTGATTGGTGGAGAGCTATGGCCGATGACAGTAAAGCCATGGAAGTGACGCGATGGTGGCGCAATTTGTTTTTGTCTTTGTCGCGCGCGGGATTTTCCGAGAAAATTCAATAAAAGTGGACGTAAAAACCTTCAATATTATTGTAAAAAAAAATCGAGAACAATTTTCCACTGTCTGTACTCTTGTCGACTATAGAAATGAGGTCAAAGTGTTTATAAAAAAATTTTGCAGTTTAACCACTCGCTAGCTTGCGCCAAAGACGAAACTCAACTCTGGTTAAGTCTGTCTGCGAAACAGCCTTGAAATCCTTGTTGTTCCCCCCCCCGGTGTACCAGGATTTGAGAACGTGCCATCATTGGCCTGTTAAAAAGCCATTGTGGATTTGCCAATCAGGATGAAACGAAATTCGTAACGCACTTCCGGTAATTTGTTGAATCCGTTAGGGGCCCAGAACAAAGATCTCGGCGCTGCTTTGCAGACGTTACCAACCAAGGTTAACTTGCGCCTGCGACGCAGGTCACCCACTCGCCTGTGGCTGGAGGTTTACATAAGTTTTGTGAACATTTTGACGTCATTATTTTGGTCGGCAACAGCAAAGACCAAGAAAAATTGGTGTCGATTTGTTATTTACACACACACACGCCCAAAAAAACATCTTTGGAGCTACTGTTGATTGTTGGCCCATGAGTGGCCATGTTTTTTGGCAATCTAAAACTGATCTCTCACGCTACTCTGAAGTTTCTCTTACTCCAACTGTTGTTACTGATTATTTATTTACTTGTTCGTAACATTCTTGTTGTAATTCCGTGCAGAATACGCAAAGGTGTACCGTCTGAGGCGAGAGTTGTGGCGAGGGTTTTGCCTCCTTTGTTGCTTGATTTCTTTCCTGTTCAGGAAATCATGAACAAGGTGATTGGAGAGTTTCTTTCCAGTCAACAGCCTCATCCTGAATTAATGGCGCAAATTATATTCAAGGTAAGTGAAGTACTTTGCTTTTGCTCAGTAGAGCCCATTAAGGTATCCTTGTCACAAAATTCCTTTAGTCTTTTATTTACGTTTAAAACAGGGGCATTTCTTCATTTAAGATTATTCTGAAGTTCTGTCGCAACTGATTTATTTGTTATTCTTTATTCGCATTTATTTTTTAACGGGAATATATCAGTCCACAGTTGAACTTGTCCCTCTCTAATTATTGGCCCTCTCAAACAAACAATGTCCGCCCCTCTCCCTCCTCTCATCAGGGACGGACCATCAGAAAAGTTATGGAAGAAAGGGAGAGAGGCCAGGTTGTGGAGGGGGGCGGGGCGTTTAGAAGTACAAAAAAAAAAGTATTCGTACATGGATTTGTAAATGAAAAAAATGATGCACGGCGAAGAGCGCTAAAAATATATGTTTCTGCATTGGCTTTAAAAAATATTCTTGCAAGAATATATATTAACGGAAAAAAAAAATTCATACAACTCGAAAATTCCTTACCCCTTCCCCCCAACTCTTTTCTAGTGGTCGGTCACTTTGCTGGGTGATAAAAAATTTGACCCACCGCGGCCCCCCCTTTTTAAGTTAATAGTTAATATACTTTGCTGTATTCCTCCTATTAGGTGTTTGAAGGTCTTCATAGTCAAGGACAACAGTCAGAAGTGAGAGACTGGGTACTATTGTCACTTGGAAGTTTTATCCAGCGGTTAGTAATTTGTCTGAGTGCTATTGTATGTGGTGTTTATTTATTCATTTATTTTTCAATTGCGGATTACTTTGTTTTTGCCTTGCGAGGAATTTCTAAACTATGGTGACTATTCACACTCGTTCCGCGCTTTTTTGTGGGCTATCTATATTACAAAAAATGTAGATAGTACTATCCACTTGGCCCCAGTTGTTCAAAAGGTGGAAAGCGCTATCCACTGAATAACGCAATTGGTTTCCCTAATACTTATCCGCTGGATAGCGATTTATTCGGTGGGTAGCGCTATCCAACGTTTGAACAACCGGGGACTGATAAATCACTATCTAGTAGATAAGTATTCGGGAAACCCAATTGCCATATCCACTGGATAAAGATTTAGCCAATGGATTGCGTTATGCACTTTTTGAACAACGGAGGCCTGGCTTGTAGCTCACGACACGACGTTCATGTTGGTCGACAAGAACAGAACCTTTTTTTTTTATTCAAATTCTGCGGGAAAAAAAATGATTCTTTCGACCAATAAGGCTGCCATGTGCTGAGCGTGGTTGATTTCTTTGTAAAACAGCTAGGTGAGATTTTCTTTGTAGTTATGTCTTTGCTGCTCCTGTAAGGAGGAAAGACAAACTGCTAACTGCTATACCTCAAAATAAGTGAAGCCGTAAGATTGACCTGTAGGTCACGAGAATGAAAAAATAAGAGATGAAATCTTCATTTTAAGCAACTTCTGAGTTCTCGTATCCAGATTTATATAAAATGTGTAGAGAATAGTATGAAGAAAATAGCGGTCATGCTGATATTAGGGCTTAACAGTAGCCTTGCAGCTCTTCAAAACCTCTTATTTAATTGGATCCCTATTGGTCGCAGCTCTTTTGCTTTCGGGCTTGGTTCCATTGTTAACTTTGTTTGTTCATTGTTTTCCCAACCAATCCCGTGCGGTCCTCCGAGAGCTGCAAGGTCGCCCGGGCTTAAATAATTTTTTTCTTCGCCCAAGGTCGTCTCCATTGATACAATGTGATTTGTTGGTTGTTATTTTTGTGGCAGAACACCACTGTCCATGGCTGTGTGGAGCCTCGCCTGTTTCTTTGCCAGTGCGTCGAGTAACAAGTGGATCAGAGCTCTGTATCCAATCTAATACCCAATTCTGTTTTATCTTTTCACTGTTTTACGTTTTTGTTTTGTTTTGTTTGTTTTGGGCATTATAATAAATCATAGATATGTTCTTAAGAGTTGAAGGGGCTATGTCAAGCTATTTGCTATATTTTAAAAAGTTGAAACTTTTCCCTGCAACAATTGCATTCCAAAAATAATGGTCCACGTTTGTTCTGTCGCCTTTTGCTAAGGATGTCCATGATCATTATCAACGTTGCCATAGTCTATGTACAGCCGCTCCCTCCCCTCAGAAAAAATCGGGAAAAGGGAAGGGAGGAAGGCGGCTGTACACAGGCTTCGTTACCACTGTTTCCATTAATTTCCTTGTGATGGTTATTCGCCATTTGCACATGTACGATAATGCAAATTGCCCTCTACAAATTTTGCATAAGCATTGTCTTTAATTTCTGTTGGGACGACTGAAACTCCGAGGAGATATTAAAAACAACTGGTATGCAAAATATTGGGGGGGTGGGGCTGGTGGGGGCTGGGGTACGATGGTGTTTATGAGAGATTTGCAAATGAAGACTACGGTAGGAATTCTTGTTACCACCTTGTTGTCACTTCTATTGGTTTGATTCTTGACCCTTGTACCAGCTTCGCCCATATTGTACGAAGAATGGGTAAACTAGAAAGTCTGGACGTCAAGTTATTTTGCGCAACAGCCATGGACTTCTACAGAACACTGGTGAGACATGTAATTTTTGAGTCATGTTTTTTTTTTCTGGAGTGTAGAGGGTGTCTTAAGTACTGTATTTTATCGGTTTGTATCCTCTCTTTCTGTTGTAATTCTAAACGAGTCGTGTTTTCTCCGGAATCTGTTGCTCATTTGTGCAGTTTATTCGACCTTGTCAAGCTATTTGTGCTAATGCCAGTGATTACGTTTGGCACTCTTTACATTTGCTTCCAAATGCTGTTACATACTGTTGCAAGTAGACTTAAACATTTTAACGACATTGGTTAGTTGAGCGAAGGAAGCTAAGTTCAAGTAATCCTTTTACTCACATTTAAACAAGTTTTCAACACTTTTTTAAAATAGTCAGTTAATTACTCGGTGGTCGGTGGAATAGTAACAATTGTTTTACCCTTTGATGAAATGAAACCTAAGCTTACACGAAAAAGGGTGGAACATTAACCGCTCCAAATTAGCACACAAGAGACACAGTTCAAGAAGTTGCTTAAAAAACTGCATCGCGTACTGAAAGTTGTGTGCCTAGGAGGACCATTGGTATGCACGAGCGGCACAGCCAGCCCTTATATAAAGTTACGCCTCCGTGGCTGGTAAATCCGTGCCTCTCAGCCCAGAGCCCCTACTCCAACAGAACCGTTCACCCCGTCACACTGGAAAACCAGTGGGCAAAAATATTAAGAGAAGAAAAATAAAAGGAGGGATGGGTCAGGTAAACGCAAGATCCGAAGGCTAAACGAATCCCAGTGTCGTACGCCCTCAAACTGACCGCTGACCGTTAACACGAGAGGGCGCTCTTTACTGTTGCCTGCGTTAAATTTCATTAAACTGCATTTTCAACAAAATACCCAATCATTAGTAAACTGTGCCGCTTGTATGCTCAGACTCGTTGGCATTTCATTTTTCCACAGAATCTTGATTCCACCCATAAAGAGACTTTTATATTGACATTCAAAAAAGCCGCAGAAACCTGTGCGCCTTACAAGGAGCTGATAGAATGTTGTCAGTATGAGAGGTGAACTGTAACCAGAAACCAAGATTCACTGAATGTACAGTACTAGGAAGATGATATATGCAGTTTGTAGTTAAAAGGAAAAATTTCGTCAGCAGAAACATAATTTCACAAAGGACTTTTTCCTATGTCCTATGAGGTTATAAACGTTTTATTGATTTCCATTGCCAATTTGACCCACTTCATAGTTAGCTGATTGTAGATGATTAAATGATTATGACAGAGTATCTGATATAGGACAGGCTATGCAGAATATAGTATCTTTCTTATTGTTCTAGAAAAAAAAATGCGAACGCGAATTTGGCGGAATGAAATAAATAATAAATCCATACTAGGAAGTTCAGGAAATTTTACAATAATTCTTTGCGACTTAGACTTAGACTTAGACGTCGAGTAAGTGATTTTGGTAAAAGTGCGTTCGCGAAATGTGGAGCTATCATCAAGAACATTTAATTAGGCTCAGCGAACCCCTTTCCTCAAACCATATATGCTAGCCTCGCGTTGCGCGGCAATCTCGTACCCAACTCTCAAATATATCTCTTGTGGTTGGGCACCTTCCCCAAAATGGAGCAGAGCATTGTCACTGTTCGCGTGTCGCGCGTCGCGGAAACCTATCGATTGCAAGCAGTTTAGCATTGATTCATGACACGCTACTTGGAAACCGGTCACTCCGCTTGTCGTGGCTTCTGCTGCGTGGCCCTATACACGTGGAGTTCACTTGCAAGACGTTTTTCGTCTCAAGAAAGCAAAAAGACATCGCTAGCAAGTGGAAAAGGTTAATAAATGCAGTAAATTTTACTGGAAAGAAATTGAAAATAGTATTGATAAATATTTTCATAGATATAAATGTAATATTACATGAAATCTTGTTTGCTAAAATGGAATTTTATCATTGACCAACCTCATTACTTATTTTTCTCTCCCATTTATTCTATGTATCTCTCATTCAGTCGTAATTAGAGCGCTGTTTTTCTGTGTTCTTACATTGTCGATTTGGTTAGAATAATTTATGTTACTTTACTAGTACTGTATATATATTTTCATGCAATTTTATTCATTTAGTTAAGGTATTCTACCTGAATCCTGTTGTAAATGTATGCGCCAAAATAGCTTGGTTCTCATATGATGAGGCTTATCTACAAAGTATTCACCCAGCATGTCTGGGAAGTTGAGGTCAATTACCGCTTTTTCCCGCCAGTTTTTGAGAACATCGCCCAGCGGAAATATACGATAGGATACTGTTATGTGATAATTTGATCGATTTCACAATTAATCGTGTCAGTCAATTACGTAGTTCTACCTTTCGAGGTTCTTGCTTCGCGGTTTTTCAATCTCCATCGCGATTCAGAGCCATTCTGATCGTGATTATGCCAACTCGCTTACTTCAGTTGTCAAATGTATGGTTATTCTCCTTGGGTTGAATTCGTAAGAGCCTTATCCAAGTTCAGAAAGAGAAAGGAATTTTCGTCGGTGCTTGTTTACGTCCTCCATCAAACATGAAACTAGGCATTTTCACGTTGTGGTCGTGCAAAAAGGGCAATGAAATGTACAAAAAAGTGTCACGCACTTGCAAAGTTGTTGTTTTGCCACGTTCTCGTTGCCGTCGCCTTCGTATGAGAACCAGGCTATTGGGGGCCGGAAAGTAACTCTGTACTTCAAATGTAAAGGAAAAATTAATTAAAAGGAATTTAAATATAAAAGCAGCTTTCGGGAAACGTTTGGTGTAATCACTTGTACGGTAACATCCTCCAATACCAGCCTAAAAAGCCCTTTTGCTAGGACCGTGGTTGCCTTGTGAATACGCACGCTCAGTGGCCTTGATATGCTTCATATTAACTCTATAGACTCGAAATAACTGAAATCTTTGTTGTCTATTAGGTCATGGGGAAATCCCACTTGACTAGCATTGCTTAATTCGCATATACGGTCTTGTTGCAAGTTCTGTCTGTAATTGACTGACTGGCAGTTCATATGACGTTGGCACCAAAGCAGGCATTCCAAGTCACTTGATGTGGTGGTCACGTGGCTTATAACGTGATTATCCAGCTGTTTCCCAGTGTACTGTTTGAAATATCGGCCAAATAACGCACCTGTGTTGGAGGAAGGGTTCGTATATTACTGAAAAACGATCTGTACTTTTTTTTAAAAAATTATCACAATACTTTAAGTGCGGAAACTGGGAATTCCGATCGAAGAATTAAAAAAAAAACAAAAAACAAAAAAAAAACAAATTTTATTGAAAATTGGAAAATAACTAATTACATTACTTTCCCACCCGCAAATAGCTTATGAACTAATCGAGGCGGGGGCTGAAGACATATTACAAAACAAGAATTATATATAGATGGACTAAATAACAGTGAAGACACTACAATACAGTAAATAGAGTTTAAACTAACATAAAACAAGGCATGTACATAACGAATACGAAGAGAGGTTAACCTAAAGTACTAAATAACTTAATAAGACGGGAGACTTAGACATAATCATCTTCTGACCGCAAAAAAATTAGTAATAATTCCTTTATTTTTTTACGAAAGGACGAACGTTTAAGTATTTTAATCGAATACGGAATAGAGTTCCAAATTTGGGCACCGATTCTCGTGAAAAAGGCATACATTTTATCGGTTCTAGAGAACTTAACATAAAACGAGTCGCTAGAGACAGATCTTGTTCTGTAGTTATGAATCTGACTTGTTTTAACGAACTGATTGAGAATACTAACTGGTGCTGTCTGTCTGTTGATATCATACAATAAATAGCTACAATCTCTGAAAAATATGCTAGGCAGGGGAAGGCAATTTGATTTGAGAAAGAAGGGTACGGCGTGTTCCTTAGACTTACTGAAGTAAATGAGACGTAAGGCCCGTTTTTGTAGAGTTACGATCTTTCGTTGAAATGTCAAGGCACAATTTCCCCAACCACAAATACCATAAGTCAAGTAAGGGACAATTAATGAGTTGTAAACTGAAAGTAAAACACGACGCGGGACATAATGTCGAATTTTAGCTATAATTCCTATCGACTTGCTGATTTTGTGACAGACAGATTCGATGTGGTATTTCCATGAAAGATTTGAATCAATCATTAAGCCAAGATATTTTACATAATCTTTCATTTCAAGATTTGCGTAGGTGTTAGTCACGGAGTCAAGAATTCTAATCCTAGGCATGAAGGGCATATTCTTTTGCCGGGGACGAAAGATCACAAAATTTGATTTTTTATCACAGTTTGTTGGCCTTTAGCCATTCGTTGACATTGCCAAGCTCAAAGTGTTTCAAGCTCCTTTAGGTTGTTATTTGCAAGTATTATACTAGTATCGTCAGCAAATAGATAAAAGGGAAATAACGAAGAGGACTTGTAAATATCATTGATGTACAGTAGGAATAACAGTGGTCCGAGGACTGAGCCTTGTGGCACGCCGCACAAGGTCGTCTCAGCCTCAGACACAACATTATTAACTTCCGTACTTTGCTTTCGATCAGTCACGTATGATCTGAACCAGGAGTTTATTACACCTCTAATACCATAATTTTCAAGTTTAGCTAACAAAATTTCATGGTTAACAGTATCAAAAGCCTTTTTGAGATCGATGAAAACACCGCACGAAAATTTACCGTTGTCCATGTTTTGGAGAATTGTGTTAACAATATCAAGTACAGCATGCTGAGTACTGTGCTTACTGCGAAAACCGTATTGCTGATCATAGAGAATGTTGCAATCTTTGACAAACTTGGTAACTCTGGAGTACATAAGTTTTTCAAAAATCCTGTTATCAATCGAGAGCAGAGAAATAGGTAGGTAGTTTTTTTTAAATGATTCGCGCCCTTCCGTTTAGGTTAGAAAATATTTCCCCGGCTTTTCAGGAGATATATTTTCTTAAAGGGGCTAAGTCACGAGGATATGGCTGTTTTAAGTCAATGCTGTGCTGAAGGCATTACTTAGTGCCTTAACTCATACACAAAACAAATTTCATTAATGAGCATGAACCGTAATCTGATTTTTTTGTGATTTGTGAAGGCATAATACTAAAACTTGAAAGGTTGGCCTAACTATATCTGTCGCAACAGATGACAGGAGACAGTTACATTGCTTAAATATAGTCTTAATAACAAAACTGGAATTCAATTCATGTGACATAGCCCCCCTAGGTCTTTACAGACTTTGTAGCGGGTCCTTCTCCCACAACGTGAAAGATTTATACACGGACGTTTCAAGCGAATGGTTCATTGTGTAAATGATAATCACCCCTTAATGAGCTTTCCAGTCGTTTCCTCTTGCCCCTATAACTGGGCTAACCGGGCTAAGGAAATTAACATAACTTCACCTTTCTCACAGATAAATGGCAGTTTTGTAGAACATGTGTTGTCGTTCCATTGACCGTGAAAGACACTATAGTCTGTCATCTCACCGCAGTCTTCATGGCCAGATATGTTCGGCTTCTCTATCCAGTTTGTAAAAGTCAATCTCTGTCCGTTAGACCAACGAAAAATCCCTAAACCTCGATCTTTAACCAGACCGATCCACAATGTTTTGTTAACGGCCATGTTTTGGTAAACAAACTGCTGCTCTCTGTCCGAATTAATGCTAACTAGTTGGCCTTCTTTTTCTTGGCAGTACTCTAGTGCTTTATTCCATGATTTCTCTGGGTTGTAGGCTCGGTAGCAAGACCCATCACGGTATAGCCAATCACGTGGACACATCACTAAACCTGTTTAACAGAAAACTAACATTTCACACAATTGACAATTCATGTGCAATGCAGTGTTGATCCCTTGATGTCTCATACCGTGGATTTCAAAGGAATTTCTCAACCTACTTTTCTTACTAGACTGTTAACAGTCCGCCATTTTTAAGTGAGATCGTCGCGATCGTCCAATCAGATCGCTGCCGATCGCGCTCACAACAAAGCCTCCTTTGACTTCTTTTGTCTTCTTGACTGAGGAGGAGAACAGGCGGCGACAAAATTGTCGAGGCAATGTGCTCAAATAGGGTAACTTCAGAGAACAAAACAATCCACACCTCTCTCCCTCCCCTTCCTTCAGAGTTGAGTTGTTGGTTGTTTTCTACAGGTAGCTCGAAAAGCGGCACAGCATTACATGGAGGGGATTGCGGGGGAGGGAGGAGCTTACTTTTCCCCTTTTGAAGTCAGTAAAACGTTAGAAAGCCCCTTTAACCGTTTAAGTCCTAAGAGTGATCAGCGTCAAATTTCTCCTTGTAATGTCAATGCTTTGCAAAACAGAGTGGTCATGAGAATCACAGACGTGAATTCACTCTGAATTTACTAGATATTTTATCAACTTCTCCCCGCTACTTCTGTAGGAAATGAATAGGGGCAACCAATGAGAATTCAAATTTTGATCTTTAGGTGTAAAGGGTTAAGGCGAAGTGTCTCAACTCGATTGTAGGTCTGAATTTGCTTTTTCTTCTAAAAAAATTACTGAAAAAGGGTAAACAACGACAAAGAAATCGGTGATGTTTAACGTCTTGACTGGAATATAGAATTTGCCTTTCAATTTCTTAAACGCTGTTCTCTCGAATAAAATTTTTCACCCGAAGGGATGCTTAAAAGGAGTTTAAACTTTGACGTCAGTTTTCACCTACTACCAAAAAAAATGGAATCTTTTTGGTAAATTTGACTATGGAGAGGATAAGACAATTTTATTCCGTGATAGAAATTTTACCAATTTCCTTTCGGTTTATCCTTTTCGAACAACAGAGATGTTGAATTGATTATTGCTTATTGTCTTTTTTTGGATGTTAATCCCATGTAACAGGAGATATAAAAGGAACTATGAATCTCCTATAATTGTTTATTAAGCCAATGCTTCAAATTAGCTTTATTATGGACTCTATCTCATCCGCAAATCGTCCCGAGAGTAATGCTACCCGCAGGCCCGAGCTACTGAAGAGAAGACTAGAGAGAAAGTCTGCCTCGTTGAACATGTTTGGACAGCGGTTGAGCTCGACCAAAACTGACCGAGGGACTCGAAAATAACTAGAGACTTCACTAATCGAAATAGTAATTTTTTGTGTTAAATTATTTCAGTAGGATACCAATAAAACCGATTTCCTTTTAATTAAAGTTGAAAGAAGACGAGTAATTGATGGACGTGATACCATAGAGAAAAATTTGATCGGGAAGCGGGGATGTGGGGCACTCTTCTATTAATATTTGGTGTGTACAGGACATGAAGCGGAGACGCGGCCTCGAAACAGGGAAACAATTTTATGCCAGTTTGTTCCATTCGAAAAATCAGCAGACCCGCTTTTGGTTCTTAAATAGAGGTCGTTGTCTTTATCAGGATGGGTATTTTAGGTTCTTTTTCTGTCCCAAACACGGAGGGTTTTGAAACCCTCACCAGCACCCCCCCCCCTCCATGGAAGAGAACTCCTCCCCCGGAATTGGATAAATTTCTATGTTGTTTGTTATCTTCCCATTTATCATTACGGAATACTATTCGATAAAGATTACAGTTACAGACTCTAAGCAAATTCTTTTGCTGATGTAAGTTTACTAGATGTTTTTACTCCTTTTTATATCCGTATTTAAACCAAAATTTATTAAGAACCGTAGAGGTAGTCATTCTCACCTTCCATCAATACGTCAGGCTCTGCTTGACTTGTCAAATAAAACTGTTTAAAAGGTGAAGAAAGAAAACTTCAAATTTGCATCCCTTTTTCACTTTTGATAACTCATCAGACTTACCATACAGAGAACTAAGGCCAACATCTTTTGTTTCCGTCTCCCAACTCGCAATCCCGCCTGCTTTTTAAGAGTTTCATGCCCGGCGGCAATTTTTTTCTGTTTCTATTTATTTTCTGTGACGTTTACATGACAGATGTTCACCTGGCAAGTTCATGATCATGTCACACCATGTCGGTTATTATTTCAAAAAACCATTCCGGCTTCCTATTACATTTACACAGCTTGACAGAGGGAAAATGAATTGCCAATATATAAAAAAAAATGGCGGGTCATTATTTTCTTTAAACAGATTTGATTTCAGGCAGTTGGTCTGCCAAAATCGTTCATGTCCTACTTAAATTTCCTTATACCTGACCAAACGCAACCTCCCGACGAAAAATCTATTTTCCAGTCTTTTCTTTTCCAGCTTTTTTGGGAAGTTGGAATCAACGGAAATGAAATATGCGGAAATGAATGTACTCTATTGTTTAGACCGGAACTTCTTTACTCTTTGTTGTTTCTTCTTTACTTAATGTACCCCAAATTAACAAAAAAGTTAGATAATAAAATTTTAAATCCTAAAAAGATTGGGGATTGGGGGCAGCTTACAATTCTCGATTACAACACTTTCCTGCAAAAAAATAAACATTGAAAAGTTTAAGACATTTCCAGTTATCAAATGTTAATTTTAAAACCCGAATTTTACACCGGTATACATAATTTTTTATTTACTCGGATAATATGCGGTATTATTCATTCAAAATATTTCTCCGTTTCTGATTGACCAAACTCCCACGGATAATTCATCATAACCAGCTTCTGTCGTCCTAATTTGGAAGAATTTTGCGATATGTGAAAAATGACGTCAGTTGTGCAGCATAATTGCCAGAAAACTGAACAGTTAAACCACAGGCGCCCCAAACTCACGTTACGAGGGAAGGGTGTAATGTAATTTACATAACATAGGTGACGCGCCGGTATCGCGTTACAGGCGACCGTTGAAAATATAAGAGACTTTGTATCAGAAATATATTACTGAGATCTGCGAACGCTAAATAACGCTAAACCTTACTTTTTCTTAAATGAAATGAATAAAAAAGACTTAAGTGCAATCTATTCCACTGCGTTTTGGTGTCTGTTTGTCGTTTTACTGTTTTTTTTGGCTTTACTGCGTAACCACTGCTACTCAGTCCTTCGTTCTATGAAAGGAGTAACAGTGGTTACGCAACAAAGCCAAAAAAGAAAACAGTGAAACGACAAACAGACACCAAAACGCAGTGGAATAGATTGCAGGTAAGTCTTTTTTATTCATTTCATTTAAGAAAAAGTAAGGTTTAGCGTTATTTAGCGTTCGCAGATCTCAGTAATATATTTCTCATACAAAGTCTCTTATATTTTAGCCTGAGTATCAGGCCTTCCCATGGGGGAGGGGGGAGGGGGAGAAGAGAAAGGAAGGTCAGGCGTTTGTCTTCTTCACCTCTCTCCCTTTTTCGCTTCCATCTTTCCCCTTTTCCCCCAGAAACGCCTGATACTCAGGCTACTTATATTTTCAACGGTTGCCTGTAACGCGACACCCGCGCGTTCCAAATTGTTTAATGGCGGGCGCAAACATTACATATTCCAACCGTAATTTTCGTTTACCCGATGTTATTGCTAAGTACCATTAAAACATTTAATGAATACTCCTTGCAACAGTTTATACTAAATAGGTGATTTTTTTTGTAACAACACGTTCTGGTGTTATCCTGCAAGTACTATGTCCTCACTAGGGACATACAGCCAACATACACACGAAATGATGTCAAAATGGCCACGCCAACACGTTTTAAGAGCACCTGTGTTGATGTCAGTTGTATCTTTTACTTGACCGGTCTCTTAACAGACTGATTCCCTTTAAGTGAAATAAACGTCTCTTCCTTTTGGGAAGACTGATAAACTTTGTTTTTAAAGTCACTTTTTTTAGACTGGTTCTGTACTGCTGTTCCTATGACTAAACATCCCCTTTTTTCTACTGTTAATAACTAATTATGATTACGTTTTATACTAATTGGACAGTTTGGTTACTACAAATTGCCGGGCAAAGGTAATATTTTGAATGAGGACCTCAAGCTTCTATGTGTTGATTTACCCAATTCAGAGGACGTGATTCAAAGCAATTTTTCCTTCCGTCTTTTCGTGCATCTATCTCCAGGGCTACACCACAAGGTGTAAAATGGGAAAACATAACCTATACACTACACTGGGTGCCAGAGGCTTTTCATGCGCGTTTCCGGTTTCGGTCAAGTCCTGTAAAACAGATCGTAAAGATCCGTAAACTTAGTTCCTTAATCTTAGACAACCTTCTTCTTTATGTTATAATACTGTTTGTTTTGAAAATAGACGCCATCTCCTATACTCGTTTTAAATAGTGCTCGGTAAAGCTGGCAGTAGCCTGTAGATGATCGACTGTTGCTAATCTCTTCAATGGCGGCGGATTTACACTCAGTGATGCGTGAACAGCGTAATAAACATTGCACTACTGTAGAGGCTTTGTATGTTTTAACCAGGTTGCTTTCTCTGGCACCGACGACTGATTGGACATTTCCAAAGATCGATTGATCTGTTAATAGAAAAAAAAAAAACAATTGTTTCAGTTAGTAATTGAAAACAAAATGATTCGAAGTATGAATGAGGAGAGTTCTAAAAGAGGACTTTTTTTCGCGCCCTTTGCCCCACTGGGCGCGGATGATGATGTTATGAAGATAATCCAAATCATCTTGTGCTTACCTCGATGCCAAAACCAAAAAGTCCTGTTTTGCATTGCAATGATTTCTTGTTCATTAAGTGCTGTGTTGTACACCTGAAGACAACAGACGCGACCTTTGAAGTACCTATGGTCGTTTTGCAACGCTCCCATTCGAACGTCCGATCGAGTTGTAATCTCAAAAGAACCAGGGTCACTAACAGTAACCTAAAATTGGAAAGTAATAATTAATTGACGTGTTCCTCTAAAGAAAGAACGACTTTTTAAATTTTAGTAATACTAAATCGCTTTTTTATGTAGGCTTGAACCTGTTTTCGTCAAGCCTCAATTCTCCACTAAACCCCTTTCGTATCAATCTCTGTTAGATAGCAAGTATCTGCGCCTATTTGAAAGATTGTTTGTGATTGGCTGGGAAAAAAATAGGGATTGTGACATAACAATGCCCCTATCCCTGAAAACAATGAAAGTGCAGATTAAAGCAAAGGAGACCAATGAAATAAGAGGTTTAGAACGGTGCAGGTCCACCGGCAAGTTCAAAGGTATAAGTGGTATAGTTAAAAAGTATTCTTTGAAGACTGACCCAGTGGCATTAACAAAAAAAATAAATTTCGAGGTACAAAAACATTCCAAAACGTTTGCACGTCGTCTCCTCATTGGGTCTGCTTATATTTGCTGTTTTTTACTAGTGTGGGAGGTTATCGGTGAATAGAAAAAGTAGAATTTTGGTAGTAAATTTACTGCAACCTGTTTTTTCAGTTTAAGTTTCGACCGAACGCGAAAGCGTGAGCAAACTAGGGGGTCCAGAAGCATACCCTTCTCAGGAGAAAAATTGGCTTTTAGGTTATAAGACTGAAGAAAAAGAAGAAGAAGAAACTATATTAATTTAACAATGGTGGGAACACAATTACCGGTTTCCCGGTAGTTTTCGTTTCCTAGGAACGATATTAATTTAACGAAAGTGGAAACACAATTACCGTTTCCCGGTAGTTTTCGTTTCCTATGAACGATGTTGTTTACTACTTGGTTCATGGAAATGCCGTTGCTATATTGAGGTCTTTTCCCTTTGCCAACAGATTCATACCCGGCTCTGCTTCGGCGCAGGGTGCATTATCTGTGGACGTTTTGCTCAAATACGTGACAAATGAAGGTGAATCTTGAGAATAAAATATTTTCAATTAAAGTGGATTCATACGGGTGGGGAATAAACCTCAGCTGGTTTGTTTGCTTCCCAAGTCAGGTCATGTGACGTTCTCAAGGTCTCTGCCCGATTTTGCTTATTTGTATTTAAGAAAAATTGTTTGCTTACATATGAACATTCATAAAAAGCTGTTCTCTAGAGTGATGCCCGTGGTCTGTAATGATGAAGTAAACAGACCCAGTATTCTTTTAGATCTTTTTGCTTATCACCTTAGACTTGGCTTCTCCATTTAACCACACTTGTGCGATCCCTGACGAATAATCGTAAGTAATACCAATGTAGTACCATGTATATGGAGCCATTGGTGAGTGAGTAGTAGAGATCCAATGGGGATTAGAAGCATAGGCGTTTCCTGAACCCATCCAGATCCAAAAGTGGAATTCTATTGGACGTTGTGTATTATAATTAAAGATAGGACCCTGATTGTTTTCACGATTCACCCAGGCGAGAATTGTTATAGAATATCTTGTGTCCAGGCCTCCGTTGTTGGGTATCTCGATGTAACTGGTAGAGCTACCAGAGAACTGATATGAGCCTTGGGGGTTTCCATAGGGGCCCGGTGCGAGGTGGACACCGCTTGGTATTCCCGGTGAGTTTTTGTTTGCACTGATGTCACGTGTTCCGTGTAGACCATTGAGTGGATACAAAGCAGCAGGAACAGGGAGACCATCTGTTCAGAGAACACATAACAGTGACACTCGCGATCTAATCAAGGGTCTATTCGCTCCACAAATTAAACACTGCTGGGATACGAAAACACACACATTGCGGGTACTGAAGGTAATCTATAATTGAAGATAGTTCTGTTTTTTTTTTTGGTTACCTAATGTTTTGTTTTGAAAATTGTAAGAAAATTGTAAGTTACCTTCGGATATTAATTATGCACAAGTTTCACTGGAACTCTTCATTTGATGTTTTTTCCCTCTCCCTCAATCTCGCTTTTTGACCAAGCCATCTTTTGCGAGAAATTATCCAATTTAAGCAACCTTTAAGTTCTGTTATTACCCAGAACATCAAAAGCGGATAAAACTCCTAAATTACTCTTTCCTGCCAAAATTGGGCCACGGCTATGTCTACCGCTTTTTTTCCTGTTGTTAGTGGTAATCTTTCTTTCGTAAAAAATTTTTATAAACAGCGGTGAAAGGATGAGAAACCGCCTTCTTTTAATGAGCACAAGACTTAATTCAGACGTCCTTCCGACACTACAAATGAATATTCTATTTTAGTTACCAAAAATGATGTGTATGGGGTTAACAAGATAGTTTAAGCTTGGGCAACGCATGGCAAACTTTGGCAGTGGTTTGGCCTAAGTTTTTGGGAAAGTCGTTCTAAAAACAGCAAAGACACTAATCATTACAAATTGGCAGCGTCAAGATATATTGAAGGGTAAACGGCCTCTCTTCCGATTGACGTTTGTCACTCAAAAAAGCCTTTGCTTAACAGCAAAACAACTGAACCGAAGTGTAAAAGAGATTATTTCGTTTAGACTGATAGCAGGGTCGCAAGGCAATCAGCAAGCTATTACTCTAGTGAAACATTTATAAGGACGTTAAGCCCTTTACTAAGCTGCCAATCTACTACATTAAGCCCGTTAAAGGATTACCTTCTTATGCGATTGAGCACCGTTTTTAAGAGACTCGTTTAGGGCCAAATTGAAAGTATTTCTAAAGTGCTTTTAACTCTGGTGCAATGTGCACCAATAAAAGCGACACTTGGTTCTCATTGAATTAAGTGACTCTTTTCTCAGAGTATTTGTGTCGGACCAAAGATGAGTTTGAATTGTTCAAACGCCTCTCCGCTCGCTGTCTCTTCTGCTCATAATATATTACCTGTCATAGGCTGCAGTGCCAGCAATAATACCTGAAAAGGTACGAAGGAGAAAACTCTAGATTACCCGTACCAACAAGAATTTGAAAGTCGAGGGAAAGGTGAGATACCTACCTCCAAGAACCGAACAGAGTACTTCACAGCACAAAAGTGCAACATGTTTTATCGAGGTGAATTTGTTACGTAACCGCCAACTTTTCAAACTTAACACCTCGCACGACGGAAAGGTTTAGAAAGTATTTCAAAAGTTATTTTGATATTCAGTACATATGTTAATTTATTTTCTTTGTCATTGTCTTATCCACATTATAAAGAAGGTACCCGACAGGGAGTGAAATTGTTGTACATTTAAAACGATTTTTTGATTGGTTGTTATTAACTGTTTGGATCGGTTTTAAAAGGAATATTAAGCATGCATGCTGAATTATTAAAGGTAACCTTGTATTCCTGCAAGTGGCTTGCGATCAGTTGCAACATCACCACTCAGAAGTGCAACATTGTACAATGTCGCGTACAACTTACATGCGTACACGTAAAAATTACGTGGCAGTGTAAATCCACCTCAAGTGAAAGGGGCGGATCTAGGGGGAGGGTGCAGGAGGTGCGCACCCCCCCCCTGAGATGACCTGCGGTTTTTTAATACAACTGGTATTCTGCAAAAAAAAGTATGTGATTTATTGGAAGAGACGAGTGCACCCCCTCCTAAAGAAAATCCTGGATCCGCCCCTGAAGTGTGATAAAAACTCTTTATTTTGGCTGCAAAAATCTCGTAATCTGATTGGCTGTTAAATAATGTACATGTATATGCACACGTTGACTGGAAGCAAGACCTATCTAAAACGTTGTCGTGTATGTACTTTCCAGTTTGCCAAGGAACAATCTGCTGAAAAGAATTCAAAACGAATGCGCGCAATGGGATTAATTAATGCAACTAAAAAAGCCTTCGGAAAAGCAAGTAGGACCTACTAATTTTTAATTCTTTGTTTAAAAAAGCTAATAAGCTTGTCTGAAACTAGCAGACTAGTAAAAATGGTTTCCATGACAGCGACCATGCACTGCGATCGCTTCAAAAATGTCCAGTGACAGTAGTGATGATACGATAAGCCCGGGGAGGGGTACTCCTGGGAATTCTTGGTGGGGGTGTGCCGCTCGGTTCTCCAAATCCTGACCTTATTTCAAAGCAAAGAATGTAGTTTTCCACACCTGTTTTCAGACCAGACCTCTAAAATCCATACCCGTTTTCAGAGCTAGCCTTTGGGCAAGAACAGTATGATATCATTACTTAGATTAGAGCGCAAACAAAAAAACTCTTCAAATCCATTTCGAATTCGCATATTTCTCTTTCTTTCTTATTCATTTGGAATTGAAACGATAAATACGTTCATACGCTCCCGTAGTTCTCTCGAAAGCCATACTCGATTCCAGACCAAAATGGGCAAAGTGTATACCCGTTTTCAGACTCAAACGGCGCAAAGACCCTACCCGATGGGGCAGCCGGGCACATATCTATATAGCTTATATTTAACAATTATTCCTCGAGCCCGAATGGAATCTGAGTCAATGGCCCATGAGGCCGAAGGTCAACCTTTATTAGATTTCACAATCTACCTTTTCTCCAATCGTTTTAGTCAAAAGATACGTTACTAGCCATGAAAAATGTGGGAACTTTTAAAGCCTTTTTCGTTCAAATTACACCTGAAGATTTTTCCTTACGTTGCATTTTCATGTCGGTCGCTGATCAATATTTGTTTTATATCAAGCGTCTCAGGTTTATCTAGAAACAAGACAAGTGAAACAAGTTGTGGGTCTACAAGCAGTTTCACGTCAAATCACAGCAAGCATTTTAAAAAGCTTTACTAATGCAGTATTTGGTCTTTGAAAGAACCAATGTTTAGGCTATATTCACACTATACTGGGTAGCTGTGCCATTGCTGTTCAAAAACGAAAAGCTAGACTACCTGGAACAAGTCCAGCGTTTACACACATCGAACGTCGTGAAGGGGCGGTTGGCCGAGAGGGTTTGGTGAACTAAATTCCAGTCCTCACCCCTGATACTTATTCACTTCAGCTACGGCTCAAATACCTATTCACACTGCACTAAAGTGTTGTACAGAACCTATCCGATATGTGACGCTTCACTTTCGAGATTTGCGTGGTGAAGATTCGCTCCGTTACAGAAATCTCGCCAAAATCACCGTTCCTATGTGTGAACAGATGCCCTATCCAGTATGGTTTTCGTGCCGGCGTAAAAGTTATCCGGTATATGCTGTCTTTCTCTGACGAATATTGAAAATGGAATATTGGAGCTTGTCCTGAACGTGTTTTGAGATGTACTCTGCTACAGCATATCAGCAAACTTTTAAATTTACTGATCAGGTTGGTTGGGAGCGGATAGATGTAGTATACCGATACCAAGACTAAGCAGGGAATATCACTGAAAAACTCAGTAAATGATAATAAAACTGCTGTATAGGGTAGCCACAATATCTTCCACCGAAGCTTTGAGATTTTGCACTCTTCAGATACCGTAAAATTCCGAAAATAAGCCCCTCCAAATATAATCCCCCCAAACTGGTCCACAAATAATCCCCCCGCCGGGGCTTGTACTTGGAAAATTGCTTTCAAATACAAAGTAAAACAAAGCAAAAACGTCATCTTACTTCCAACTATAAGGCTAGCCCAATCGATTTTGAAACGCAAATTTCGCTCCGTAGATAAGCTCCTCAAAAAAGGCCTTTGAAAAATATAAGCCCCGGGGCTTATTTTCGGAATTTTACGGCAATCATTTTAAAATGCAGTTCTTTTCAAAAAAATTTGTTTGCGCTATTTCAGTGACTGATTAGAGTAGCAAATCAAATTATGTTTTTTGAGGGGACGGGGACGGGTATTTGAGAAAAGTTAGTGAATTTTAAATATGAAATTTAGGGCCTTTAAAAAGAGGGGGCGTATCACAGAGCGCAGTATCGTAAGCGCAGTAAGTTAAAATTATGTGAGTTTAAAAACAGTTCCTTTAGCGAGCCAGCATCTTCTTGTTATAAGACTTTTTTCCCTGAAAATGGTTTCCGTTGGCAGTTTTAAAACTCTTCTTGAATGGTGAACGATATAGGAAGCAATAACTTCGGGTAGATGATCGACTATTTCCGTTCATTACTTCAATACTCGCGGACTCGCACTTGGTTGTTTGAGCACAGCGTAGTAAACACTCCATGACTGTAGAGGCTGTGACAGTGGTAAGAATGTCAGCATCTGGTTGTTGTTGAGCAGGAAGAATTAATAGGAAAAGAGTAAAGACAGAGGTTTCAGCGGCGTCTGCAACTGAAAAAATGTGGATAAATGAACTTCGCATCACATTGTTCTCCGCAATTATTAGGGAAGCTAAACATTTTAGTCAGTTACTCAAAATATGGAGGCTCTGCTTTGGAAGAAACAAAGTCTGACAGTCTCGTTGTACGTCACCACTGTTCCCCTTCTAGTAAGCTCTCCCCCCCCTCCCACACACACACACACTATCCGGTTTAAGCTACCAAAAATTAATGAAGCGATAGTCTCTATTTAATCTCCCATCCCCTAAGTGCACCTTTAGATTTTTCACACTCACAAATATTTTGTGTCATACCCCTTGCTTGAAAATGTTTTCGAATTCTACCCTCCCCCCCGTCTCCCTTCAAAAAAGTAAATGGTGGGGGGTGGGGGGAGGAAGCTTGAAATCCAAGAAACGATTTCCTCTCTCTACTCTCTCTATCTCTCGATAGACTCCAGTTCTTTCAGGGGCTCTCAACGATGGTTTCCTCTTAAATACATTAAAAACACTTTTTAGACTATCCAGAGCACTTTTAGACATCTATAAATGCATTCTAAGAGGCGCAAGAAAATTTGTATCTGTTCGGTCATCCTAGGGGAACTTGAGTCTTTTCGAAATTACAAGGGCTTGAGTATTATTTTTCCGAAAATTATAGATGAAATTTGACGTTTTACGAAAATGAGACATTTTCTTATTCTTCTCGCCATCACACTAACTTAGGAAATAAAACGTGAAAATTAAACTTCAGAAAATCGTAGGGAATTTATAAGATAAACTTGGAAAAATTGTAAGTGAATGGAACGGTCATCTAGAAATGTTTAGCCGTCTTCAAGTAATATAAAATTCTAGGCAATATTTGTTTCTCTGAACAGTTGTTTTGCAGAAAACAGTCGTTGGGTGCCCCTCCCTGTTCTTTGTGAACACCAATACTAAGTCTAAGTCTAAAAGATCTATAACGGGACCTACCTTCCTCTTGAAAGGTTCTGTTCTGTACTGCGATGATTTCAAGTTTGGTAAGAGATTTGTTGTACACTTGAAGACAACAGATGCGGCCTTTCAAGTACCTTGTATCGCCATCATCCTTGGCTGCCATTCGCATATTAGAATGCGACTCATACAGCCTATTACTGCCCACAGTTTCCTGACAAAAAAGAAAATGTTGTTCATAAAAACTGCAGGCTTTCCACTGAAATGAGACGGCAACGCCTTTTTTTAAAAATGCTTTAAAAGTTGCTGCAGATACATCTCGATTAAATCAGTTTTCCATGGTGTCAATTGGCCATTTTTGAGTCGCTCCAAGCCTCCTCTCCAAGTGCGAAGCTGCTGATAGACTAGAGCTGACCGCTTAAGAAAATTTTGTAAGAAGAAAGCTAAAACGGGATTTTTTTCAAGGCTTTGTCCACAAAACCTTGAATTCTTCCGTCGCTGCAACCTCATATAGCCCTAATGTTAGTGTGATGTAAATCTTTTTTGTGGTAGGATAAGGGTGAGGTGGAGCTGAGTCTGTGCATGGTCATTGCTAACCAATCGTAATCACCTAATTTCATGGACACACTTGTATACTTTTTCCAACAGGAAAAATACAGAGCAGCTATCAAAAGAAAAAATTGACAATGTAAGTTGCTATTAACAGACTTAGAAAAATTGATATTCAATATTCAATTGTTTTACGAAGTTGATTACCATGGTGACAGGTGTACTTACGGTATCATCAGCCTCTCCGTTTACCCAGACCTTTGCGATGCCAGATGAATAATTGTAAGTGATACCAACGTAGTACCAGACATTTGAAGCAATTGGTGATGAGCGAGGCTGGACACTCCAACTTTGGTCATTAGCATAAACACTACTCCCTACTATCCAAAACCGAAATCCATTTCGCCCGTAGACAAACATTGGCCCTTCATTATTTTGTCGGTTCACCCACAGAAGAACAGTTATTGAATAGCTTATGTCCAGGCCTCCGTTGTTGGGAATCTCTATGTGACTAGTAGAGATACCAGAGAACTGGTAAGAACCTTGTGGATCCCCGTCAGGACCTGATGCCAGGTGTACGCCGCTTGGGATTCCCGGTGGGTTTTTGTTAAGACTGATATCCTTTGTACCGTATCGACCATTGAGTGGATACAAGGCAACAGGAACAGGGAGGCTATCTGCTCGAAAAAATATTTCCTTAACCGTGAAATTATCTGACAGTAGTTCAAGTCTGGGGCAACTCCCTATCAACATGTAGTAGGAGAGTAAGCTTATTTACCTTAAGCCATGTCTCATTTTTTAGATCACAATTCATTTTGACTTATAAAATATCAGCATCTTCGGCTACGAACTTTAAGGTGGTGTCGTCCGCATACATTCTGGGCCTTGAGTACAGTTGACATAAGGGGAGGCCTTTCATGTGTAAAACAAACAACAGTGGACCAAGAATAAAACCTTGAGGAATTCCGCTCGTTAACTTATATAAATCAGCAAGTTCACCATCAACTAAAGTTTTCTTTTTCTCTTAGTAAGACATGATTTAAGCCATGCTAACGTTAAGACCATTGAGGGTCTCAATCGACTCATTTGTTTCCTCTAATATAGTAGTTTCTGTGAAAAATATTGGCCTTAACTCTGATCGTGTTATTCCGTTAAAAGGTTGTTCGTTTAGATACCCACAGAGATGCTTGAATACAACTCTCTCAATCACTTCACTAACAACAGGTAAAACTGAAATTGGCCCGTACGCTCTTACAAGAATATTTTCAGCCTTAAATCGGCAGAAAAATACGAATATTCAGCCTGGGCCAGAAAAACAACATTTATAAAAAAAAGAGTAGTTATTTGGGTCAACATTGACCATAATTACCATAATCAAACAGAAATTAGTAAGAAATTTTGAAGGGAAATTTTCTCAGCGATATGAACGCTGAATCTCCTTGTAACCGGATCTTATGATGTTTATTACAACATTACCTGTTCTTGCCTTTGAAGAGAAAAATAGAAGAATAAAAATTTGAAACATTGCCAGGCGGACTGAGTACAGAAGTGAATCATCAAAGAGGAACAATTTGAAACACTTGAAAAGCGTTGCTGAAGTCTTAAAACTTTAATTGCTCCAAGCTACTTTAGGTCCCTCAAAAATCATGGAACTGTTCCACTTTCAAAACGTATCTAATCGTATCTGAGTTTTGGTGGCCGCTATCAAAACTGGAAAACTAATTTTTTCATCGGCATTTATTATTCATGGTTACATTCGTGGTAATTTTCCAAACTCTGACAGTCAAAATAAAAACTAAAACAAAACAAAACAAACCGCGCGTTGTCCACGTCGAAATAGGCGCTCATGGAATCCTGGGGTGCTAAAAAACACCCCTATTTAAGCACCCCAGGAATTGAGTGTATTAATTTCGCCGCCTTCTGTTTGGGAGCTTTCTAGTTCTATTCCCAGGTGTGTTCTCAAATCCTTGTTTCGATTTTTTTCCTTTCCGTGTAGCTTTAAGTAGCCTTATTATTGATTCAAAATATTTCTCCAACATTCTTATTGGCTAAAAACAAACGGATAATTCACCACAACCAATTACTGATGACCAAATTTGGAAGAATTTTGTGTTTAACGAGGAAATGACGTAAAAAATGTAGCCAGTTGATTTGGTTGTGACAAAAAAAGGCGAACATTTCACTCGTTTCAAGAGTAAAAACTACAGCTGGAACTAGGCAAAGTTAGAGCTAAAAACATGGCAAAAACAGCAAGAAGACAACTTGGAGGGCGACATCTGCTAATTGGACAATATTTGCGAGCTGGACAAACCTAAACGTACAATATCGAAATGAACTTAACATCGATGCAGGTAAGCATGTTTTAACACCCTTCTCGATCTGCTTAATTCTTCATATCATACTCAGCCCCATTCATTAATTGCTAATCAAATACCCGTCAAACGGAGCACTGATAAAGAGAGAGCGGGGGGGAGCGGCGGGGTGTAAATTGAGCCCACCGTCGGCCTCAGGTTTTTCAGTTACTAAAAGTACTGTTACTAGTTATCGACGTGAAATAATTATAACGACCTTTACCTTTACCTTTGCCTCTAAAATGACGCGAGCCTGCTACCTAATTTTGAACATTCACGTTGTAGTCAATTGATAGCTGTCAAAACAGGGTATTTGCTGACCAGTATCACATGAACGTATTGTGGGCATAGGAGTCGACCCATCAAGGTTACGTGTTCTTTTGAAGGTCTCCGTTGACAAGTTACTAGTTTTTGATTGATCGCAGTCTCAACTTTAAGTGTATGTCTATTTTTTAACGGGGCTACGCCCTTAGCCTTAGCCTAAATTTACACTGATTAAGATATTATGAGAATGAAGATGTTGATGCCAATGACGATGATAAGGACAAAAAGGGAGAGGCACTTGAACTACCTGATAACCAGAAGGTCCTGTTCCAGACTGCAATTATTTCTTGTTCGCTGAGTGCCTTGTTGTACACCTGAAGACAACAAATGTGTCCTTTGAAGTACTTGCTTAAACCATCCATTGCTCCCATTTTCACATCATAGTGAGTATTCAGCTCAAATATGCCAGCATTTACCTAATGGTGTAACGTATTAAATCTGTAAGAGATGTTGCTTTGTACAGAAAAACCCTTTGTAATATCACAGTAAATTAGAAGAAAAGTTTGATATTTATTAAGTATTTATTTTTTTAAAAACACTACCTAAGTTCTTTTCTTGCCTCTTGACAATTTCAGTGCGGAAACAAAAAACGTAAGACAAATTAAGGTGCTGTCATTTTCTTCATTTCTCTGTCTTTTACTTAATAGGCTAATTATAATTATCCCGACTAATTTGTCTCTACTTTTTTGGGGTAACATTAATGCACAGTCTGATACAGCACATCTTTAAGAAATTTTATCTTTGATCGAACAAAGCTGAAAAATGTGTGTGGCACATTTATTTATTCTTTATTTGTAAGTTGCTCTCTCTGGATTTAACTATCTACAGTACCTAACAATAACACTACGCTCACTGATTTATACCTAAATCTTGCTTTTGGGTGTAAATATGAAACACGTTGTCGCCATTTTCTCACCTCGGACGTTGCCGTTCCATTAACCCATATCTTTGCGACGCCGGAATAATAATCATAAGAGATACCAACGTAATACCATTTGTTTGAGTCTATGTGCGTGTGGGGTTTTGTGGTCCAGCTCGGACTATTAGCATAGACACTACCACTATCATAGTACTCTACGATCCAAAACCGAAATCCATGGGTTCCAGAAGCCCTTGCGTAATGAAAGATTGGACCCCTATCATTTTCCCTCTTTACCATAGCCAGGACTGTTATTGAATATCTTACGTCCAGACCTTCGTTGTTTGGAAACTCAATGTAACTTGTGGAGCTACCATAGAACTGGTACGAGCCTTGAGGATGTCCATAAGGGCCTGGGGCGAGGTGTACATCGTGTGCTATTCCAGGTGGGTTTTTGTTTGCACTGATGTCACGTGTCCCATGTAGACCATTTAGAGGAAACAAAGCAGCAGGAACAGGGGGACCATCTGTTAGAAGATGTGATTTGAGAGAAATGTACGTTATCGTTCAATTTATTTCTTGGTAGCATATTTTTTAAGGGTCATATTTTGGAGAAAAATGTGACCTTTAGGAACAGATTTTGCATCTGGCAAGTCCATGATAGAAGGTATACTCACTGGTATATCCTAGAAATTATGCCATATTTTAATAATTGCAAAAAGATAAAACCTAAGAAGTGAGAATTTGTCGACGCTTTTCAAGAGCATTTAAATCCGCCGAGTTAATGACCATGACCGCGCCATTGATGTCTTTTAAACTCATGGACCGACGTATTCACTCAGTGATATCATGAATCATTCTCTTCTTATAATAATAGTAATAGAAATGGTATTATTAATAATACAAAGAAACTAAGCCGTTGCCTAGAAAATTACACAGCAGAACCTCTGCAGTTTTATTCTTCCATTGGCGAAGACCTCTTTTAAGGGGACGCAGATATCATTTTCAGGGTCAGTAAAACACATCAAGACCAAACCCTACTACAAAAACTTCATTAACTTCTGTATATGAAAAAAAAAAAAGAAAGCGCCTGCGAGTTCAGGAAAGCTTTCTTTTATAATCTCTGCATAGTGATTTGATTCACGACAAAGTTCAACAGAGATGAAAGCTGAAAGGAGTTATCAAGCTTAAATGATTCCAGCAAACAGTTCTAAATTTGTCTTTTTGTCAGCTCTAATGCAAACAACCAAGGCTTTAATTTTTTAACTAACCAATCTGAAATTCCTTTCCCAATGATATTGATTTTAAAAAATATATATGTACATAGTTAAACATAAGTAGATAATTGTATATAAAAAAATACCTGCACTGGACTTTGCAAAGAAGGCTAATATTAAGGCGAGAACCTGCAAATTAACATGAGATTTTACGAATAAATCTGAGGTTGAAAAAATTCAAGACTCCTTTTGGTAAAGAATCACCTTCAAGCAACAGCGAGGGCACATTCCGAAAGATCAAAACCTTGCTCTTTAAATTTCCTTTAAAAGTGTTCCCTTTTATTCCCCCTTCTAGCTACTAGTTGTAAATTAACCTTGTCAAAAAGTTCATTCCACTATTTCTTTAGCTATCAATTATTTATATATGTTAAACATGCACTATTAACTCACCTTGATGTCAAGTAGTGTCCTGTATGTAGTATAGAAGGGTGCAAAACTAAACCATAAATTATTTATATGAAAAATGATGGAAAGATAAGACTCCGTATAAATACCACAGTCTTCAATTAAACGAGATCTTAAATATTCTCGACCAAGGCTTCAAGACAAGTTCTTTTTTCCTTCTGCGCTGGTTTTCACTTCCAGCAGAGTCTTACCGAATTTATAGTTATATTTTTAGTCATGTCATGTGTTCCTTCCCCCCCAAAAGACAAGAATCAACTGTCATCATTTCGTAATTGAGTTTGTCAGATATGGCTTTTGATATATTCAGAATCACAACGGTATCAGTTTTTTAGTGTTATTATTGTAAACATATCTTTTTAAACTTTTGTGAAACGATTCAAGTTACCAAAGCCAAATGAATGAATAATGTTGTCAGGTGGGAATTCATTTTCTTTTGCGTTTTAATTAATTGTCGAAACTGATGCTGAATCGGAATTAATAATTAAAACTACTCGTTGTTAACTTCGCTTTTACGATGATCAGTCGTTGTCAAGATGCTTTTCTCCTATTTATTTATTGTTTGACAACGTGACCAACAGAAACGAAGGTTCTGCATTTGGTCAGATTTAACAACGTGAACGCAATGTCAAATGAGAGCCCCAGAGTGCCCAAAAAGGAACTGAATGCGGCTTCGGTGCTCAGTTTGCCGCTTTGCCATTAGTCTAGTCAGTTTCTAGATCTGCACGCGCTGCCATAACGGTGGTGGCGTCGTCTAACAGGTGATGCGTACGTGAAAACTCATAAGATGAATCACGAAGAATATGTTGTAGTTCAATTTTATCCTTGTCTTAAACTTTATTTTCTTTTGTTTTTGGGTATGGTAATGTATGATAATGAGTTTGAAGCAAAAGAAAATGAAATTTAAATCAGGGATAGAATTGAACCCCAACATAGACACAACCTCACGCGTCGTCATAGCAAAGGAAAGCAGAGCATCATCGTTTGCTATATTAAGTAAATTAGGCCAAATCTAAGGGGTTTTGTTGTCTGTTTCATTGTTTGATCGTAATCAATAAATCAAACAAGAATAAGTATAAGTAAAGGATAATGCAGTAGCTCTAAGGGCTTAATTATATTTTGAAATGTGCCAGATGCGCGTTCACAGGCCACTGGCAAGGTCCTTAAGATCACAAATTTTTTGTTTAATGTCTATATTTTCTATTCGTTATCTATGAGTCCTCATAGGGCATTAGTGTGATGTTCTGCGTTTACGTGATTTGTAATCAGTTGTGGCCAGATTTTCACACTTTTAAATTCTCGATTCCTCAGCAACCTAGTGGGTAAGGACCTCAGCGATCAGGTGGAAAACGCTCAAGCGAACTTTTGTGGTCGCAGCGAGAACAATCTCTTAGATAAACATGTAATGGACTCCAGTTTCGTCTTTAACCCCGGGCGGAGGAGGGAGGACTCCCTATGATGGACTATCCGGGGAGGCTTCGCCCAAAAGGGATATCTTTTGCAGGCTTTAGGTATATCAAAGGGTCGGGATTTCACTAGTTGAAGTATATAAAAGGGTAGGGAAATCTGTCATTTGGGTCCGTGAAAGGGCCGAAAAGAACTAACAGGTGAATTTTATGGCCGTATAAAGACGAGAAAACGTTCTATTTTTGTGACTGATTCCTATTTAAAAGACAGTGCATTTACAGCAGTTAAAAGGGATGCAAATTTCTAAACAAGGTATGTGAAAGGGGTACCATTTGTCAATAGAAGTTATACGAAAGGGGTACCTTTTTCGTGAAAAATGGTATAAAAAAAGGGTAAGGGGTTGGACCTCGGGGCGGAGCTTCCCAGTATAAACATTTGTTGAGTACCCCCCTCCCACGGGTCTTTAACCTGCTTAGACTGCGAGCAGTCTCGTATTTCTCTTGGAGACTCAGTAGATAGAGGGCACGCGTGAGGGGAGAGCGGTTAGTGCATAATTTTACTTTTTTACACGCCACGCGTGACTCTGACTCGAAGAAAGACGACCGCTCGCGGTCTATAACCTGCTCTGCAGTCACCAGCCATACCAATAAACTCAAAACAGTCTCTTAATTACTCTGTAAAATACTTTTTAATATATGTCTACGGAAATGTAAAACATACTTTCTTAGCTGTTGCAAGCGATTTCCTTTCCCCCCGAGTATCCATGGCTTAAATCGCAGCGGATCGGGAAAATAACCACACAGGAAGCAAGAACAAACCAGGTTAATAAGGAGAGCGTTTTTTTCATCGAAAAATCCATCGAGTTATTTATCGCCTTGAATCTCTTACCTGCATTCCCGTACAAGTCATACAAGTCCTTTATGTTCTCGGCAAGAGAGGATAAACGGGACAGAGAAGGCATCTGCCATACACACCCTATTCCAGAGGTAATTCGTCTCGAGTTATTTTTAGAATCGGGATAAAGTTACCTCGTCCGCTGCGTGGATGTTTCGTGGAGGTTTCGCATGACTAAACGCCGTGCAAAACATGTCGGGCGAAAGGCAATGAAAGCGTAAAGAGATCGAGAGAATTTCTGAATATTGAAGCGAAATGGGTAGGTGCTCACCTGGGAAAAGGGAATCGCTGGACTCTTTGACAACCCGTGAAATCAGTTTAACTCGAAGTTGTCGTAACCTCAGTGCTTTAATAAAATGAGTAATTTCTCCGGTCTATTAAAACCGGTCGTTTGAACAATAAAGCAAGTAGGACGCCAAGTGTTATTTTTGTTGAATAATAAAAGACTAATAAAAGAATAAATATCAAACCAGAAATTGAATGATCCTGAGAGAATATTCAGTGTGTTAAGGATTTCCCTGAAGTACTGTTAGCTCTATACAAGAGAGGAAGGGCGATTCTTTTTTAATTTCCATTCCCCTGACACCGCTTTAGCAGAAAACTCTCTTTAGTCGTTTTTGTCAACAAAATAAATAGCAATATTGCTCTCCGCGTCTTCCGCCATTTTATTCTGCGTCAATTTGTGAAGGACGCGTGGGTCCGAGAGTGGGTCATCCACGCGGAACACATTCGCGTTATGTGATTGGCTGTTGTCTAATCCCCCTTGGGATCTGTGTTCTTAAAAATAACTCGAGACGAATTACCTATATAATAGGGGGTGTATGGGGGATGCCTTCTCTGTCCCCTTTATCCTCTCTTGGTTCTCGGCCATTTGAGGATTGCGCAACTCTTATACTGAGCATGGGCTGCCTGTGTAATGTTGGTGTCCCTCTGGCTTCTGAGGGGCACCAATATGGCCACGGAAGTTTTCTGAAACATCTGCCATTGAGTTGTGCTATGAAACCAGGCAGTTTGCATCTATCAATAGGCCATTAACATTAAAATTATTACTTATTCTTATACAAGGACTATTCAAATAGCAAAAACTCACTTATGTCCCTTGGGTGACTCTAAGTTTTCTCGGCCGTCATTTGCATGTTTTTATGTCAACAAGGTCGCGGTACTCAAAAGCTCAGAAATTCAATAAGAGCGTAGCCTGCTTAGCAGGCGCTTGGAAGTAATGGGCGCAAGAGAGAACGAGGCGCGCGAGGGATTTTCCTAGCGGAGGTCTCTCGCGCGCGAAGTACTAATATTAGTGTCTACACTGACGTGGTTAAAAAAGAAAGAACTAGAGCGAGAGATAAAAAACAAAGGAGACGAATTTCGTTAGAAGAAAAACATGGAAATTTTATAGCGGCAGTGAGAAAATACTGAATACTTTATTCAAGACGACAACCTCGTTTCCAGGTTCTCTCTCTTACCCGTCCAGATAAAGGAGTCAACATTGCTCTTCGCATTTTCTTTGATTTCTGGACTGATTCTGCTATAACCCTAACGATAAAATAGAGGTTCGTCACACAAGGCAGAGAAAGAGGCAGATTTCGCACACCTTTCGACGCATGGTCTGTTGCTAATATTCCCAGAGGAGTCCTGGGTAATGTAGTGGTGGATGGGCAAATTCGATTTGAATATGGATACGTGTGGACATGGAAAGTTTTGAATCCCGAAAGAAACAGTGGCGGATTCAAAAATATCTGGATACGTGTGGACGAGGCCTAACTAGGAAGTTTCACGTTGTAGCCGTGCAAAACAGCAGCAAAAAAATGTACAAAAATGTGTGTTGCACGTGCAAAGTTGTTTTTTTTTTTTAGCCAATTAGAGACCTATTGTCTTTTTGTATTGCCGTTCTCGTTGCCATCGACATTTAGCATTACACATTGACAATTTCATTTTTTGTTTGAGTAAACATAAGTATATTAACGAGAGCTTAGATTTTAGCCCTGGCTAAATCTGTGTGTTAATTGCTATATCTCACTTAAACTGCTCTAACATCCTTTTTTTAGAAATTATATTTTGAATTTTAAATTTGTTTACGTTAGTTGTGATTTCATGGTTCGATGCTTTTCTTGGACATCTCGTGACTCAGTGAACTCAGATCAAACAAACTAGTGAGCCTTGGTTGTACTGGATTTAATCAATATCATTATTAGTCAAAGATAAGCTGCATAAGATGTTTATTTTCCAGTAAGATTTATCATAGTTTGTAAAAGCTGGTCCTTTAGTGATACTTTCACTTATTGAAGTTTCCGTTGACTGAGCAGCGAGTTTGGGTGCAAGAGCCCTTTCTTACAGGTATGTTTAAATTATAGTTTGTCCATTCATAACATTCGTTTTCACTCTCTATACTTGATTTGTATAGAAACGGTCGCTGTAAAGCAAGACTCAGTCAGTTTTGATAGTGTTCTTTGTTTGTGTTAGACCCACGTGTCCGCCTGTTCGACGACTGAGGATCGAAGCACAGGCGGCGAAACTTCCTGATTCATATCTTATCTTTTCAAGGTGGAACAAAGCAGCTTTCAGTTTCTTTCTAATTCTCAACCCGATCCTCTTGGTCGTTCCGTGACGTCTGAATCAGCCTTGTCGGTAAGATTATATTTTACGTTTTTAAAAAGCTTTTATAACAAACCTTGTACTAAGTATACAGCTTCTAGCAGCTTTTTTTCAGGAATGTATAAATATACACGAATAACGATGCCATTTCAGTCCGGCTAATAATATCACGAAATTCTTGTATAATTACTTGATATCGAAGTGTGATTTAATTAGCACCTAATTAATATGTTTCAATCCCTCCTTTTGATTTCCGCCGCCAGCTTGAAACACTCATTTTATATCTGTCAACGTAAACGCTTCTTGTTGCCTTCCTTGAAATATAATTTCTCGTCTGAGACAAAGCCATGTAGCCCATGTAGTGAAATATCATGAGCTAGAAAATACTGCCGTATCAATATATTCAGTTTTGATATATCATTTAACAAATCGACCACAATTTTCCATGGTCTACACTCTTCTAGACCACAGAAATGACGTCATAAAATGTTCAAAACTGCAAAGTTTTGAACATTTTGTGGCATCATTTCTATGGTCTATAAGAGTGTAGACCATGGAAAAGTGTGGTCGATTTGTTTTTTACAATAGCATTTATTTTTTTTACGAAAAAACAAGAAGAACAAAACAGCCGACACTGCGTGACATGCTACCTCATTTCCATGGTCTATACTCTCATACACCATAGCTCTCGACCAATCAGCGCGCGAGGATTCGCTCAGTTATTGTAAAATGTATTATAGATCATAATTAGGGTTTTGAGAAAAATGTATATGTAATGCCTTGCTTTACAATTTGCATTTATTCCTGGGCCCGGTTCCTGAAAGGCTGATAAGAACTAATCCAGGATAATTTTTCGTTCTACTTTTTGTATTCACCTTTATATGCATTGCTTAGAAAAACATTTTAGGTTATCATTACTGTATCTCAGAGTAAAAGGCTCAATAGTAATTTTGTAAGCTTGAGTTACGTGTTCTTTGATAAGAAACCCTTGTTGCCTTCCTGGAAATATAAATTCTCGTCTGAGACAAAACCATGTAGCTCATATAGTAAAATATCATAAACTAGAAAATACTGCTATATCAATATATTCAGTATTTTTTAACGAAAAAACAAGAACAAAACAACCGGCACTACGAGACATTTACGTCATTTCCTTGGTCTATACTCTCATACACCATAGCTCTCTACCAATCAGCGTGCGAGGACTCGCTCAGTTATTGTAAAATGAATTATAGATCATAATTAGGGTTTTGAGAGAAATGTATGATATGTAATGCCTTGCTTTACAATTTGCATTTACTCCTAGACCCGGTTCCTGAAAGGCCGATTAGCACTAATCCAGGATTAAATGTGCCGTTTGCACGATGACGTTTTTTTACTACTAAGACCAGAATACGTTTCGTTTTTCCTTTCATATTTAAGATTTGGTAGTCTCAGTGAGGTTTAAATAACAATACCCTGAAGGATTCTGGTAGTAGTAGTAAAATGACGCCATCGTGCAAATAGCCTATTTCGTTCTACTTTTTGTATTTACCTTCCTATGCATAGCTTAGAAAAACATTTTGTGTAAGTCATTACTGTATGTCAGAGTAAAGGCTCAATAGTATTTTGTAAGCTTAAGTTATATGTTCTTTGATAAGAAAACCGTGCTTAAAATTTGCCTTAATCTTGAGTTAAACTTGACTATCTTTCGAGGAACCGAGGCCACAACATTTAATTTGGATGTCAAAGATGATGACCTGATTGATATGATGCCTCCATGTAAGTTCTTCATCAATTTTTTCCTTTATCGATTTCTTTACCATCGATTATTATTGACATTTCATTCAGTAACGTCTTTTCTTCTTTGTTTTGAAAAGCGTGAAGTGAATTCTATTTATATTAAAGGGCAGTTTATTTTTAGAAGGTCACATATGCAATAATATTCAGTTCTTGATTCATGGTATTACCGTAAATCCTCTATTAAGCCCCCTCTCTCAAATGCGCCCCTCCCCCCGTCTAATGAGCCCCCGTTTTCAGAGAAAGAAAGTTTAAAAGCCCTCCCTCTCTTTTAAGCCCGCCTTTTCCTCCCCCTTATTATTCTTCACCAATAAATGATAGACCGTATTAATCAATCACGGCTGTAAAACTTCATTTGAACTGATCTGGGATGGTATATTCACTTGTTAGAAGTTCGGCTCTGTTTTTGATCCTCGGCTACATGGCGTGAACTCCAGATTCTTGTTCTTGAGCTTATCCACTTCGTATTTCAGTTCTTTTTAGGGAGCTGGTACCACAATCTTTACTAAATTAAATGATCCTCCTTCTCAAATAAGCCCCTCTCCTTCAAACGTGTTTGAACTAAATAAGCTCCCTCCGGGGGGTTTGTAGAGGATTTGTGGTATATGAACCATATATTATTTAGTTTTCTGGACAAGTAATCTTTTTGCATTCACTAGAAAACACATACCTTTTTTTTGAAGAAACATCAGGCAAATAAAGTTGATTTAGTTAGTAATAGTCCAGTCATTTTGTGGTCAGACCCGGATGACTGCAACAGAAGCTTTCTCTTCGCCAATCATTTAGGATTAGATTATGGATAAACATACTAAAAGTCCCAAAAAATTCGAGCATGAGAACATTGCAATATTTAATCCCATTTATTACGGGCATTTTTGTTTCCCCTAAGACCTGTCCGTGATTTCTTTTTCCCTCTATAGCTTCAACAGGATTTAAGCTACGACAACAAAAATCAGGGAGTCAATAGTAGACACGGAAGTCTGTAAATTCAGAACAGGTCAAGTGATAATAACGCGGCAATAACATTATTTTCGGACCGCCGCCATCTTGAATTAATATCAAGGGTAAAGAGGTTTCAAATCGCCTCAACTTTAAACTAAGTAACGGTGCTGAAAAGACATTAAAGCTGAGTAAGATGATGGAAATATAATTTACACGGTAATTAGACAGCTAACTTTGTTAAATCTAAAAATTAAAGGTGGCTCGACTGGTTTTTTTTAAATACCTCTCAGGTTTGAGCATTTACTACGTCAGCGTTGACAAAAATATCGGAAAAAATTTACTACAGGTGTAGTGTGTAGAGACGAAAAGTTTGTTACGATTCATGTTTCATTGACATCGTAGTTACCACGGCAACGTAATGACGCCATTACGTTTTATACTTGCCTTTGTATTTCTCGGTACCAGGACGTTTTTTCGAAAATCGCTTAAGGAAGCTTGTACCTCCCTTCGCTGCCTCGAGCCTTTTGGAAATATTTTGGAGCGAATTTTTAGTGGTCACAAAAACATTGAATAACCATGCAATCGACAAAATTGGCTAATATCTAAAGAAAATGATGAGGTCCGGAAAATTAGTTTCGTCTTATAGTGGTTTGATTCCGTTTGAAACTGTGTAAGAAAAAAGAGGGGGATCGCCTTGGCCTATTTCGAGAAAGAAGAATTTGATTAGCCTGTGGTCAGTTGCTTTTGTTACAATTTTTGTATGCAATTTGGTCCACGTCTACAAATTTCACGGTGGTTTAGAAACTGCTCGATAATTTTTTTCAAAAACTTGACAATTCCGAGGTTAATCGTCAATTTATATCGCCTCCGAGTTTCAAGGACACTGAAAACAAGGAAGGCAATTAAATTGGGCTTCCAGTGTCACAAATCCCCCCCCCCCCCACCAGATTTTGCGTTGAAAAGTGGGCGTCCTCATTATTCATCGGCATTGTTTTTAAGTTTCATATGCACCTGGACAACTAAAGTAAAAAATAATTTGTATTCAAAAGGCCCGTATATGCTAAATCCACACGCGACGATGACCGTTCAATGGACCCCATTACTTAATATTTTCTCGAGTAGATAATCCATTAAAGCATAAAAACATTAAAGAGGTTAATCCTCTCAATTAATCCTGTTTTTAAGCAACTGCTGGGACTTTTTGGGACTTTTGATATGTTATTAAGGAAAGTTTTCTGTGTCTAAAACAGTTGGAATATCTTCTGTTGCAATTAGTTCTAGGTTAACCTTCTTTTTTCCACAAATGACTGGACTATAAATGGCAAACAGAAAAACCATTTTGCTAATCTGATTTGCTTCTTAGCAATGAACTGTTTTTTGTCTTAGGACAAAGGACAGAGGATATTGGATTCGAATTCTTGACAAAACAATGAAACAAGACGGGCATTGCCCTAAAGAAATTGTGGTGTAAGCTATGCATAAAGACAGAATTCATTGAGCACTTGATCATAGTAGTCATGACTGTCCTGAGATACTCCCTTACTCCTTATTAAAAGTATATCATGTTCTACGTTTTTCAAGAAGAAAATATGAAGGGTTGAGTGGAATATTATACGCTTAATGTCAGATCCCGAGGGAAACAGTTAGTTTTGTTTCCCCGAGAGTCCTGATGTTTCCTGAGACGAAGTCGAGGGAAACATCACGACTCGAAGGAAATCAAAACTTACTGCTTTCCCGAGGGACCTGACATTAAGTGTTTTGTTGTATTTCTAGACTTTCACTTCAACAGCAACAAAAGAATAACCGGAGTGAACCAAAACAGTCGACTTGGTACTTACAACAACAAAAGTTTAATTCTTAGTATACTTTCCTTTTATTATCTGCATCTTTTTCCTCCAGTAGCTGCTGTTTCTCTTCTGGGATGACTTTAAAAATGGTTGCTTTTTAGTTTGAGGCTTCGTTTTTGCGTTCGAGTTGTTGTGTTCATTCACGAAAAAGAAAACAGGCAGTGTTTTTCCAGCTTCTGTCATACCACTTTCCACCATGCTTTGATCACGTGCTGTAATGTAGCCCGAGCGGGGTACATTGCTTCACGTATCACGATCGGGATACACTTGATTTCAGTCAAGGCCACGTGACCAAGAATCAACCAATGACAGTTCCTGTTTAGTTGAGTGAAAGTCTAGGAATAGAACAGAAATGATTTTGTTCTCACAGATTCTTGAAACACTGCCACACATGTTCGATGATTACTAAGTAAGGAATCGCTGGAAATATTGACCTCAGCTTCTCCGCTGTCTCTTACTTAGGGTGCTTTCCATTTGTCCGTACTGACCGACCAGCCCATTCCCATCGTAATGATGGTCTGGCCGTGGTCCGTCCAGCCAGTTCTGACTTTTGGAAAGCGCCCTTAGGCTAAGTTCACACTATACCTCATAGCTTCTCCTGTCGCTATCCGGCAAAGTATGAACACTAGTTTAGAAATTGACCTACTTGCCTATGTTAATCCTGTTGACGGAGAATTTTCTTTTCAACGGATCAATGTTCAAAGAGTAATCAAATTATTTATGGATATCGATGTTGGTAAGGCAACTGGTCTTGACAAAATTCCAAACAGGCTTTTGAAGATTACTGCCGATGTTGTCGCGCCCTCTTTAACGGGTATCGTGACTGGTATTTTGCTCTCTGAATGGAAAGTGGCTAAATCGTCACTAATTTTTAAGAATGGTTCCAAGTCTGACCTACAGAACTATTGACCTATATCTGTTATTCCTACCGTAGCCAAAATTTTCGAAAAAATTATCTATGACCAACTATATCACTATCTGAATGAAAATGGTTTGTTAAACAGCGGCCAGTCTGGTTTCCGCTCGCTACACAGCACTCTTACTACCTTGTTGGAGACAAACGATGGCTGGTGTGTCAATATAACACTACTGACCACGAGATAATTCTAAAAAAAACTTACTAAATACGGCGTTGATCAAGTCGTCCTTAAATGGTTTAAATCTTACCTAACTCACCGTATGCAAAGGTGTAATGTAAACAATCATCCATCTAGAGCGATCCCTCTAAATAGTGGCGTACCTACAAGTGGCGTCAATAATCGGTCCTCTTCTTTTCTTGATCTATATAAATTATCTACCAAATAGTTTGAACACCGAATTACCATGTATTTTCGCAACACCAAGAAAAAAATGAATGCTCCCAAAACCCAGAACTGATTGCCTGCAGCTTTAGTTAGAATGGCGCTCTTCTATGGAACAATCTTCCTGAGGAAATACGTACATCAAATTCCTTAGGTCTCTTTAAGAGAAGTTCCTATAGATGGTTTTCAGATCAGTACTCCCACACGGCAAATATATAAAACAGTTTTTGAGAAATGTTTGATTAATTTTTGATGTTAGACTGATGTTTTTAACCGTGTATATATACTTATATATCCGTTATGCGACTCTCCGCTTTAGATATCGGCGCGGCGCAGCTTCGCTCCGTTCTTCTGTTTAAACAGAGCCTTTTCCGGTATGGTTTTTTGCCGGCGGAAAAGCTATCCTGTATCCGTTATAGAGTGTACGTAGCCTTAGCCATACCTACAAACTTTACCTTATCTATTTACAGCTTATAAATGACGCTTGATATAGAAAAATAAGCCACTATGAAGAAGCTTGTAAGATGTTTAACTATGAAGAAAAATATTTTTATCGCCTTTCGTATCGAATAAAGAAAAAGCGCACCCTGGAAACAGAAATAAAATTTGATTAAAACCTAAAAAAAAATGTTTCCCTTAGTTGCAGGAAACAAGGATAAGTATTTTATTTCCATGCCTCTTGTCACACCAGCAAGTTCTTCTACAACAGAAACAACAAATTATTCTAGGTTATGCCGCGTGCTTGTCGATTTGGGCTCTTGTGCCCTCAGGGATTGCTTCGATTCTATCTGCACACCACCAACCCTTCACAGAGTCTTGGCAGCTAATCAGCTCACCTTGCAAAATTTGAGATCACGAAGGATCATCAATGCAACGCAATGGGGAAAACTCTTTCCTGCCATCCCTACTTCAGTCTCATCAAAGAATTTTGACATCACTTTATTGATGACTTTGCTGCGCAATATATGCGGTCTTGCTCCCCCAATGACAGGATGGGATGTGCTCCCTGCGGCCACTGACACGAGCTGTGAAGCAGACATCGCACGAGTCAAATACTTCAGAAACGTGGTGTATGCTCATGCTGAACACGCTTCCGTTGATGATTCAGAATTTCAAAGACACTGGAAAGACATCCGGGATACTCTGGTGCGGCTAGGAGGAGTTAACTATGAGGTCAAAGTCTGCTATTATTCCTGTTGTTGTTGTTGCTTTTTTTTTTCTAACTACAAATTTTCAGGAAAATCTTAATACGTACATTATAAACCTATACATTTATTTAACGACACCCAGCCTTATTTTCGTGGCTTACTTTTTAGAACCCTTAGAAATTGGCATGGGAGGTGCGGGAAAAGCCTGGGAATGATAGAATGTTCACAGCCCTTCATTTTCCCTAATTTTTATTTGATGAACTCGCGAATTCAAGCAAGTGTTGAAGTGGAACGCTAGGAACGGCTGTATGATGAGATCCTTCTTTACCTCACAACAAAAACTAATTTTTTCCCAACTGCATTTATTGATGTCATAGAGTCCTTTTTTAAAGGTTGCTATTGACGATCTTGAAGTTATCTGTATGGACCCAGATATGGAGTGCCATTATAAAGACCTTTTAGCGCAGTGGAAATATGATGAGGATAACATAAAATATGTGTTGAAGGGAATTGAAAAGAAACTTGATGACTTGATGGCAACGACCAAGTCTTCTACAGTGGGAACTACAGGCAAAGAAGGTTTGTAGCAACAATGAAGATATACTAGGTTCACCAATGTAATTTTATCACAAAACTCCGTCAAGAAAATTCTGATTTCCTAGCTTGCATAAGCAAAAGATACTGATGCAAGGATACGATCATTTTGATATGAGATGCCTTGCAGTTCTCGTAATGGCACTGAGATCGAAGCTGCCTTACAACGTTTCGCTTTACAATTAACAACAACATTATTGCAGTAGATTATAGGTATATTTATTTTTTCTTTTAAACGGAATGTACAATTTACGCTTTTTAAGTTTATAAATTTCGGAGCTTTTGCTTTTATTGCAGAAGCTTCGTTAGCGAAATGTGGTGTGAAAACACTGCTTTTCCTCTCACATTATTCATCACATGATTGGTAAGGTGATTGGAAACCGCTGGTAGAGCCCTGTCTGTTAATTTCAGGTTGTTTTCTTTTGAGAAATATCGCTTTTTTCACTTTACGCTTAAGATCTGTAGGCTCTCTGTTCAGGGTGGATGTCTGTTCCCGGCAAACTGAGTACCCCATCCTTTCCTGGTGTAAACGGTTGTTTACTGTGCTCAGAAAGCCTTTTTCCTAGTGTTTTGACTGTTTATCTGATGTAGTGTTTCTTGCAAAGGTCATATTCAGTCTCATGTATCACCCAAGTAGTCAGCGATACTAGTTTGTCCTTAGAATGGCCCAGAAGGGCCAGACCAGAATGTATTGATCTCAAACTTTTGGGAAATTCTTGTCAGGTGTTCCAAAGGCTGCGGATGTATGGTAGCTCTTCGGTAGAAATGTTAGCATTTATAACAAAGGTCGAGTTGTTCGAAAGAAAATAAGCCAGCTGACACCTAATTTTTAGATCAGGATTAACGCTAATCGGGATTTGAGCAATCCGGCGTTCTTTTCTTTGCTGTGCACCACCTGATTTTTTTTTACCAACCTGACATCTCCTGACAACCTTTTTTTTTTTACATAGACAAAAACTTGAAGCTAGAGGAGGTGTTGGATACTTCTTCGGTGTGCAGAGAGAAAACTCACGAGAATGGACCTTTGGCAACTTTCTGTAAACAGTGCAAGGTTTGCATTTGTGACAAGTGTGAACAGACACGTCACAGCCATCACACCACGGTGGATATCCAACAGGCAGCAGAACAACACAAAGTGGATATTGAAGAGGTGGTAAAAGAAATGAAAAGAGGAATTGCTGATTATGAGGGGCTCGTGGAAAGGAAACGAGAATCCTTTAGAAAAAGCAAAGAGAGGATTGTTACAGCACGCAATAAAGTTATGACCTCTGTTGAAGAACTTGTGCGTCTTTTACAGGAGCACGAGAAAACTGTGCTAACCAGTTTGGATATCATTGAAGACAAATTTCAAAGAGAGCACGCAGCTCAACTGGAACATTTCCAGATTTCTATGAACCAGTTAGAAAAGCATGTCGAGTGGTGCGAAGGGATCTTACAGAGGAGCAAAAGCGTTGAAATTCTGCAGGCTCATCAAGTTCTTATTGGAAGGTGCAAGGGTCTTCTGAATGCAGAGAAATTAAGCATTTTCAAGGCATCGCATATCAGATACGAAATGAATAAAGATCATGTCGAGAATGTGAGGAACGGAATTCTAACTCTGGGTCAGGTTGTGGTTAGCAGTACAGATCCTTTGCAGTCAGTGGCAGAGGGATCGGGGTTGTATCAAGGAGATGTCGGAAGCGTAGCAACCATTAAAATAAGGACTAAAGATTCTGATGGAAATCAATGCTACGACAAAGACGATAAGATTGATATGAAAGTTCAGCCTCCATCAGGAGAAAATTACCTGAACCAAATGATTAGATGCGGCAATGATGGTAAATATATTGCTACTTACACACCAGATTGTGTTGGACAACATCAAGTGCTGATCTCAATTAACGGTGAACCACTGACTGGTAGCCCATGGAGAGTTCTTGTAACCCCCCATCGTTACAAATCTTTATTTTCATTTGGTTCCCATGGTGAAGGACATCTAGGTCCTTCTTGTATTGCAATAGATGACATGTCTGGGAACGTTGCAGTGGCCGGCTTTCATAATGGAGTACAACTGTTTAGTTTAGAAGGAAAGCATCTGAGAGATATTGATGCTAACAACCTGACTAGTTCCATTTCAGTAGCATTCACCAAGTCAGGTGAACTCCTAGTGATTGCTTCTTACAAGATTTTTAGTTTCAATGAAAGCGAAAAACTAGTAAAGCATGTCGCAAACAAGCACCTAAAGCAACCACAATGCCTGACGATCGCAAGTGATGGACGCATGGTGGTCTGTGACTGTGGTGACCACACAGCTAAGGTTCTGTCCTCTGATGGTTCACAGCTGCTACTCACCGTTATGGATCCTGATGGTGCCATCCCATGGCATGCTGTGAGTCATCATAATATGTTTTTTGTTTCCTACCCCTGGGCAGGTAATGTCAAGGTGTTCACCGAGAACGGTACGTTTCTAAAAAGTATCGGTGGTCTTGAATCTGATAACGGACAACTGAGTCGTCCTGTTGGCCTTGCAATCGACAGGTTTGATAACCTGGTCGTATGTGATTACGATAAAGCAAGGCTTCAGATTTTTAATCCTGAGGGGGAGTTTGTAAGCGGAATAGAAGGACAAAACATTGAGCTTAGTAATCCTCGTTCTGTCGCTGTGTCAAGCACCGGACGGCTGTTTGTCATTGATTTAGCCAGCCCCTTTGTGCATGTTTTCCACTGAGGAACGAATTCTCTCAGTTTGCTAATGCGGAAAATACTATAATATTCTTTAAACTGCAGTTAGGGTGGTGCTTCATGTAAACCGGCGATATTGCAAAAGTCGGGTTTACATGACCATTGCAGCATTTTATAAGCGAATTTACTTATAAGTGTATTGGCTATTTCCGAGTTTGTGGCTGAAACGTCCCATAACATTTTACTCCTCCACTCCATAGTTAATTCAATATACATGTTGGTTCTTACCGTTGAGAATGCCATCACGTCTGTTGCTTTTCACCACTCAAATATAACTTCTCCAGCCGTACTCGTACATGGTACTGTGTATGCTTTCCCTATACACGCTTTTAATAAGTCTGGGCGCCATCTTGAATTTTCAATGAATGACGTCATTCGCGGAAAGATCATACACGTGGCCAAAATAGCTACCAAAAATGAAATCTCTGTTGACGTTGATTTTGCAGTGTGTTCATGTAAAAAGGAACGTTTTTACTTTATATCGAGAGGAATATTTTCTTTCTACAATGTCTTTATGGGTATGTTATCCATCCTCGGAGACCCAGGGGCAGATAGTGGGGGCGAGAGAAAGTCTAAACGGGCGGGAAAATATAGCACGAAGAAAAGTAAAGAACGGCGAGAAGAGCCCCTGGGGACATTGTCTTACCAGAACAGTTCCAAACGGTCCCCGCCGTTCTGCCTTCTGATTGGGCAGAAAGACACAAAAGTTTTCTGGCACCAATCAGAAGCCAGAACGACGGCGACAGTTTAGAACTGGTCGGGTAAGACATTGTCCCCAGGGGCTCTTCTCGCCGTTCTTTTCTTTTCTCAAGCGCTTAGCACTGAAAAGTATAGGCGCTATATAAATATATATATATATTTTTATTATTATTATTTTACATTTTCCCGCCCGTTTAGACTTTCCCTCGCCCCCACTGTCTGCCCCTGCGTCTCCGAGGATGTATGTTATCCTAACTGTAAAACTTTCGTGCAAAGATATTCCTGGATCGATGACATCGAGGACAAACGAGAGCTGATTTAAATGCCAAAAAAAAAAATGCGCATTTAAGTTTTGGCTTAATCGTCTTGGCTTACGTCAACAGACACGAACTTAACTTCTTCTTCCCAGGTAATCTTTTTTAGCAATGGTTTTGATACTTTTTCATTTTTTATGCCGCGCCTTTATTAAAAAAGCTGAAAACGATTAATTATTACCGCTCGTAGGAGACTAACATTATCTATCAGGTATTTATAAAAGCTAATTGAAAGGATTTTTTACATTGCTGTTCTGATCCTTCCAAAATGTACGATTATTCTATTTCGATAAAAGTTTATGCTTTCCATCATCAGTTTTTTTATGTTATTACGTATAGGTTTTAGGGTAAGAAAGAAGTTGGATAAAAACGTTTATACTCCAGTAGATCCTTGCACCGATTAATTTTTCACGGCTGGGAAGGCGTAGCTCAGTAATCCGGAAAGCCTGTGTAACGTACAAGTTTGGGAAAAATGGTTAACAGAGCATCAACTCATTGTCCAATAACGTTGCCTTAATCCCTTAAGGTGATTCCATAGTAAAAGAACCTAACATAGATTTTAGCTAAAACTTGGTGTACTGATGTAGCAAGTCAAGAAGGTGGTAAATAAGTAATAAAAAGTGGGGGTCACCGTGCTCGTTTTGACGTCACAATGCTGAGAAATACGGCTATTTAGGACCCTTTTACAAAAACCGCGGGCAGCGCAAAACTAGACAAAAAGGAGAGATTTTTTCGATGATGCATGTGATATCACACAGAATTTGACTTTAATGTATTGTTTATCTACTTACGTACCAGAAAAATGCCTTTTAATGCCCTTGTTTTTACTTTACGCTCCAAAGTAGAATTAAATTGGACGCGCGCTTTTCGACCCGTGATGGCTCAATCCGTACAATTTAGTAAAATTGCCCAAAAACTGAACATAGATTTGTGCCAATTTTTTTCTCATCGAAAGGAAGCACTGTCCTTATTAAAATCATGAAATAAAAAATGGGGGTCACCGTACTCGTTTTTGCCGTAGAGCTGCAGAGGGTGCGCATCAAACGCATTTTCTTCGATTTTGAGAGAGGACTGGGGCGAGTTTCAAAATAGAATGTATGTGAAAGGGGGAAGAAAGTATTAAAACATCCGTTTTTACAGAATTTACGTCGAGATATCACATTTAGGACACAATGTGATAAAGAAAGTGTTTAAATGAAAATCAAAGTGAGTAAGCACAAGTTAAACATCCACTATCGAGGTTCTCCGAGAGGAGGTCGAGCTCAGCAACACGCGTACTGCTTACGTTATGCACATTCCCAACACATTGAGTCTCACCTCGGCAAGAAACAACAGCAAGCAAAAATTCCAAGTGCGTTTCTCTTCAGTCAACTTCATTTTAATAATGTTACTCCACATGCTCTTTTTTACGGCGGCCATCTTGTTGTGCGCAGTAAGAGATGCGCAGTGCAAAACTAGGGAATCACCTTAAATCAGTTATGAGCGGATGGCAACCTCGTACCCAGGGCTTTTCCCTTAAAAACTGGGTGGGGCGGGAAAAGGCCCTGGCATTGGCTGGTCACGTGTCCCCTCGTACACCCTAAAATCCTGTGTGTAATAAATTAGCGCTATGTGAAAAACTAAAATTATGCGTAACCTCGCAGCGCGCGATCTTGGGCAGCCTTTTATATCTCTTGACGATTAACGAAAAGTTTTACAAGATTTCTTTTTTGTCACAGATACTGGCTATGGTAATTTTTTGCTTTCCTCCGATTTTTATGAAGGGGTCAGCGAGAGGTAACATTTGTAAGACTTCCTTTATAGAGCGATATAAATGACAAACAAGGTATCGTACATGCATGAAGTTTGTACTGGAAAAGTCCGTTTTCGCGACTCTTTTGATATTTTATTTTATTTCTTGCGAAGTGGACCGCCATACACAACCTAGTTCTATTCACCTTAACTCTCAGCCATATCATAGCGACACGCGTTGGTTTAGACTTATCTTGTATGACCTGTATTTTTAAAAAATTCATTGACCTGAGAGACTTGACCGAAACCGGAAACCGCGCATGAAAAGTTTCTGGCACCCAGGCTATCAAACGACTGGTAACAAAGAAAGACTTGGGTCCATCTAAAATTGACAGAGCTGTAGTTGATTCCAATCCATCGGTCAATCTTCCCTTTGATACAAGGAAGATCCTTTGTACTTATCCTCGGAAGAGAAAAGATATAAGAAATCTTAAAATGTTTCAGATCGGCGACCTGCCATCGTTCCTGGCTGGAGGGCTGACCGGCATCCGGCGTAGAGATTTGTTTGTTTCATTTTCGGGTTGTAGAGAAGACCACACTCCATAAAGCATTTGATGAACAATTCTATTTCAATTAAGTTCAATTTGTTTAAATCCACTGCAGATCCTAGAGGCAAAGGCCCGCATTTTTGTTTGACATTGAACAAAATCACTTTCTGCTTGATCGTACAGTAATTCCACAGACACGATGAATTTCAGTCGAAGTACTACTCGATAACAGCTTGTCTCAACTCTAAAGCATTTGACATATTTTGTACGTGACAACGTAGAGCCGGTACGCCCTGTCATAAACTTGTGGCATTTGAATAATACGCAATTAAATGGATCTTAAGCTTTTGAATCGCACAGACGCGAAAATATTGACATACAGTTCGCGATATTATTATTTTCCATTGTTGCTCCGTTCGACTTCTGTCAGCGCAAAACCAGCGGTTTGCATATAAATTAGGTTCTAAGGAATATTTGGGCTGTGCACATGACCAGCCGATGCCTTCAGGGCGGAAAAACGTTCTGCGCAAGCTTCTGCGCATCCCTTATCGCAGGCTCAAGGCGGGCTTTTCTGTGTGTTGACTGTGTTCGTTTGTTGCTGGAGTTCTGAGTGAAATGCACGAGGTGCGAACGTTTGCTCCCTGTAAAGCATTTTTATTTGAAATGTTTGCTTTTTTTTGGTCGCTTGAAAATTACTTTGGATTCAGAACAACCAATGTTAAAGGAAAAACGGATCATTCCGTCAGTCTGAGGTGGAATAAAAGGTTTTGAACATTTCTTAAGAGGCGAGTATTTTTCTGATTCTGTACCCGATTAATTTATGAGTTGATTTCGCCGGGTTGAATTAAAACCCGCTCGTATTCTGTTATTAGTAGTTACGGTTACGTTTTTTACATGCCCAGATTTATTACCTTTGCAGAACCAGCTTTATCTTTGTCTTCAGTGAAAGAACGATATTGCTGACTTATAACGCATCAGAGTGAGCAAACTTGTGCGCTTATTAAACTTTCTTTGAAATGGAAGGCCAGCAAGCTTACTCAAGATCATTTTTCTGTTGCTTAAGTAATAATAGGCATAGTTTTTTTCATTTTTCATTATATAGTTTTGTTTTCCAGTGCACTGTGAAAGCTTCTGTTCTTTATAAGAATAACTTTCTGTACGCAAATCGTCCTTTTCACTCGCTGTGAAATAGAGAACGACAGCTGCCGGCAGTGACTTCAAAACAATTGACTCCTTTCCCGTAAACAATTGCTGCAACTGAGGCGAGCAAAACAACCCTTATGTCCAATTTTCTGTATTTTCTAACGATCGGCTGAGTTTAATTTGCTTATACGAAGACTCTCGCATGGACCAGTTAAGCTTATTGAAAATAGCTAAATGGTGAATCATGGCTTGGCTGTCAAGTTGCAACTGATCTTTTGCTTTTAAGATCTTTAGGTATAGGTTGTTTTCGCACAGAAAATTCATTTCTTCATTGTCAGCAAGAAGTTTTTGACGTAATGTAACTTTAACTTTGTTTGAAGGAAATCCTACTTGCGCGTAGGTTTTTGACACATGTTATGCGTGTTCAACTTGACAACAGAAAGCAAAATTTATCTGCGCGAAACGAGCAAGTTTAAAAAAACTATAGTTGCTTTGAAACCGATTTTCGGGAAGATTTTACTAGATAAAGATTGACCTTTTTTCTGCCCGCATATCAACGCAATAACTTTCACATTGAGGATTTTGTTTATATTTTAGTGATCTGCGAAACTGCGAGTGTCCGATCGAGCGAGGGTTTTAAAATATCAGCTCGAGTGCCACAAAGTTCAGTGCCTTCAAACACATTGTGGGCAAGCGTTAATTTTTTGGGGCAGATCACTGTCCAAAAGATATGTTGTTTTTGTGTCCATAGTGGAGCTCCCGACCTTATATATCCAGGAACTTCCTTATATGAACACATTTTGTGAATGCATCTTGAAAAAAATCGGCTCTACGCATGTACATTTCCAGTACAACGCAAGGAAATTGGTGTCGTTAAAGTCCGTTTTACTATGAGATATTCTTCGAGAAAATTAAGTAACGACAAGCTTATAACCACAGCTTGCAACTTTTGAAGAAAAATTGCCTGTTCTTTCTAGGTTATGAGTGGAAACATTTTATTTTTAGGCAATAAAATATTTGAAATCCCGCCATTTTTTAAAACCCGGCCAGGGGATCTGGGCAAAAAAGTTCACGCATGCTCATTACGTTTTTCCGCCCTGAAGCCGATGCCAGGGCCTTTTCCCGCCCCACCCATTTTTTAAGGGAAAAGCCCTGGGACGAAGTTGAGCGGATGGGACATGATTCGAAATCTGAAAACCATTTTTCAAGGTCACAAGAAAATGTTGTATCATGCCCCTATGCAATAATTGTATAAGATACTTATACGCTGCTAAAAAGGGTAAGTCTCTATTGTGTTCAGGTGACTCGATAGGGTTTTTCAGGGCAAGTTAAGTTTGAGCGTTAACTACGTCGCCATTAACAAAGATTCGGAAAATGACCAGCACAGCTGTATTAGATAAAGATGAAAACTGATTAAGGTTATGATTATTGACATCGGAGTTGTCATAGCAACAAAGTGACGTCATAACCTATTTTAATTGCAGCCGTATTTCTCGGCACTGAGATTCTTATATTCCAAAATCGTCCACAGCATATTTCCTCCGATAGCTGCCTAGATGTTTGTGAAGTTTGACTGAGCAAAATCTACGAGAGCGTTTAATCGAGACGTTCTTGGACCTTAAGAAACTACGACACCGACGGCAACGACCAATTCAGTTTAGGTTAAGTAACTACGAGTTTAACTAGCAAAGAAAAAAATATTTATGTAGGACGATATTTGTGTTTGGCGATCCCACTATAACTTTTGCAACATTTTTTGTTGTCTACTTAAAACTACAGAAAACAATTAAATTTAACAGTTTGAAAAATAGCCCATTAGTTCTCCTTAGTTAAGCTTATTGTAATACTGCTTCAATTTGAAATAGCTTTCAGGTCTTGACGTTTCGTCAAAAGGTCTTCGGTAAAGCTGGCAGTAGCCTGCAGGAGATCGACCGATGCTTATTTCTTCAGTAGAGGCCGACTTACACTCGGTCATACGAGAACAGCGTAACAAACACTCCATCACTGTAGACGCTTTGGACGTTTTTACGACATCGCTTTGTAGCTGTTCTCCGACAACGAAGACTGGTTGAAAAAATCTTTGATCTACAAATGACAAAATAAAGGGATTGCTTCCTTAAAATTTTAATTTAGGGTAATTTTAATTCGGGTCATCAGCTTTACCATAAATATTCATGTTTTAGAAATTCGCCCGGCTTTTTCCGTTGCCCGAGCCACCTCGCTGTTTTCCCTACTCACTTCATTTTAGGCGAACCCTCCCCACTATCTGAACGCCTGGTACAGGCTCTCCGAGGTTTGATCGATGTCTTCTTCAAAGACGACACCTTATATGTCTTATTGAACATGATACTTGTGCAAGCAAAGCATGATAGGGACCAAGTCATATAAGTAAACTCGTACAAGGACCAAGGAATGATATCACAAGCAAGTCGTGCAAAAAAAGTAAAAATTTACCCCAAAACTTCAGTTGTATTGCCTTATAAACCGCCATCCACTTCCCACGCTTTAATTCGACCTTTGATAAGTTAAATGAAAAGAAGACTAATAACTAACCTCGCTTTATAGTGACTGAAAATGACAACTTAAGAGACTAGGTACTATCCAGTCACAGGTTTCATTTACAGCAGTTTACTATGACACGTCATACTTACATGTGTTTAAAGTTCTGTTTTGGACCGCAATAATTTCCTGTTGACTGAGCGATTTATTGTAAATCTGAAGACAGCAGATGCGACCTTTTAAGTACCTTTGGTCGCTTGCTTTTGCTCCCATCCTTACATCATACTGTGTTTTTTGTTCTGCGCTTCCGGATATCTCATGAGCCACTTCAGAAAAATTGTAAGAGGTACCAACATAGTTCCAGGTTCTAGAAAGGCTGGAAGAAAAAGCATTTTTTTGTTGTGCTCTATCTGCACGTCTTGATGGTCTAGCAAACAACCTACCATTTACAACCCAGAAGTGAAATCCCCAGACATCAGATCCAAAGTTAACAATCGGTCCATCATCGTTTTCTTGGTTAAGCCAGGCAAGAATTGTTACGGAGTATCTTGTGTCTAGTCCTCCGTTGTTGGGTATCTCGATGTAACTGGTAGAGCTACCAGAAAACTGGTACGAGCCTTGTGGATGTCCAAAGGGGCCTGGTGCAAGGTGTACGCCGTTTGGTTTTCCCGCTGGGTTTTTGTTAGCACTTAGGTCGTGTGTCAAGTGTTGAGCATTGAGTGGATAAAAGGCCGTAGGAACTGGAAGATCGTCTGCCAGTAGAATTAATCATATCGCAATTAATAAATCACTTTACCCCCCCCCTCCCCGGTCAATTTTATCGCGGTCACCATTTTTAGCTACCCGGTTCTTTTCGCCGGAAAACAGTAAAGTCAATGAGGCCACAAAGTCAAAGATTGAAGATAAAATGCGCGCAAAATCTTATTGTCATAAACGGATCACTGAACTGTGATCTTATATGCATCTTTTATTTCTTCTCAGTTACTTTGCCTTGGTCCTGATTTATACACCCCAATCACGCGCCAAGAATCATTAAAACATCATTAATTTTTAAGTTCTGGTATCATCCCTGACACGATCGACCGGAAGTTGTCTGCTTTGACTCGATCCCGCTTGTAAGTTTGGGCATATACTTTTGGTCCGAACCTGATCTTGTGTTGTGTTGGAGTTGTAAAAAACTTACAAAACCACTTCTGATGTTATCTTATGGTACTGCTTCTGCATTTTCTCTACCCGTAGTATAATGTTTCCGCAATTTCCTATTACTTTTTTCACTTCTAACTCCATCTGTAATGGTGGAGTGTTTTGTCATAACGATAACCAATAGTTTTGAAGCAGTTAATCAAAGTTTGTTAATCTACGTTCGCATTGATACATACAATCTCGAGTTGTATAGATTCCATCGAATCCCATCGAGGTCAGAAAAGATTTTTCTTTGCCAGGTGTGGTCCTTATTACTGAGGCTAACGCTTAGAGGGGTTTATGGTTTGTCCGTAGCCCATGAATTCTAACCTTGTTCCATCATTTGTTACACAAAGCTACAGAAGTAGACATATCTTGAATGAATTTGCAATTTTGCGTTACGGTGCTTCGCTTTTCAATCAAGTATCCGCATACCTCCTTGGATAATAACATTCCCATGTAGCAGCTGCCTTGAAAAGAGAATATGTAAATCTATTTTCTGATAGTTCCGATCTGAGTTTGAACACCAAAATCTGAGTTAACATTTTTTAAATACGAGTGTAAGAGTCAAATTAAGTTAAAAGCTTGTCGAAAATAACTACATTTAATGGTACGACGCCCGAAGCGAAAGATCCAGTTTAGATGTTAAACTTTTTATTTGCCGAACCTAATAAATAAAATATAAGAAATATTTGGAAATTTAAAGGAAGTCGCTTTAAGAAGTTTGGCGCGAATTAAGTATAGAATCTGAATAACGAGTGACCTACAATTGTCAAGAGTAGGTCTGTTGAAGTTCGGCTGGTTAGAAACTTACCTGTTTTTCCTTGACATGAAAAAATCAGAATGATCCGAAGTTGAAAAGCCAGTGTCAACAAAGTTGAAGTCATTTCAGCCGAACAATTTGAGGCACTGTTGTAGCGTTTGATCTCCTAACCTTCAAGGGTCGGGATGAATACATAAAAGAAATTTTCATGTACTGTTACTGATACAGTTTCGAAGTTTTTACTCGCCGCACTTATTACCTTCATTTCACGAATGCAAATCTAAGTCAACAAACTACACAGGGACAATCCCATCTCAGTAGAAGACTTAGTAAAATAAGATAAACTTTGTAAAACTTTATTCTTCTACTGATCAATTATTTATGCCACAAAACACTTTTTTCTCGTTTATGTATTTTTATGTATTTTTCTAAAATTAGATTTTGATATACATCGTGTATTATTCTACCCAATTGAATTAAATTTTGGAAACGAGCTGATTCAGCTTAACATCATAACCAAGGTGTAACAAATCCTAGGCCACTACTGGCTTTAAAACATTTCAGGAATGACCTGATCAAATAAATTCAGTTTGCTAGTAGGTCAGCAAAAAAAGGAGTCGAAATAGGACCTTGGCATCTCTACCTATAGACAACGTCTCATTTAACGCTTGCTAAGGTAAATGTTTTTTTGGTATCATGGATACGTTGGGCATACGAATTAGTCCGGGGGAATTAGTATTAACTCAAAGCCTGTTTCTTTTTTGGTCGTTATATTCTTGGTTTTCATATGACGTCATTAAAATTCAAACCAAGAAACTATCGCTTCTTCTGAGTTTCTACTTTCATGTGGTATTACAAAACCTTAAAACCTTTGTACAAACAAATTTTCGGTTCAAAAGGGTTCTTCATTTTGCGATACAGGACGCTTGAATTTCCAGGCTTTTACGTGACGCGGCACTTAGCTGATGACGGCCAGGAAAGTTCTTATGTGGGTTATAAACATAACCGATTTTGGGAGATTTTGCTACCAAAACATTCCTTGTCTCAGAATAAATATTTCCTTAATCTTTATGAGTTCCTTAAGCGAAGAATTCACGCACTCGTAGGAACATTCAACAACAGATGTTTCTGTTGGTTTCAGGCGGCCATATTTGTGCCCCTGAATGGAACACAAACATGGCGTTTCCATACAAAGCTTAAAAACTTGGATAAAACGTTTTTCCGAATATCTCGAATATGAAATAGTGCACAGACCTGATTATTGGCAAGGCTTTTTGTATACTTATCTTCTTTAATTTCCCAGATTCTAGACTTTCTGTATTAAAAGGTTTCCATTTTTATTTTTGATAGCGTGACAGTGAGAACCACCAATAAGCATCACAACAGTTTCTGCAATAGTCACTTGGAAAACGAAATCGTCTTTTGCAAAGCTGTTTATCCTGTGAGGGTCCAACCCCTTTCCCTCTATATTCCATTTTTGACGGGAAAGGTACCCCTTGCATAATACCTTCTATTAATAAATAGTCCCCTTTCAGATAAAAATCTATGGACCTAGTTTAGAACTTTGCATCCCTTTTAACTACTACATTTGACAGCTTTCATAACATGAACTATTTCACTCAAATCGATGTATTGCACTTGTGGGAATTCAACGCGCAACATCGCGGAGATACGTTTTCATACATTATCGAGCCGCTTGAAAGAATGACTGCAACAAGTTTTGAGGTAGAATAAGATAAATAATATTTTCTTTGTTGGTTAATCATTAACAAAGTTCAGCCCAACTTCCATTCAGGGGACATCTCTATTCATGGGACACTTGCCTTGGTCCGGAGGGTGTCTCCTGAATGGAAGGTCAACCACTGTAGCGAAAACCAGGGGGGTACTCCTGGGAATTCTTGGTGGGGGTGTGCCGCCGGGTTCTTCAAATCCTGCCCAGATTTCATACCAAAAAATGTAACTATCCACCACACCCGTTTTCAGACTAGACCTCTAAAATCCATACACGTTTTCAGACCTGGCCTTTAGGCAGAAATTATTTTATCGTTACTTAGATTAGGCTCGCAAACACAAAAATTATTCAAACCTATTTGGAATTCGCACATTTCTCTTTCTTTCTTACTCATTTTGAATTGTAACGATAAAAATGTTCATACACTCCCGTAGTTCCCTTGAAAACCCAACCCGATTCCAGACCAAAATGGGCAAAGTGTATGCCGTTTTCAGACCAAAACGGCACCAAAACCCTACCCGATGGGGCGGCACATACCCATATGGTTTTTATAAGGGAGAACCCCCGAGACAAAAATGTAATCTCCAGTCAAAGTAGTTCTAAACGTTAGGAGACCGGCGTTGTACTTGGAGGCGTTGAACTTAGCTCAGTTTTAGAGCAGCTTTCTCTTATTGCAATACTCTTTCTCTTTAAAATGTCCAGTGGTATCCAGACTCACTAAAAATGGTGCCCTGTAAAGTTGGCAGTAGCCTTTAGACCTTTGGCCAATGCTTCTTTTATCAATGGCAGCGGACTTGCACTCAGAAACGGGAACAATATAACAAACATTCCATCACTGTGGAGGCTTTGTATGTGATAATTAGGTCGTCTTGTTGCTGTTGTCCGGACGCCGTGACAGTTTCAAAATGGCCAAAGATGAATATTGAATCTTGATCTATAAATTTAGAAACAACAAAAACTACCCTTTTTAATTTTGTTTTATTGTCTAAAACAAACTATAACTGCTACTTCTCTACTGCTAATGCTGCTTCGAGCTGCTGCGGTTGCTACTACTACTACTAATACTGATACTCAGTAATACAGCAACTAATAGACTAATATTAATGATGATAATAATAATAATAATAATAATAATAATACTGATGATGATGATGATGATGATATACTACACCTTGGCTCCAGCGAATTATCTTGCCCCTGATATTCACCCTTTCAGACGTCTTTCAAAAACAAGCTTAGCTCTGGCTAGGTAGCTTCCTGCTAGTTACAGAACTCGTTTTGCTTTACGCGTTGATTTTCTGTCAGTTGTTTCATTTAAGACCCCCTTAATTCAACAGAAAGTCTGTTTGAAACTTCTCCTTTAAAAAGGAAATTCACATCAAAACCGAGTGGAGCAAGAGCTATTCTTACAAAGTGAAAGTGGCACCAAGCATCAAAATTTGGTTCCAAACCGTTGCAGCCCAGTCTGAAAAAGCTTTTTGCCTTATATATAGTATTACCAGAGGCACCTTCCGGGATAAAAAGAATAGTAATTATGATAGGCTTAAGCTACTAACGCCGTACTCACATGTGTTCAAAGTTCTGTTCTGGACAGCGATGATTTCCTGTTGACTGAGTGATTTGTTGTAAATCTGAAGACAGTAGATGCGACCTTTTAAGTACCTTTGGTCTGTGGTGCTGTCTTTAGCTCCCATCCTTACATTGTACTGGGTACTTTGTTCTTCGCTTCCAGATATTTCCTGAGCCACCTCAGATCCGTTTATCCAAAGCTTTACAACGCCAGATGAAAAATTATAAGAGGTACCAACGTAGTGCCAGTTTTTAGAAAGATTATAGGGCGTAATAGCATAGGGGCTTGAACCGGATAGTCGACCAAACAGTCTTCCATTTACAACCCAGAAGTGAAATCCCCAGTCATCCTCTCCGTAGTTTACTATCGGCCCGTTTTCGTTTTCGTGGTTAATCCAGGCAAGAATCGTTATTGATCTTGTGTCCAGGCCGCCATTGTTGGGTATCTCGATGTAACTGGAAAAGCTACCAGAAAACCTGTACGAGCCTTGAGGATGTCCAAAGGGGCCTGGTGCAAGGTGTACGCCGTTTGGTTTTCCCGCTGGGTTTTTGTTAGGACCGATGTCACGTGTCCCGTGTAGACCATTGAGTGGATACAAAGCAGCAGGAACTGGGAGTTCCTCTGTTAGGAGAATCAATAATAACATATTAAAAATTATCGAAACATTTAGAATAACCTATCCCTCAATCTTAGTGCAAAAAAATTCGTCCATCACCAGAATTAGGTAACATAACTTGATAACAAATGCGATATCAAGAAACGTCGAATTTTACATTTTACGAAAAGATAGCGGGGCCCAGCAAGGATCATCATATTAAAATGTTAAAAACGTTTCTGGCTAAAAATGTTTAAATAAATACAAGCTTTCGATCGCCTGAACTACTGTCTTCAACGGGCGAAATGATTTGAAAATGAAAAAATCTAAAAAGTAGTGTAATAAAAATACAGTTGAATAAAATAGAATAAAAATTAAGAAATATTTCATTGAGAATTTTTGTTAAAAAGACCACTTTATTGCCTCTGGAGAAGGCAAGAGTTATTGTCCGCATTAGGTATTTTCATACCGTGGCAGGATTCCAAAAACGTTCTACGTAATAATTGTCTTTGTCAATGACGGAGGCGTTGTGAAAATCAGTATCGTGGTTGTGGGACCAAGCATGATCAGCGATCCTGGATCCTTTAACCGCTGTTTTTACGTTGTTCAGACACGTGTTCTTTTTTCTCTGTAGTGAATACAACTGCCAGTTTCTCCAATATAGCTCCAAGAGCAGTTGCTGCATGGAATTTTGAAACAACGTCAGGTAGCAAATCTAAGGAGGGTCGTGACTTGGGGAGTCGAGGATTCGAGGATTGGCAGCTTAAGGCTTCAGGATCGCCAATCACACGCCTAAGATGAGAGCTTCAGCCAGCCTCATTTTCATATCGCATCAATTAGACATCTAAGAAGTCTTCAATAAAAACTTGAAAAAATCAACTCGTGGGTACGTTGTTAAGGCTAATTGAAACCAGGCTACTGACAGTGAAAAACAATGTAAACGCATTTCATGGCAATGAACGAACATATGCGATACAAAGCCGACACAACTGCTCCGCGTAGTAGGACGCAAAACATTAGCTTATGTTTTCTTATCTCGATTTCCGCTGTTATTTTAAAGGTAATGCTCAAACTCACATCCATTCCCCCCCCGTGATCTTGGGGAGTCCTTAAGAATAATTAGAAGAAGTGCCTTTATTTACCATACATTTCACCAGTCCATATTTTATAGTCCGTATCTTATACCCAGTCCGCAGTCCGTAGTCCGTAGTCCGCAGTCCATGTTTTATACCGACCGCCATAACTTCATTCGTACACATAATCTACTGCACTACTACAAGGTAGGAGATCAAGCCAGCGTCAAAGTTGAAGGAGTCGAAGAGCAAATGCTCATCTTCTCGTCAAGTTTAACGCTTGGACGGGTCAAAGGCTGTTGAATCGTACTAATTTGAAAGAGTCCTGCGTGTCTTAAATTTGGTAAGACCTCCGATCATAACCGTGCTTTAGCGCACGATTAAAATTAAATTAAATTAAATTAATTTTATTTAAGCTGGATAGCGTGAGGAGTGGTTGCCCAATCTCCCGAGCCCGGGGCTCATGTATTAAACGCTCGAGCATTCCGGATCGAATTGTAATTTAGAAATGTTGGTTTTTGTGCACGCTCTCAGAGAGGAATTTGATGCTACCGAACTTCGGCGAGCGCGTGCTTCTTTGGAACCGATAGATCTTCGCGCTCTCGAGTTCGGACCCGATTAATTACGAAGTGCGTCTACTACGATTGAGCGAGCGACTCATTTGCATATCTCTGTCCCTGCAATAACTCGTGGTACGCTCGCGCGTACCCACGAGTTAAAAAATTACCCAACTGATATGATATTAAAAAGCCAGTTTCCGAGTGTAAACAGTTAAATACTTTCTGTTGCAATTAGTTACAGGTTCAGCTATTTTCCTTTACAAACTTGACTCAGTGGACTATAATGTGGGAATGGGAGTTAATCAGACGGCAATAATATTGAAGAAAATATTTCGCGGAGCGAAAAATATTCTTATCAACCAGTTATGTTGGCATGGAATATGAAGTGAAGTAGCATTTTGAAAATGACGAGAGCGGATTTTCTCATATGACACCATACCTAGTAATGACAGAAACCAATTCTGACAAAGCTTCCTATGAGGAGCTATAAACAGCTATCAAAAAAAATGCTGTCACAAAATGTAAAAAAAAACCAACAACAACATCGACACAGTGCGAAGCAAACCTATGGGGAATGATCTTGTGCGTGTAACTGAAATTTCTTTAAGAATCATGAATTGATATTGGCATATGACTGTTATGGCCAATTGACATTAATATTTTACATAGCTTTTACCATTATCTTCTTTTTACCTGACTTGGTTTGAGAACACAGTATCAGGGAGATGACAACCTGGAAAAGCCGTAACGAAATAAGGTTAAAATGCAGTTATCTTTATACCTGCTACAAACAGTGATGATTATTTTAATGATTATTTGCTTTCTGACTTACCTCCAACAGCCACATTGAATATATGGAAGAAAATGTGTATCTCAGTTAAGTGAGCTTTGCTCAAAAATACCTTATTTTTTAAACGCGACTGGGATTTGTCCGAAACCTTTGAGACTTCTCTATTCACGAGTTGAGAGTACTCAGTTAGGAACCCACTGAATAAAAACCCACAACAAAACAAAACAATGTAAATTATATTAGTGCATTAGCAGCTGTTACTATTTACTTTAGAATTTGTCATTCAAAAAGCAAGAAAACCGGGGTTTCGGCTTCAAGAATTTCACTTTTACCTCTTTTCAACACACTAACATTCCAGAAAATAAAATCAGATAAAGAGCTACTACCTCCAGTTTCTATTTCTGAAAAAATATTCTAAAATGATAAAATTCAATCTAACACTTCCTGAAACTTATGCAGATAGAAAGCACTACTAATGGTACAATGGCTGAAGTTATTTTAAAATTAGTATTTGCCTTTCCCCTACTGTCTCTTTCGATTGATTGATTGATTGATGTTAAAGGTGAAAGCACGCTCGACACGACACGACACGACACTCTCTCCACTTTAAAACAAAAGAATTTATTTTAACACGCTTTAGCACACTTGCCATCTTGCCTCATTAGTAACTTCTTTTGTTTAAGAGGACACGCTTGAGACTATTAACTTAACTTTCCCCTATTGACTTTTTCGATTGATTGATTGATTGATTGATTGATTGATGCTAAAGGCTGAAGCACGCTCAACACGGCACGCTTCACTTTAGCACGAAAAATTTATTTAAACACGCTTTAGTACACTTGCCATTTTGTCTTTATTAGCAATTTCTTTTGTTTCAGAGGACACTCATTAGAGAATTAAGCGTGAGCAAGTCAAACAAAAGAACGTGTTAAAGTTTTTAAACAATTAAGGTGCGTGCGAAATAGCACAACGCTTTCAGTGTGCGCAAAAGCACGAAAGGCGTGTTTTCTAACGCTACAGTATTGCTCAAAAGTATATGAAACTTGATTCTCGGGGCTAGACTCTTGAGTTACGAAAAAAAAAACAGGACTTTTTTAATATCCATCAGTCGACAGGGATTCGGGAAAACAATTTCATGTAAAGAAACTCACCGCCCGTTCTGAGAGCTTTATAGTTCCGATTCTTGCTCCCCTCTCTCCGTCACGCAACTGGACTAAGTGCTTTAACGCGCGTGCACCGCTTATCTTACACTTTGACGAGTAAAAATTTCACTTTTAGCCAAAAAAAAAAAAAACAACGAAAATTGTGTCGGTGTATTTTGGTATGAAGGCTATCTTGTGAATTTAAAAAAACATGTTTTGGTTTTGGTACATAATTTGCGTCGGTTCGTGTGATCAGTCACGATGGCGAAGGAGAATATGATCTTGATTCTTGAAGTTTACTTGTCGGGAAAGGTTGTCAAAATGGCAAAGTTTGCGAACCATTCTATAATAATCACAAAATATATAACCTGAATAAAGCTGAATAGGTAATAAATGTCCAAGTCTACCGTTCAAAGCAAAACATAAAACACTTACGTCAAAATTGTGTTTTAAAGTACGAGTAAATTTGCATACGTAATTTGAAAGCTCTTGATACTTCTACAAGCATCACAACTTTTTACAAACTATAAACTGCGCCTTTGTGACCAAAACACGCTTGATAAAAAAGCTTGATAACCGAAGGTTTCCCTAAGACTATTTCATCATTTTCCGACGAGATACTTTTAAATCGTAATTGCGGGGGAAGTCAAACAGAAGCGAACGGACAAGTTCTTGTTCTTTTCCTTTTTACAAAAGTTGTTTTTTCGTTTCAAGAGCGCCGAGCTAAGCTAGGAAATTGGCTTCGTCATTGGCTTATTCGCTTCTTGTAATTCCAGGCTAAACGTTATATCAGTTAACCGAGTTGTTCTGGCTCATGGCTTCAGCGATAAATAGGCAATTTCCGAGTTTTCCCTGGCCTCTCTATCAAAACGAGGTTAAGCGCTCAGCCTTTGATATGGAAATTATTTTTTATTCTCATGCAAATAAAACTCGTTTTCACAAGAAAGGTTACGTTGGGCACTTGGCCTCATCTTGAAAGTGAGGGTTTTTGGAACTCGGAAGTGGCCTAATAATGGCTGACTGTATGCGCGGAGCAAAATGTTAACGTATCAGTGTTCGCGTTCTTGTTACTATAAATTATTGATGATTTTCATAAAGAAAATCTAAGTGCCTTTAACAGAAATATCTGAGATTTTTTGGTCAAAAAAAAGACGGTTTTTAAAAATTTTATCGACTAGTTGGCAGTTTCGATTCATTTCGTTGACCCAACACAAGCCATGTAATTTTTGTCATCCTTTGCTGTTGTAATGTAGCTTGTTTAGCGTGTCCAGTACTCAAATTAAGTGTAGTACGTTAAGTGCGCTATAAAACGCACGCTTACCGTGACATGTAGCACACTACAAGAAACATAAATTCTGTGTGCTAAGTTTACATGGGAATCCCGAGACATCGATTTTTAGATTCGAGTTCGAGTACGAGTTCGAGTTTGAGTTAGACTTCGATTAAACTATCTAGAAATAATAATGATGACAATGAAATATAATAA